TTTCATGATTATACTAGGAAATCAAGTGATACCAAAAAAAGCTTAAATACTTTTTTACAAGTAGCAGTTTGTTCTCAATTTCACTGTGTGATGAATGGTTATGCATTCCAATGGGAGGTTTGTACATTTTTTTTACAATATACGTCTATTAATTTGAAATTAAATTTTTGGAAAAAAACTTTTTAAGAGTGCAAGGAAAGTGCCAAAATACCTTAACCTACATATCCTTCTAAGGTTAAGAGAAATTATATAACAGGGGTTTCACTAGAATTTCTCACAACAGGCTAAATAAATGAAAACAATAAGCAATATTAATGGAAATCATAAAAACACATGGAAAAGTTGAAAAGTCCCTAAAAACAACAGCCGATTTTGTGAAAACAACCGATGAAAATCGCCTATTGCCTGCTGCTAATGAAACCCTTGTATAAACACTTTCACTTTCTGCTAATAAGCTTTTTGTATTTGAATCAATATTTTTATTGGAAACAAGTTGAGTGATGATTTTGACATTGTTACCCCCTCTACCCCCTACACAGTTTCTTAAAATAAAAAATCCTCCATCCCCCATCAAATTACATGTACGGATTGTACGCCCTTCACTTTGACATACCTAATATTTTCAATTTAAAATATACAAATGTCATTCATGTACATTATGAATATACTTTTCCATATATTATTGCACAATGGTCTCCCAATTTCTTATTTTTGCCGTTCTACTGACGAACTGAAGCAGTGAAATGGACTTTAGGCCTAGAGTCATAGCCCAGGCATAGGCCCGTAAAAATGTAAAGAAATAAAGCTTACAGCATGTTCTATTTAAGTGAATTTGACTCGTTATACATGTTCCGGGCCTATGCCTAGTATAGTCCCGCAGGACGAAGAAGATAGAATGTAAAAATCAAATTGAAAATCAAAATAATCGAACGAAAAAAAATTGAAAAAGTTGAAAATTCGATTTCGATTCAATTTGATTTTCTGCCATTATAAATGAAATACTGTACTTACCAACATGTTTCTCGGATATATATGTTGTTCTTACTTTATCTTCGCCGAAGATCGATGTTTATTTATATATAACAATCGAATAATCGACATAATTCAAACTCATCACTACGACACAAAAATATATCACTTTCGAAACCATGTAAACTGCTAAGATGACGTCATTTATATCCGGGATTGCTTTGCAAACTCCACACAACAGACTGTCCCAGCTTTTCTCCTGCTTTCTCCCGATGCAATTCATACATTGCTCGGAGATTACTGTCAAACGTTCCAAGTTTTACAATTTTAGCATGTTTATTACGATCTAATTCCTGCCAGTATCAATGAATAAATCTATTGACCAACAGATTGGAAAAATGTATTCCAGCGATACCCTCATTTTGACGAAAGAATGGTACAAATATGTCCACTATTTATCGAGATATCGTGTAGAAAAATTGAAGAAAGACATCGCTTAAGAAATTTCTATTTCTAGACTGAACTGTTCACGCTCGCAAGTGGCATCTCCATCTCCATATATGGGCAAAAAGGTGGAGTTAACAATAAGCAATGCGGGGATTGACACGATTGACACGAAGAAGTCTCGATGAATCTCGCTTAAACTCCGCCCCTTCTTCGTGAAAAATCACGTGAATTCCGGCTTTTGCTGGGACATATCCGGGCATCTCGGCTTCGAACCCAATCAGAAGTTTCAATTTTGACTGGCGCCGCATACATTATCTCAAGTCTCACCCAATATTTTTATGTATACGTTAAATAGTTTTATGCCAAAAAAATTCATGGCCAACCCAAGGCATAATTTTAACAGTTTAAAAATCACTCATTGGTGTAACTACTGGGATGTGACCATGATCTCTAAGATTTGTGTTTTTTACATTGTTTGCAACTAAGTATGTATTTTTGGATATCACCATGCATTCCCAATTGCAAAATATATTTGAGTCTGAGTGCATTGTAGCATTTGGTGACCCCTATACTTACATTTAATACAATCAGTGTTTTTGGCCAACTTCCAAATCAAGGTATTTCAGAGGAAATCACGGTTATATTGAATTAAGATCTTTTCAAAGTACATTGTCTTTTAATTGTCAAAATCAAATCTTTTTGATTTTTGATTTTGAAAATCCAAAATAGCCTCTCAAATGTTTGAACTGTTGAGAATGCTTTCAGATTCATCCACTTAGATTCAGAATTATTTTGTTTGCTTGTTGGGATGTGCTACTATCTCGATTTGCCACTTTCTAATTTCAAAATGAGTTTCAAATACATTTAGGAGAATGACAATCATATTTAATCATTATGAATATTGACTTAATATTTATAAATTGATTGATGAAAACTGAAGAGTATTTGAACCCACTGGAAATGTATTTATTTATTATTGTATTTGGATTACAGAATCTCATTAGTCTGCAGATAAACAAATATATTAACAAAGGGGAAGTGTTCCTTTAGATGTAGAGTTTAACTGTAGTTACCAAGGCTCGTAGCCAGGATTTGCCAAGGGCGGTTCACTTTTTAAAAAATTCCAGGGGGGTTCACTCTTGACAATTTTGGTCCAAATTGGCCAAAATCACTTAAAAGTTGCTCAGAATGTTGAAAAACTGCATGATTTTGAAAGAATGTTTGGCCAGATAGGGGGGGGGGGGTTCGCTCGAACCCATCGAACCCCCCCCCCTCCCCCTTGGCTATGGGCCTGTTACCAATGATATGGTGAGCATAAGTATATAGGACTTGAAAGATGGGGGCCATAAACCCTAACCTTTAATTTAACTGCAAGAAATCCATCCACTTTAATTTTACAAATGAATGTCATAATAGGATAAAAAACCAATAGAATTTGGGTGTTTTTATTTTACATTAAGGATTATGGATGAATCTAAAAAACAGTATTTATTAAGGGTTGTTCACCCTCCTCATTCATGATTGCAGTTTGTACTTTGTACGCCCCTAAGTCATTATGTTATTATGTTATAATAGGTCAAACAAAGAAATGTGTACCTTGTGATATACTATAGTGACGGAATCTTGATTTACAACCATAAAAGTCTACACCTTTAATGACCTTATATGATTGACATTCGTTGTTTATTATGGTTTACACGTCAATTGACGATCTTCGTGACATCATTTTAAGTAAGGTCGAGATAAGACTTATAACAGCACTTTAAATGTAAAATTGTATAATTAAAAGGAATTTACTTGTGAATATGATATGCAATTCAAATTCCAAGAACCTTACAACTAGGATGTCTATTGAGTCATGAGGGTGTGGCAGTTGAAAACCAAATAGACATTTAAAATTTAAAAGAATGTTTACTACTAGGTTAATGAAAATATCATATTGTCAATATTTACACTTTGTATATCGTCATGGTTGTAAACCATGTAGCTATGACGATGTGAAAACTGAAAACTTCATAGACAAATAAAAAAAATTAGATTATAACTAAGTTGATAAAAATGTCATAGTTTCAATATTTACACTTTAGTATAAGTCACACATTTGTTCAGACCCTCAAAATTCTAGTGCCAATAAGATTTTACAGTGAACTTCTAGTGTCTGAAAAAGATTTTGACAGTGGTCTCAATTTAATTCTGGGATATCATTTTTTAAAGTGGTCTTATTTGGCAGTGTTGGTATAGAATTTTGACAATGAACTTCTGGAGAGGTTAAACTGTCTATACTCTGTAACAATACAACTCTTAAACCCATCCTTAAAACAGAAATATTGTTGAACTTTGACTTTTGTTCTGTTGGATGGTCCAAAAGTCAACAGTTGTACTTTATGTATTTGTATTTTTAGCTGAATTTTATGCAACATTATACGCAGAAGATAAATAATTTGTCTTTTCTATTTCCTCTATGCAAGGAGATAATCAGAAAACATATTACTGCATACTGTAAATGAGTTAATTGATTAGTTAATTACTCCAAAGGAACTATAATTTGAAAGTAACTATGTTGAGAGAAGGCAAAAAAGTTTTAGTGCGACTTGTCCAATTGCTCATAAGTGTTGTTTTGATACATTAAGTATTTCAATTCAATGTCATTGCTATCCTAACTTAAATATTATTTTTAACTTATCAGAGAGGTTATCTCAAGAAACGAGTCCAAAGACCAGATTGGACATTTATGCACTAAAATGATAAAAACAAAGTGAACCTGTTTCAAGATGTGTTTTGAGATCTAGTATAGCCTTAACTTGTCAACAGAAACAAAAGCTTAGTAATTAATAACAAATAATTTAATTTGAATATATATGTATTCTGTTCGACAATTTCATTTTGCTCAGTAATGCATTGAAATAAGTGCCTTAGACGTGTATTGTGGTAAAATTGAATCAAAACCCAGTTTCAATGTTCTTGATATTGATATAACATGGTTGTCAAGATTTACTTTGAGCAAATCACCAAACAGGAACAGTAGCTAAATGCTGCACCTTCTCTTTATATCCCAGAAAGGCCGAAGGGTACATGCATTCATACTCTGTATTCATCTGATCTTAAGGTGGGCCTAGTTCGATAGAATTTGAGTCTCATGATTGGACTTCCAAAACATGCAAGCTGTATAATGGTCTAGCTAGAAGTATTAAATATCATACTAAGGGCACAACGGTTTCATATTTACCCAAATAAATAGTTATATAATTCTGTTGGTGAAAATGTTGGTTTTCAACTGAAATATTCTTAAATAGGGCGAGGGTGATGGAATAATGAAAAATTAACTTTATTTTTAGAGATCTCTCATTTGGATGTACCATCCCAAAACTTTCTAATGAATCCCATTATTTTTTTCCAAACTATGAACAGTAAAAACCTCTCTAATTCAAACAACGTGTTCAGAATAGATGTTTACATTTTAAGGTTTTTGAACATGGAAGTCAATGGCAGATGGAATTGAAAAAGTGTTCACATTGAGAGGTGTTCAGATTGAATAGGTGTTCCGATATACAGGCTGTACTTTACATGTATTGTTATTGTTTCAGGAATCTTTGCTTACTTGAACTTCTTGGTGGAGAGTGACCGAGAGAAGATCATTAAGATCCTTATAGATGGCTTGAAGAGACTGGAATACAGGGGATATGACTCTGCAGGTATGTTACAGAATATGGAAAATATCCACTGGTTAATATCAGGAAAAGATAATGATTGTTACTTTCTCCTGGCACTGACCAGATATACATATAAGTGTCAACTAAAGGTTGGTACCACAAATCAGTATCAAATATTTTACGAATAATTAGCAGCTATTATCACATTATGATGTCATACATAGTTCAAAATATTTCAATTGAATGAAATTGAAATTTCATTTCCCCAGATTTTTTCAATTTTTGTGAAAGTGAACTACTACCTTTAAGCTAAATGATATATAGAAAACACACTTCTGAGTTTGCTGAAGAACATGTTTACTTGCAGAACATTGACACCAAAAGTTGACGTCATTCTTTTAATGTATAATTATGGGCAGTTCACAATTAAACATTGCAGGAAGCATTTTTACAACTATAATTAAGGAAATAGTTTTTGCGTGTCATACTTTGACCTTCAATGTCAGTTTTAATACTGTATTTCTACTTAATTTGATGCTACTTATTTTGGTGGATTTGCTGTTTTGAACATTTATCGGCTACTTGATTTGGTTCAGACTTGCAATATTACAATGTACTAATGGTACTTTATTACATGGTACTAAGATTACTGGGGAATTTGGTGGATCCGCAAAATTAAAATGGCTGCGAAATGAAGTAGAAGTACAGTAGATATAAAAACATTAAAGACTTGATAGACTTGCAACTACCCTTCACAGCAGTATCTTTTCATTTTCATGTGCTAGTTGAATGATTGTATTAAAAGTAGTACTACATCATTTGTAGCTTTAAAGGCCCTGTGTAAAGTTTGAAAATATAGTCCGATCATTCAAATATTACTTTTCATGACTTGAAAAACTAAGAAAATATGACTTGAAATTATGACTTTTGAAATGAACGTTTTTCATGTTGTAATTTTTAAATATTTGGAACTCCCTCCATTTTAGAAACAAAAGTTTAGATTTTCAGATCATAAATTTCTTAGCGTAGAGTTAATTTCTTGCTTATTTTTAAATTAGGATTATGTGAGGTAGTGTGTTAGCATTGCTGTTAATAATTGCTTAAACAAAGTACGTAACTTGACAACTAAACACAATTTTTTAAACAAAGTATCTTCAAAGTCAACTTTTTGAAATTCAATTGAAAGTTTCACGTAGCACATTTCAATAACATTTGGTAATAAAAGCCAAAGTGGTTTTAACTTTATATGGGGCCTTTAAGGTTACTTACCTTTCTTTGTATACTTTGACGCCATCAGATTTGAAACCTCACAGAGCATAATCAAAGCCCATGATTAAACAGTAACCTTATCAACTTAGCCTGACTATTTGAATTCCTTTTTTATTTTTATTTTGATGTTTTTCATATAGTATTCAAGTTCAATTAAATAGGATCTTACAATCAAGTCAAAGAAATTGGCAAGCAAGGCTTTGCTTCAACTCAAAGAATAACATACCTTACAGAGCAAGGATTTAATTCAATTCAAACAATAAAATATTTTACAGAGAAAGGCTTAGATTCAACTCAAACAATAAAATATCTTACAGAGCAAGGCTTGATTCAACTCAAATCCTAAAATCTTAAAAACACGTCAAAAGTCTTGATTCAAAATGTCTGACTGCATAAACATTCTGATGGCAGGTATCGCAATTGATGGAGGGAATGAGCAGGTTCGAAACAAACCTATCCGACTCATCAAAAAGAAAGGCAAAGTGGCCAATCTGGAGGAAGAAATCAAAAGTAAGTTTTTAAACATATTAGTGATATATTCAACAGATTTATTTACTTCAAATGTTTTCTGCCAGTACTAGGCTAGAATATTTAGGGTCACACTTTTGTATTTTGATATATTTTGAGGACATCCAATCATTAGATTTTAATATTAAAGTAATTGAAATCTTTTTTTCACATGTATTTACATGTATACTGTTAAGGTGAATTGGCAAGGTTACTTCAAGGTTAAACCTTACTATGTCATTCAGCATTTCACTTCAATAGAACTATTGATATTGATGATTTGAATAAATCTGTATAATGGTACTATGAAATTATGTGTAAGAACATAGAGTATAATGTAAGCAAATGGATTATCCTATGCGAGGTTCAAAATATCAGTATTATTCCAATGCTAATAAATGTAAATTATGTACAGGATGTCATGAAGATCTAGATGTAATGTAAACTTCAGAATATCCCCAAATTATCCTTAACACCCTATTACATCACCTATATGTAATGAGGTTAAAAAAATACAAATGTTTACAAAACTGCTAAATATGCACCACTTACATGTCACATTATGGGATAAATAGCAAATTGCAGCAGCTTTTGAAGACAATGTTTGACTCTATATGTTTATTCATTTCCAGTTGCAGAAGATTTAAACATGGATCTTACCTTTGAGACACATATTGGTGTAGCCCATACCCGCTGGGCAACCCATGGGGAACCTAATGCTGTAAATTGTCATCCACAGAGATCAGAGGAAGATAATGGTAAGCTTTAAGAAATTATTTTCATTATTAATAATTTTTTATTTACTAAGGCTCATTGTGTACAGAAATAGAATATTTGTTATATTGTGGTTAGGAGTGGGCAGACAGCCCATATTTTATTGAATTTTATGAAATTAGAAATTCCAAAGTTGGTAGATATTACTGATCATTGTCATTGTAATTTATCCAGTTTGCTTCTTGTTATGATTGTAGAATTCATCGTAGTGCACAATGGTATCATCACAAACTATAAAGATGTCAAACAATTCCTGGTGAGTGCTTAGATTAGAAAGAAGAGCAGATCACCTCTGCTTTAAATACACTGAATTTTTATTGATCATACTTTTTTCTCGTTTTCACTATAATTATTAATTATGCACCTATACATATATTACGGATAATCATAAAGTCTAATTAACATTATAAAAATCAGTTACTTATTCAAATATTCAAAAATAAACAAAAACATTTTTTCATTTTTACAGCAAAAAAATGTGTTCAAGTTAACACTCAATATTCCATTTTAAAACCCAGACCCTTGAAAGAATTACCAAATTGACAAATATTTTCATTTTTGCAGCAAAATAAAGGATATGTATTTGAGTCTGAAACAGATACTGAAGTTATCCCTAAATTGTGCCATCACATATTCAAGTCCCACGAAGGCAGCCCTATTACATTCCGTGAGGTAGTTGAGACCTGTATACAACAGCTGGTGAGTAAAATAAGATTCCAAGCACTCAACAGACCTTTCCTTATGCATATTGTAGTAACATGTTATATACAGTATTAGGTTCTCTTAATATGCAAATTGAATGTCTTAGTTGAGTTTAAAATCATTCATCAAATTGAGTTTAATATTCATTATGATCACTTTATCACAAACATGTATATTTCTTCACTGTTTTACAGTGATATTAAAATTAAAATACAGATCAGTGATCTCCCCATGTCACTTTTACCGGGGGCTCCCCCTACTTGAAACCAAAGGCCCCCCAGTTGGCACCCAGTTGGAATCTCCACTTCAACTTCTGATTTGAAAAATGAGTGAAGTAAGCACCTACACTGAGATATTGTGAGCGTAGCGAGTGCTGATTTTTCAGACTTGAAATCTTGCACCCAGTTAAAAAATTTTTTTGGGGAGAACACTGCAGATTGTATTATTGGAGGTGTATCATTTGGCATAAATATGTGCTCCATGTGTCAGTAGGCACATTTATGGTACTGTGATTTGATTTATGCTAGGTCAGTCATACTGAAATTTGTCAAATTGAATAGACACCAATATTCCAAAAATGACCAAAAACCAAATTGAATTACATTACATGAATTACAGTATGTAAATTGTGATAATTTAATCTGTTACAGGAAGGTGCATTTGCTCTTGTGTTCAAGAGTGTACATTTTCCCGGACAGTGTGTAGCTGCAAGGTAAGATGACCTTTAAAGTCCCCATGTAAAGTTTGAAAATATGTTTTTATCATTCATTTACTATTTCTAAAAAACTAATTCTCATCTTAAATAACCTAAAGTATATTCAATAACCCTACAGTACATGTATATACTGTACTCATAAAAGCAATTTTTGTCTGTATTTCAATATTACATGAATCCACAAAGAAATCACTTTAGCTATAGGTAATCGCATGTATCAGTAGGCTCAAGAGTCGTTGGCATTCATGAGTAGGCGTTTGAGAATGAACATATTATTTGAGTGTAAAACGGGATAATGTCAAGCATTTTCTTGAACATCTCTAAATGACTAGTAAACAGTATTGCTACATACCTTATCTATCTAAGTGTCCAGTACGTGTCTGCTAGACATATATCTTTTTTGACTTTAAGAAAATGTCATGATGTGATATCTGTATATCTATTTAACTACATTACACTACAACATTTATTTCACAGATGAACGTGTGATTTGTAAAAAAAAGTATGATGCATTATAAGAAGGTTACACTTCTTAGAGTCAGGTTGCTGAAAGTTTTGAAAGCTTTCCAACCTTTATTTGGATATATATATCTTTTTAGTAGTTTTTGAGCTTTGAGACCGAAGTCAGCTATAATATGCACTTTTAATTGGAGAGATAGATACATGTATTTGTCATTTTGGAAAATCTGTTTGTAGTCAAGTGTAAAAGTGTATGTCATCAAACATATAATAAATCATCCCTAAATTGATTGGAGTTTAATTAAGGAAGTCAACATTGAGAAACAAGATTTCTTTGTATGCATGTCTATCTTCATTGAAAATGTTTTTGAAAATATTTACAATACCTGCCTGTATCTTACGTAGGTTCACTTATAGCCAATACCAAGGCTTGTTATCTTTTCTGCAAACACCGACTTCCTCATATATCATAAGTAGAAGCATATCAATGTCTTACGATTTTTTTATCAACTCACATTTGATATATGACAAGTATTTTGTTTGTGTAGTGCTTGAGTTGTGACATTGTACAATTATCTTGAAGAGACATTGTAATGAAATGATATTTGTCTTTAAGTGCATGGATCTAGACAGGGGTGTTAATCTTGTTATGTAGGCGTATATAAAATATACATTTATCAAAAACCATGCCTCTTAAAATGTATACATTGTGTCCCATCTTTAATTGCCTACAGTGTACATGTATAAGGCATTTCAATTACTTTCAAGATAAAAATGGTTTGTGTAGAATGAGTCTTGTACTTTGTTTGAATGATCAAAGGCAAACATGAATCGTTATATTTTGTAGCAAACTATATCTAGACCTGTCCAATGGTTTTAAGTCTATCCATTTATTATAATATTACTCAAAAATATATTCAATGAGGAATTGGATTTAACACAGGGTCGCTCAAACGATGTAATTCAAAATAACTTTTTTCTTGTGTATTTTGAAATAGTCGTTCAAAACTCTCCATCATTTAGAGTCATTCCAAAATTAGGTTGTTGCAATATTTTGGGTCACCCTTTATCCAAAGTAACATCATTATAATAGAAATAATCAATCAAATAAGATTCTGTATAGTACCGATCACGTCATTGTGACATCAACTTGCAGAATTTTTTTTTTAAGTCATCAATTGCAAAATATTATATTGAAGATGTCTCGATTTAGATATTTATATTTGACCTGTTAATAAGATGATTATATGGATTGATGCTGCATTTAATGTTGTTTGTCTGTCAACAGCCTCAAGGGGCTAAGTCATAGTAGCGTTGTGTAGAAACCTGACATTTATTACCACCCACAGGGATATCTAACTCAGTTCAATTCAGGTATCTTCTGATTGATTGGAAACTTGACCGATCAGCATCCATTTCGTATTTTAGTAGCTATGACTCATTCATTAGCAAATTCGTCCATAGGTCAAATTTGCACATCATTTTATGAAAATGATATTTGATTTTTGCATTGTATCATACTCATAGCTTCGACTGTTGCATCCCTACTTTTATTTTGGCCTGTTCACTCTAATATTGTTACATTTCTGAACCTCAGCACTGCTCTTAGTCACCTGCATCTTCAATCTGTTACTCAATTGAGTACAGTAAACATGTAGTATGATTCGGAACTATTTTTACATCTATCCATGTTGTAAAGTACAGTACACTGTATTTCTCTATTGCCAGTCTACTGTTGCCATGGGACTATTTTCTCACTCACGATTCCTACTATATCTTTGGGGACTATATTCTGGACTATATTCTGATGCTTTTTTCATTCCGTTTCAGACGTGGTAGCCCCTTGTTGATAGGTGTGAAGAGTCAGTCCAAACTCTCGACTGACCATTTCCCCATTCTCTACAGTAAAGGTATGTCAATACAGTAAAATATAGAAAATGTTTATCAGTTAATACAATAGGACAAGATGTACACATGAAGGATATTTCTTCATTTTGAGTAATATTGTTTAAATGTTAATGTTGTCATCAAATTCTTGTTGTTACTCAAATTACTAATATACTACAGTAATTGTTTCTGGCAAATCACACTAAGTAAACATTGCCAGTACAAAGTTAACAAAGTTCTACTATTGCATGTTAAATGATTATGTCTTTTATCATAAATATTAATATGTGTGATTAAAACAAAGTTTTGCATCGAGTCTGACTTTTTCTCCCAAAAAAATGTAATGGTTGTAGGGAAGATATTCAGTTTGAACCATAAAGTCTATAAGTCAAACTTGAATCATGTTATTGTCCTTTACAGGGTGACATTATTATTCTTCAGTAAAATTCAATCGACCAATATAAATATAGTGTTTATTGTTATGTCCTGCCCCTAATGGAAGAGTCAGGGGGCAATAGACTTGATGCAAAATTAAAACATTGAAACCTTTTCCACCTACCACTGGTTGAGGGTGCTGATGAAATGAAAAAATAACACCAAAAATATCTTTACCCTTCTTTAACATGGACTTTCTTTGAAACCCCATGACTGTTATAGTGTAATAAGCTTGTACTCAATGAATAGGAAAACATATTTTCAATATGCACCTCAGTTGTGTGTTTGTGTCACTTGTATCAACACAATGTGACCATTCTGTTTCACTTCAATTTTATTATTCAGTAGTTTGTAAGTCACCATAGCTTATATAGAATATAGATATGCAAACTATTCAGAGCTTTTGGTTAATCAGAATATTGTGTTTTAAGTTTTCATAACTAAGTCCAAAATAAATGACCATAAAGTAAACTATCAGAGGTTAAAATTTTTCTTGGACCAAAAGAAATCAAAAATTGTTTCTGTAAAAGAATCAAGAAATCAGGATAATTTTTTCTTTAGTAATTATTTCTGCATGATCATACCTACCCATGTCTATACTAACCCATCCCATGTAATGCAAGCATACAATAAAAAAGGAAATAGAAGCCCAGTGATGGGTCCAAGGCATAAGATTGGTAAATCAGGATCTGGAAATGGGAAAATGGGACAAAATCATTTGGCAAATGGGACAGAATCTTTTCTTTGGTATACTAGGGTTGTCTTGAAAGCTTTATGGGTCTGTATAAACTACCTTGAGACAACCTTTTGATTGTAATTTGCTATGGGGAAAAATGAAATGATCTATATCAATGATTAACTCTTCACACAAAATGCTTTGGTTCTTGGCATTCAGAATGTTTAAAATGGGCAACATTTGAATGGACAAAAACACTGGTGCTTTAAGGCTTTGGATTTGGAACAGACTATTTTGAATATGTATATGATTGATGTGATTTGTACCAAAAATTGATAGATGGTTATTCATTGGTTGTATAAAAGAGATATAACTTAAAACAATTAAAACATGTTGATATTATTGCATGGAGTTGGACAGTATGGTTGTTGAATCGGATATGTTCTAAATCTTATCTCTTTTGCATTATAGATCATAAAGGTCAGTTATAATATTGGGTATATGAACTGTGTGCATTGGAGCATGGCCTTTTTTATGTCACCACCACAAGTGTTGACATAATCTTAAAGTCTCCAACCTTATTGTGGACATTGTTTAGCATTCGGCTTTCAGAATCTAGCATTTGGTGTCTGTAACAAATGGCAGGTGGTGACATTTTGCATGCCTTGTTTGATGCTTTTTAACAACTGCTTTTTACTAACAAAATGCATGACCTGTATGTGTAGTAATTTTAGGTGTCTTCTACTGTATATTTGTGTCTAAATAATTTGCATGTTCTCACTTAAAATCCTATAAAAGCTTGAAATATAAGTAGACTTATGTTATAAGGATGTGCTTTCATATTATCTTGTATGATATTCTAATCAATAATCCAGACTTTCAACAGTTTATTTTACATTTTTTCTGTTACAATCTTCACTTTAGAATGTCATTTTAATGTCATCTTTGAAACAATGACATATTCAAAAAGAACAGTAAAATATTCTGTTGAAAAGCCATGCATTGTTAAAATGATAAAGAATGACGATATTGATTATTAATATATTTATGTTGTGTTTTCTATTTTTTCTACTTGGATGTTGTGTCTATCTGTAGATGTTAACGCTGAAGGTACTAATATTTCCTATTTCCTCATTACTTATATACTCACTTTAAGGCCATTACAAATAAATATTTGAATATTTTGGCGTGCTTCGTTGTTCGATGGTTTAACAGAAACTATTTTTTATTCACAGTTTATCATCAGTGGTTGGGGGTTGCTTTGCAAATATTATATTTGAATATTTTGGCGTGCTTTGTTGTTCGATGGTTTAACAGAAACTATTTTTTATTCACAGTTTATCATCAGTGGTTGGGGGGTTGCTTTGCAAATATTATATTTGAATATTTTGGCGTGCTTCGTTGTTCGATGGTTTCACAGAAACTATTTTTTATTCACAGTTTATCATCAGTGGTTGGGGGTTGCTTTGCAAATATTATATTTGAATATTTTGGCATGCTTCATTGTTCGGTGGTTTAACGGAAATTGTTTTTTATTTACAGTTTATCATGAGTGGTTGGGGGTTGCTTGACAAATATCATATTTGTAGTGGCCTAAAAATTGTAAAATTAATGATAGATAAAAGCAGATTTGATAATTTCATAAAGTTTTCAATTTGAATATGCTGCATATAATGCATAATGAAATAATGCATGTTGTTTAGTGTAATGTTAATGAATTTATAATTTTTTAATTTTATATGTTTGCTTGCCACAAATGTGGCTGAGTTGCATCCATCTGTTCATTAAATAGTAATTAATTAATATCTTGTCATTAATTAGTATTAATGACAAACATATTAATGTGTTACAACTTCATAATAATGTTATTTGACATGACGTTGTATTGCATATCAAATAAAAAGGATAGGTTTCATATTCATCTAATTACTGATTATGCAATATCAAAATAAAATACCATAAGGTACATATAACAGAATCTGTAATTATGAATATGAAATTTAGTTTTCTGTACTAAATAATAAAAAGACTAACAAGATTGAAATGCATGTGTAAAACTATAGCCTGATTGTTTAAAAAAGATTATTATTTATTTGTGATATTTAGCGATGGGTATCGAAGTGGGTAAGGATAATTTTAATGAGTGGGATTAACCATATAAGGTGCTGCTAAATGATAATGAGCTCTGGAGGATTATTTGGTTTCTGGACCCCTTGTAGTTGTAGATTTTTGTCAGGGCTGTCAACCCTAAAAGTTCACAAGGGCTACTTTGTGCGAGTTATGAACAAGTTTGGGGATGGTTATGGTATCTAATTGTTGACAGTTATGAAAGAACAAATCAGTGAAAAATGGTGATTTGCTGGTGAAATTCATGTGAAAGGCAAATGAGCATTTCTGTTGGGTTAGAGGAAGGGTTAACCGTAATGTGATTAACTGGTGTTTTTCCATAACTGTCAACATCAAGACACTGCTCTCTTAGTCTCCCTAGGTTTTTACCAGGCTTTAACATGGTATATCAATAATCTGCTCAGCATTGAATTAAATCGGTGTTGAAACAACTTGGGATTCAAAAAGTAGGTTTGCTCTCACTTGAAATTCGGTTTGCACTCAACTGAAATATCCTCAAAATGCCATATTCTCACAAAATGTCAAAACTGTGAATCCTGCACTCACTTGAGAAAATTCTCGTGAGAATACTTCATTGATAAATCTGGGACATCAAATGAACACGAAAGTGTGCATATGTCTTTGCATGGTGGCATTAGATACTTGGAATTCTTGATCACATGTACTTCGATTCTTGGAAGATGACAGCACTGGGACCCAAATCCTACTCGTAATAACAAACAAGGAGGTGAAAGATGGTTGAAGATTGCAAAAATTTTGTAGTTTGTAAATAAGGGTATCAGATATGTTTTGTCGGTATGACGTCTGAGTTAATGACATCTGAATTAATGCATTTCATGGTGGTTCGTGCTGGTAACTTACACCATTGGTTCTGGCTACTACTTTTTCCTTGTTTTTAAGTGGTTGTTGTACACAATGTAGCAATGTTAAAAAAAAAAATCCAGGCCACACCTCATACAATGCACAATCTTATGGCTGAGGTTATATACACGTGCATGAATTTGTATTGAACAAGGGAAAAGAGTCAAAAGTATACTTAAACAATTTTTTGTATATCACAATTTATCCATTAATTATTCATGTAAGTATTGTACATGTACATCTATATGTATTGATATTTCATTTTCAGATTACTGTTATAATACTTCAACAAGCATGTTTCAAGTCTTCTAATATTATTATTGATGTATTGTTTTAGTAAAAGAACGCAAGACCAGTCTGGGTATGGATTTGCTTTATAGAGCTTAATAAAACAAAACATCTGCCATTTTGAAATTTCATGTAATCCTTCGTAGTCAAATGTCAGAAAAAATAGAACTAGCCTGTACCTGTTATTGGCAGACATGTTTCAACTATTTCCCTTTATGCCATTAACAGATACAATGGTTACATTTGATCTACATTTGCAAAGGATCATTTGAATTTTAAAGTTGGTGGGATCGCTTAATTTTTCTGCCTAATATTCCTATATAGACCTTATGTGACAATGAATTGCTTCTACCTTTCCTAAAGCTGTGCTGAGAGGCAGTTCTACAGCTGAGATACAGCTGTAGAAAAGAATGTGATATTTATCTACTAAATTCTATCGATGGGTGGTTTTAAACATCATCTTGCAGTCTAGTAAGACTGTATATAGATGTGATGTTAATATAGAAAATCTCTGAGTGGTTTATTCATGTAACATTTCGAACTATCATCTTACAGTCTAGTAAGACTGTATATAGATGAGATGTTAATGTAGAAAATCTCTGAGTGGTTTATTCGTTTAACATTTCAAACTAGCATCTTACAGTCTAGTAAGACTGTATATAGATGAGATGTTAATGTAGAAAATCTCTGAGTGGTTTATTCGTTTAACATTTCAAACTAGCATCTTACAGTCTAGTAAGACTGTATATAGATGTGATGTTAATGTAGAAAATCTCTGAGTTGTTTATTCGTTTAACATTTCAAACTAGCATCTTACAGTCTAGTAAGACTGTATATAGATGAGATGTTAATGTAGAAAATCTCTGAGTGGTTTATTCGTTTAACATTTCAAACTAGCATCTTACAGTCTAGTAAGACTGTATATAGATGAGATGTTAATGTAGAAAATCTCTGAGTTGTTTATTCGTTTAACATTTCAAACTAGCATCTTACAGTCTAGTAAGACTGTATATAGATGTGGTGTTAATGTAGAAAATCTCTGAGTGGTTTATTTTATGTAATATTTTTAACTTTCATGGAAGAAATAAAATTGAGTGATGCCTAATTCTCAACTTTCATTAAAAATATTAAACATTTGAAAATTAAATCTAATGCTAATTATTTAAGGTGGGACATACGTCCTTTGAATATTTAGTATTTGACTTGCCTATCTACTTCACCCTCTATTTCTTGGTTCAAGGATGGATTGTGGTTTGTTCAGTTCGTCCTCATCAGGAAAAATTTATTAATGAATGACCTGGATTTGACCTCTGACATCATGAATAGTCATGTGACCTTCAGGGATTGATCATTCTGACCAGCTTTGTTCCTATACATGTCTTAATGTATCAATTCCCTAATTCCCATGAAAAACTGTTACATTTTCATGACATAGGACCTTTAATGATTTGGTCACTAAATTTCTCTATTATTACGTTGCCTTTCTTATGTTACTGCTTTCAGAATGAATTCATGTAATGAATATAAAATTAGGACAATCTGCTAATATATGCTTATTTGTATTTGCTTTTCACAGCAAGCAGCATATAATATAGTAAAGGAGCTATAAACCCTTCTGATATTCCAAATTTTTTCATTGCATTTGACTGGGTTTGTTTTGCTTCGATTAATCATGGCACATACTGACAAAGCAAATGCTTGGTGATTGGGTAATGATCATATCCATTGTGCAGAATCATCCCATTTTGCTGATAAGAACTAAAAAATGTTAATAACATTCAAAGATATTCATCAGTATCTAATTAATGCTGTGTTTGCATAATTGCATATCTCACATGCATGTTTTCAATTTCATGTTTGATTTTTTGTTAAATAAACTCTAATGTACACAAGAGCAAGGGGATTGAATATGATAGAATCTATTATAATGTAATGTATTGTTTTGTGTCATTTAGATCACAGAGGTTCAGGAGGTATCAACCCCCCATCTATTCAACGTGATGAAACCACGGAGTTCCATCCAACAGGACCACAGAAGGTGGTTGAATACTTCTTTGCATCAGACGCAAGGTAACAATAACTTAAAACCCTATAATTTTATGAAAAAAAAATTACAAGCCATCATTTGATATACAATACATTTCCTAGAAATATGATGATTCGCATTATTCAATGTATAAAAAATTTAGAAGTTGTTTTTTACAGATGAGATATATTGGAAATATACTTCCTTTGAATAAATACATGACCTTCATTGTAGTCATCATCATTGTTCATGTACAATCAATTCAATCTGTTCTAAGAACATATGTCACACTTAACGACATATGTCCATGTCAGCCTAACTTTTAGATAATTTACTTACACTTCAAAGATCATGTACATGTAAATGATAACCAGTTTTATTAAGATTGTGAGCTAAGATATATTGTATGCACTCTTAGGAATGTGCCACTGATTAAAATGTTATTTGTACAATTGTGATTATAAAAAAACTAATATCTACTTGTTTAGAAATTAAAGAAACAATATTTAAAGTTAAACATCTATATAGCATAGCACAGGAATGATCTCAATTGAATTTAAAAAAACTATGATATTTTCAATACTATATTTTTGAGCACTTTGACATTTCACATTTATATATTTTTAGATCATTTTAAAGTACATGAATTGTTTGTATCCGGTGTCAATAAAGATGATTTAAAACTACCTTTTTGCACTGAATTGAAATATGAACTAGGCTATTAAATAATTTATTTTTAAAACATAACATATTAAGGGCTAATTTTAAAGGTCAGAAACTAATTTGAGTTATCAATGAAATGTCAGATTAAAATCTAAAGTGCAATAAGGGTATATAAACAGTAAGTCATATTTTATTTTTAATGCCACTATAAAGTTTGAAAATTGTTCTTTGCCACATAATTAGAATTACACAAGATTTATAACATTGGTAACTTCATTTTTAATGCGTAAATGGGCACATTTCCATGTTTCAATTGGGCTTTCAAAAAATCTGCCCATTATTGCATTCAGGGCATATATGGTAATAACTACCAACCTGAATTTTCACGATATTGTCCAGGTGGGCCCTGTCTGTGATGTACATCAAAAGGCTGATACACAGTCCAATTCATCAAAGCTGGGCAGCCTGTCTAGATAGTGCATGCCCTGGCCAAAACTGGTCATTTAAGTGTCCATCTTGTTGACCATCCTTTGAATTCCAGTGCCATCATAGAACACACTAACCAAGTGATCTACCTTGAGGATGATGATGTGGCTGCAGTTACCGATGGCAACCTCTCAATCCATCGTGTCAAGCGCTCTCTTGATGATACAGGTCTCAGAGAAGTTATCACACTTAAGATGGAAATACAACAAATTATGAAAGGTTAGATTGAAATTTATCCCATATCCTCCCCCACTTTAAATAATAAAAATGAAGAGTACAATGTCATCTAAAAGTTTGGTTACAGCTGGAAGCAGTAAGTAAAAATATCACTTTCTTGGATCATATCTCATAAACTGTTATGCCTTAAGAGAGCATAATGAGCATTGCACATCACATTTTTCATACAGGATCAAAATCTTAGACCTGGCTATACTGATGACCAAATACATGTATATTCGATATTCATATATTAAATTAATGTTATGAACCAAATAACTACATATGGTTTACAATGAATGATTAAAACATTAAATGGCCCATTTCCTGCACTTGCTGAAAAAATATTGAATCTATCTTGATCTGGCCCTCCTAGCTCATAATCATCAATCATATGTACACATGTAATATGTCAAAATGAGATTGTTAACATTGGATCAAAAATACCGCAACAATACAGTACCCAGGGGTGTCTGATTTGTCATTGTCAAGGTGACATAGTTATCAGTTTTTAAGACAATGAACTTTGAGTCTTGTTCTCTCCTAAATCAAAGAACCGGCTGTCATTACCTTGGCATATTACGTGAGAATTGACACCAGTTAATGGCTCATGTCCTGAAAGCAATATAGAAGCCCAGTTGTAGGTGGTTCAGATATGTTCGAGATGTCATGAAAAAAAATGCATTATACGAGGGTTGATCCAAAAGTTCTGAACCGTTTGCTCTAAAAATCTTAATACTTTATGAATACTGTTCATATTTAGCATTTCATAACACGCTAAACTATATTGAATTACCACATATTTTAAGGCAGGAAATTGATTGATATTTTAGATTCAAGCTTGTCTGTCCTTTTGATCTGCCCTAAATCTTTGTCTCTCATACTACTTATAATTGCGTTAAAGGTCATCTTACACTCAACATGTAAGCACCTGCTTAATGGAAATATTTTTAAATCAAGATTTATATATTTTTCAAGTAGGTTGCAAGATCTCAGGATATATATAAATAGATATAAATAAACACTTGGGAGCATATCATATGCGAAGGTTATCACAAAGATATCATTTTGAAGAAAATAATTAGAAGGAAGTGCAGTTATAGATTTAAATCTTGAGCTGAACTCAAAACAGAATGGTTTTGATTACTATGCGATATCATTGAAAACATTATTGATGTGAATGGTAGATTGCAAATTATAATTACAAAATATACAGGAAAGTGACACTTGTTAAAAGTTCAAATATTTAATTGAAACTGCGTAAATGTTCAAAGATTGAGAATGCCAGGAAGGACCAGAGTACCTAGTGAATTTATAATTCCAAGCTGTAAGGTAAAAGACGTCTATGAGGGTAAAAGGCGCAAAAGTGCAACTGCTCTGAGTGGAGAGGAAGTATGGAGAGGTTTGTGTCACTTCTTCATAAAGTTTGATGGTAGACTTTTGCTGAATTAAATCCTTCCATTTTAAGTGGTTTTGCAAATCTAGAGTGAATATATGAAAATAAAGAAATGTGTTTTTTTTGCCTGGATTTTACTGTGGTTTAGTGTAACTTATTATTATCAATATTTTTTATTTTTTAAAAAACAAGAGATGCAGACATAAATAAAAGCTACCATTCTTAATATGGCATTGCAGCTACCTTTAGTTAAATATAACATTTGTTGTCAGGTAGGGCACCAAGGAAGTTAAAATCATGAAAAACAAACAAATTCATAAACAAACAAAGTGAAATGACATGTATGTATTCATGTAAAATAGAACCTGGGGGTTGTTTACCTATGAAACTTGTTTTGTTTTCAGTTGTGTTTTTCTCTGAACTATTTGTTTAGCTGTTGGGTGTTTCATCTGTTTGGCACTCTTTTCCATCTTAAAACTAGATCACCATGTACATGAACATTGATTCATTTGATGATGTAATATGTTCAAAAAGGATATAAATTTACATGTACAGGGTGGGCAAAAACATCCATATTTTTCTCAATTCACCTGAATATCACTAACGGTTCATTGGCTTATGTACTAAATGTCATAAGTGATTAAAATAATATCTCACAAGAAAATATTCCAATTTGAATATTTTCCAGGAAACTTCAGCTCATTCATGCAGAAAGAAATCTTTGAACAGCCAGAATCTGTGGTGAACACAATGAGAGGTCGTCTTAACTTTGAGACTAATTCAGTGATCCTTGGAGGCCTCAAGGAACACATGAGTGAGATTAGACGTTGCAGGAGGATCATCTTTATAGCTTGTGGTACCAGTTTCCACAGTGCAGTAGCTGTGAGTGTTATCTCTTTAGATTTATCTTACATACAGTAGGTCCAAATTACTTATGGGACTTATCATTAAGAGTTTGCAAAGTTTTAAATACACTGTATATTGTTCTTTTATTATTATATTATGTCATGGCATTGTGACAATAATTAATTTAGAAATATCCATACCCCTAAATGTACCCTAGATATACATGTGGAATTCAACCTAGTCTACTCTTCATGACTTCATTGTTTGTAAAACCCATGTTCCCAAGAGTTCCCCATTTCGTTTGTTGTAATTCCCTATATATACAACATTTATTTACAGACTCGGCAGTTGTTAGAAGAGCTGACAGAACTACCAGTCATGGTAGAGTTGGCCAGTGATTTCCTTGATAGAAGTACTCCTGTATTCAGAGATGATGTCTGCTTCTTCATCAGTCAATCAGGTAAAAACATTATTACAGCATTACCATATCATTTTTTTCATTTTTCTGGTCTATTAATTTATTTCCATAGATTATATAAGTTTTGATCTGCTTGACTTGTTCATGGTTGGCAGTTTCTTACCCTATCAAGGAAATTACTTGAACACAAGGGACATGGTTGATTTACGAGATTAAAGTTTGTTTTCTTTTTGTGATTTTAAAAATCCATGTTTAAAAAACTCTCTTATTAGGCAAAATTATGTCCCATAAATTCCCCCTGAACACATGCTTTAACTCTGATTCTGACTAGATTTACATGTACTAGACCATTTTTTAAAATGAAAACTAGATCTCAGCATGGATGTGAATACATTGAATAATTAGATACTGTAATTTATATTCCTACTTCTTGATAACAAGTGTGAGACTAGACTGATATACTATGTTTACATCCTCTCATTATCTTAAACACAAAAAGTTGCCACACATCATTTTCATAATATTATGATAACTTAGATAGTGTTCGAACTGTTCAAGGTCTAAATTTCAAGATCAGTTTAACACTTATGAGGTTAATAATAGGATGAGTTTTGGACTTGTGTGTGTCAATGGTGTCAGTCTACAAACTTTTTTATGGTCCAATTATCTATGTGAAAATTGCTAGTTACAAGTTTCTCCACCAGGTGGCTCAAATGGGTTAGATAACATGCCAAACGGTAAACATACAGATTACTACTACTATTGTTGTTTATTACTATGATATGTCACATACTGAATACGTAAAGCTATGGTCCGTTTCAGGAGAGACAGCTGATACTCTTATGGCTTTACGATATTGCAAACAGAGAGGAGCATTAATTGTTGGAATTACCAATACCGTGGGGAGCAGTATTTGCAGAGAATCCCACTGTGGGGTGCACATAAACGCTGGCCCAGAGATTGGAGTAGCCAGTACCAAAGTAAGTGTGATGGTCCCTTAAATTTGATATTTTACTGAATTTAATGTACAAGTTTATGTGACGCACTATAAGTACATACATATACAGTAAAACCTGTGTACTGTGTACACTTATGGAACTAAAAATTGTGTTCATTAAGTAGGTGTTCACTACAGAGAGGGGGTTCTATAACAGAAGTCCGTGGAGTATGGGCTGAGAATGGGTTGTCACTAGACACAGGGGTTCTTTAGAGAGGGGCTCACTTAAACAGGTTTCACTGTACTTCTAAAACTCAGGCCTCACAGTTATGTGTTTAATGTTTTAGGCTTACACTAGTCAGTTCATTGCTCTGGTCATGTTTGGTCTGATGATGTGCGAGGACAGAATCTCCATGCAGGACCGAAGGCAGAAAATCATACAAGGACTCAAAGATCTTCCAGGTAATCAACTGTTCTCCCCAATTGTACACATAGAAAGGATCTTCCATTTAATCACTACCACCCTTCCAAAATAATTTATATTTTCTGGAAAGAAAATGAAAGAGAATGTAGTGCATTTATATTATTGAGTAATAAAAGAAAAAACATTCAATAAATGGTTTCACTTCTTCCAAATATCCATGGACATAAAACAAAGTACTTCAATAACAAATAAACCTAACCCACTCTATACAGCTATCAAAGGATATATTGAATTGTTCAGTGATCAATTTTTGATTAATTTGAGGTTAAAACAAAGAATTATGTTTTTAAAAGCATGAGACCATTGAATTTTTTCATGTTCATTATATATTTCAGAACAAATCAAAGAAGTATTAAAGCTTGATGATCAAATCAACAGCCTGGCACAGGAGCTCTACCAACAGAAGAGTTTACTTGTCATGGGGCGTGGATATAACTATGCCACTTGTCTAGAGGGTGCACTGGTACGTTCAAAGTTTGTTTTTTGTTTTTTATTTCATTCAATTGTGTCTGTCAATCATGACCCTATAAATCATTGAAAAACTAGATTGTTTGCCTGATAATTGTATTTTATTTACTTTTTTATTAATCCTCAACTTTGATTCATTAGTTGAGGATAGTTTATGTATCAAAGGCTTGTGTTCGAATTAAAGCTGTTTTTTTAAATTAAATTAAACTATTGATATTTTATTCAAGTTTTGAATTCTTGAGAATGAAAATAAGGAGATCTTCTTTACAATGTACGCATGACCAAATTTCTTCTTCCAGAAAATTAAAGAGTTGACTTACATGCATTCCGAGGGTATTTTGGCAGGAGAGTTGAAGCATGGACCTCTTGCGCTTGTAGATAAAGCCATGCCAGTCATGATGGTAGTGACGAGAGATGGAGTTTATGCAGTAAGTATAACAACTAACTCTGAACTCTGTAAATTAAGAGTCTGGGTAAAATATTAATTGAATGTATTCAGGCTATTTGTTATTAAATGTTGGCATCTGCTAGCTATAATACGTGTAAGTAAATGTTCACTTTATGTTTGCAGAAATGTATGAATGCCCTTCAGCAAGTGAAAGCCAGACATGTAAGTCGATTTAATACAAAATATTCTGAAATAACAGCTCAATTATAATGTATTCTGATAAAAATTATAAGTTATTAACTTATTCTTTAATGATGATCTTAATCCTTATCATAAAATTGAAAACAAACAATAAACTTGATTCTCATGTTTAAAGTTTAAAATTCAAAATAGTGAAAAAATGTTTGTAAATGAGTCTACACCTGTTCACTCTGAAGAGTCAATTTATCAGCTAATTAATGTACAATATATAAATGTTTATAAACCTAGATATTTATAAATGCAGTTCCAGCGCCTACACATGTCTTCACTTAGTTAATTATATACTGCCCTTAGGGAATTTATCTTATTTTCCTGAAAGAGTAACCCCACATACCACCTGATTGAGGAATGATTTTTATTCTGTGACAATTATGAAATTTTAATGTTGAAGCAACATTTACATGATTTACAGTACAATCGACTTCTGAAATACTGTATTAAAAATAGTTTTATTTGCCTTATCATTACTTTATCACAGGATAAGCCTTGTTTCACTTCTTCCTTATATTCATACTTTTCACACATCCAAGGATCTAGCCAAAATCCAAAATTAGATAAGGCTTTATAAAGGCAAGGCAAAACTAAAGCCAGAGATGTCATACTTAGTACTATACTTACATGGTATAAGTTTTTGTGAGAAGTATGAAATAGGTTAGAAACTTACATTACATAGCAATCACTGGCTCCTGCAGCCTTTAATAATTTTCAAGTTGATTAGTGTTAATCCAGGCCATTCAGTATATGGCTATGTGCTGAATTTTTCAACACGCAACAATTAATTGTTAGATATTAAGTTGTACAGGGTGTCTACAAAGTCTCTTTACAATTACAATACACAGCCTGGGTAAAGTGTAGAGACTTTATGGACACTTTGTATCACCATGCCTTATTAGGATGCCAGTGATTGTTTTGTAGTGCATATGTTGGCACTTTAGAAATATTATTAGTTAAATGGTTATGGTATATTTTGTTTTGCAGCTGCCTGCTCCTGGTGTAGTTCATTAACCAATAGCAATGTAACTACATATTGAATCAACCAATCAATGTGTTGTTATAATGAACCAATCACATTGCAACTACACATTGTATGAACCAATCACTGTGTCACTGTAATGAACCAATCACTACAATTCTACAATGAACCAATCACAATGCAATCTCACATTGTATCCTCCAATCATTGATTACGAACTCCTTGCAACCAATCATAATGCTGCTTTACACCAACTAATCATTTTGAAGCTTCTTGTTTCAGCCAATAATCATGCAGCTTCAGAGGGTACCCACCAATCACATTAAAGCTTCATATTATTTCAGCAATCATCTTGCAGCTTTGCAACATGAGCAGCACATATTGTGCTATTATACTGCACTGTATGAACCAATATATATGATATCATGATTATGCGTATTTTGCAATGCTTCAAACATTTTGCTTGTATTGTTTAAGCTTTGCTTTGCAATCTTGTTTCTTATTGTTGAAGTCAATGATCTCTAAAAACTTGAATGACACTCATTTGCTGCTAACTCACTCTTATCTTTGTCATGAAAGTTAAATATTTACAGCATGGGGCTTGCCTTATGGTCTAAATTTTAAAGCATGCGAGTTTGAAATTTAGTTGATATTCACATCAGCATGTTCACAAGAAATCGACCTCTGCTTGCTTGAATAACACAGTATATTTGGCTCACACTCGCAGGCTGGTTGCTAAAATTTTCAATATAATTAATGGCAATTGGCAAAATGCTTATATGAGTAACAAAAGGTACTTGGTTCATTGTATTAACTCAAGGGGAAAGGCTAAACATAGTAACACAATGGAAATATCTTGCTTGCTTTGATGCTTCATGGTTACAAGAAAAAAGAGGGATATTATGGTGATCGAATAAATACAACTCATGTATTCTAGGGCCAGCCTATTGTGGTTGTTAACACTGGGGATGAAGAAACCAAAAAACAATGCTATAAAGCTATAGAGGTTCCTCACACAACTGACTGTCTGCAAGGTCTCCTTACCGTCATTCCAATGCAACTGTTGTCATTTCATATAGCAAGCATGAAGATGCTAGATGTAAGCATGTTGGGTTGGTGGTTGGGCTAATATATGGTTGGTCGGATGGGGGTCATATTGGTTCAACTCAATCCAGATCATCAGATTTCTGCAAACTGGTTATTACTGAATTCCACGTCAGATGATATTTTATTTTTCCATACATCAGGAAAACTAGTTGGTCTGAATTGAGACTTACTGGCTATAGGTCTCGGTGTACCCTTGTCCCTTGTTGACCATCAATGAGCCATACTGAACCCAAGTGACCCCTGACCTACCTCTAGTTTGTGGTTTGATACAAATAAAACATGTATGGATAATTGTGGGAGGTCACTGTGTTTCTTATGTAGAATATCTTGCCAACATTCTGCCACAATCATTCTGAAGTGTTACATTTGATAACTGAAGGCATTTGTATTCATGACTTGAAATACATGTACTGTAAAACCTGTCTTAGTGAACAACTCTCTCTAGTGATCTAGTGAACACCTGTCTCTAATGGATAGGTACAGTTACTCTAGTGGACACCCTTCCTCCATACATACTCTACTGGTTTCTGTATAAATACCCTTTCTGTAGTGAACAATGAGCAACACGGAATGTTTTTTTTTCTTGGCAAACGAAATGTTCAGTATACACAGGTTTTACTGTTCTGTAAAATTTGTGCACATTTGGGTGGACATCTCAAAATGTGAACACTTCTCAGTCACAGATGACCCTTCACTTCTTATATGAGCATCTTCAAATGGGAACATTTATAGGCCTTTAACCCTTGTAGGCTGACTGGCTGGGATTCTCATAATCTGGCTGACAACGCAGTTTTACAAGGGTTAAAAGCCCTCCCCAGCAATGTTCACACCAGGCAGGTTTTACTGTATGATGAACATGTAAAGTTGGCTATTGTGATCAGGAAATTCTTTCACATGTCATAGAAATTACATATGGAAAAAGATCAGGGACTGCTAGCAATAATGGACTTATTAAGTGATACAAATCGCCTGAGATATGATACATTCATGTACATACACATATACAGAATGTCTCATGAATATGCATCCAATCCTAAACATTTAATTCTGTCTTTATCTTTCAGAGGCATCTTCTGTATGCAGAATCTTCATTATAAACCAAACATTTCATTTATAACCAACCATTAAGAATTTCACAATGTTTTAATTTTAACGATTAACAATGTTAAAATTTTAACTTTCAGATTAATCAATAATTTTCGATACTTCTGAGTAACTAATTAACATGGTTACAATTATTCAGTTCATTTTAAAAAACTATGAACTGCTAAAAGAAGCTAATAAGATTTCCAGTTTTATCTGAAATTGTCGAATCCTTAATAGTTTTTCCCACCACCTTCCCCTGCACAACCACTTCCCATTGCACCACCTCCCTGAGTGCTGATAAACAATTTACTATTGCATTGAGTGGGGTATTTTACAGGGTCGACCTTATATAATATGTACTAAGGGTGATACTGAGACACAACAGCATGCGCAAAAATATCTAGAACTCCCACATACGGAAGATTGTCTTCAGGGTATTCTCACAGTTATACCTCTCCAACTGCTCTCATTCCATGTCGCCGTTTTGAAAGGATTTGATGTAAGATCCTGGCCTTGTTTAAGACCAAACCATGGTTTACCTTGAATGCTTGTTAAAGGTCAAACCATGTGGTGATTGGCCAATTGCATGGTATTCGTTGTTCTCTGCATGTTGTTCATCGTTCTCTGCATTGTGTTTGTTGTTAAGTAGTTCTAGGCGTTTGTTGTAGTACCAATCACATTTTGCATGTTAACTTAAACACTAGTTAGTGTGATTATGTCTACTAATTATGTTAATCCTTTAACTTTTTAAGCCTATTTTATATATTACTGGGAGGTGAATGAACTTTAAACTTAGCAATCCATTTCTTGTACTTCCTTAAAGAAATGTTGCTGTCTGAGAATTCAATTATCTCCCAGTCTACATACATGTACTATGATTGACGTGCAAATCCCACATATGATATTAAGCATTAAATCAGAATTCAACATTGTTATTTTTTGTTAAAAATTTTTTTTAACTGAAAATCATCAAGGGATAAGCTGTGTACATAATCCTTTCGTTTGTGGTTAGTGGTTACTTCAATTTTGATTTGACTATCGAAATCAGCTTAGTGTTACGATTGAAAAGTAACTATTGAAAATTTCACAACTCACATCTGTTTATGGTACATGTATTATGTAAGTGTTCGTAACTTTGCAGAATCGGAATTTGGAATGTGTATCAGAATAATAAATTAGTTGAAGCTTTTTAACACATTAATAACGATGTTTCTGCATTGTAATCTACTAATTTTTTTTCTTGAGTTTTATTTTTTCTTTCAGATTAAGATTTTCGGTTAACATTTCATCTGGTTCTTTATTGTTACCTTGTAACTTACAAAAAAACAAACAATGAAACTTGTAACCTTCAACAACGTATTTGACTTTAGCTAACCAGACAATTTATATGAAATTAGTTAACTAATATTTTCAATGCATAGGACATATGTACCAGTATATATGACATTAGTTAACCTTCAACAATACATTTGGCATTAGCTAACAAGAAATAATTGATTATGAAATTAGTTAACCTGTCTATATTCAAGACTTGAGTATATGACATTATTTAACATTTCATAAAATTAATCAAAATGACAATTAGAGATAATTTATATGGCATTAATTAACCAGTTAACATTACATGTTACATAAGGTAACAATAGGTAACTGTTTGTGCAATGTGAACCGAATTCTATTTTTAACTTCCCTCTCTAATTCTTTACCATCTCCACCAAAATCAGCAATTCTATCATTGTCATACATGATTTATCACATTTTACCCTTGGAATACAATAGGGAAACCCCATAGTGCTTTGTGAATCAGGGGATGAAGAAACTAAAGCAATGGTCAATAAATGCCTTGAGGTTCCCCATACAGTTGACTGTCTGCAGGGTTTGATTACTGTTATTCCCCTACAGTTAATTTCTATGCATATAGCTGAGTTTAAAAAGCTTGATGTAAGTAGTGATACAAGATCTTGAAAGGCATCTTGTTTTGCAATGAAGATCTTGGAAGGCATCGTGTTTTTATGATCATATTCCTGTAAAAATCGTCACATAAAAGAGATTGTTTTTTGAATAGTAAAATGGTTGATGTTTTTATTGAGAGTTGATCTCAAATAAAACGATGATGCTTTTTATCTGGATCCAGGAAATGAATGACAGCATTTACTGAACCTGTTTGAGCACAGGATGGTATCCCTCCAGAGTAATAGTGAAATGGGAATATAAACCTGAATGACTGATCCCGTGGCAAAAGGACCTTTTGTGAACCCTGGCACTTCTCTTCTTCTATTTTGTGTAAACTTTTAGCAAATTACCCAATAAACCTTTAGTAAATTACCCAATTCTTATCCTCTTTCTATGATACCCCCAATCTTTATCTGAAGAACACCAGGTATGATTTTGCAGAACGGTTAAGTACGATCCCCTGTTTTGACTACTCTATTATAATGCTACTGTAACATGCAGTAACATTTTGGACTGGCTGTGGCCAATTTATTATTCCCCATTGCACTTTCATTTTCACCTCTTTGTTGATAAAACATGATTGCATGTTGTGCATGTTTATAATCTTAGATCTTTAAGGCAACTTGTCTACGGCAATGTTTCAACTAGTTGGCAGTTTCATGAGCAAAATCAAATCACTTGCATAAAAAGGGGTCTGATATCCATACCTGGGTCTTGATCTGCTGAAATGTGCCAATTTAGTTGGACCAGTGTCTTTTTATGAATGTCCTACTCATGTGTTTGTGAAACCTTTTGTAGCAATATATTTCATTTCATTATAGTATTCACTTCTTGCACTTTTGCATGCAAATACATGCAAACTATAAAAACCTTTAATCTATAGTATATGGATCAAGTGTTACATATAATATGTATATGTTTTAATTGTATGGATATACATTCTCATGATTTCTTTTAGGGAAGATATCTTTCTAGATCATTATGTAGATTTTATAAGTTAGATTACAAATGGTAATGTTAAAATACAAAGACAGCAATTAAAAGACACAATTGTATGAAATTCCACTGCATGTTGCCTTTACATCCATTACATATGTGACACCCATTACATATGTGACACCCATTACATATGTGACACCCATTACATATGTGACACCAATTACATATGTGAACGTGAATTTACTTCTGAAACCTTTTCTTTTAGGTTGATTGCCCAAGGAATTTGGCTAAATCTGTGACAGTGGAGTAATCTGAAATGAAAGACAAACAAGATATGGTGAGAAAATAGTAATACATATATAAAAAAATGAATATGCAAATTGCTACTTATATTCTGTTAAGAATTTGGTGATTTAAATGTAACAACACTTAATGTAAAACTTAAACTCAAAGATTCTATACCTTTTACCGAATTGAAAATGTTCCATTTATTTTGTTTTAGATATGCAGTGGAATATATTCCAATAAGACAGTCAGCATATGTATCAAACTGTTTCAAAATGAGATACATAAGCACTCAGCAACACCATAGCAACAGAGAATTAGCTACCGTAGCAACATATAGGAGCAATCAGTTCCCATAGCAACACAAACTTACAAAAACAATCTGTCATCATCAACAAAACCTAAAAATGTAAAAAAGACTGTCATTGATAAACAAATCTGTCCGATTTTATGACTTTGACAATCTTAAAAAACCAAAATGTGAATTTGATTTTAGATTTAGTTATATGAAACTTGTTTTTTGAGAAATGTGATATATGCAATGTATGTGTTAACATTGAAGTGACAATGTATTTTTGAAGATGCCAAAAGTATGTGATAAACAAAAAAGCACTGCTCATTTAAGTTGTCAAAAACGAATTGAAAGTTAAGAAAACGAAAAGTAAAATAACAATTGAATAACAAGTTTTTTCATTTATATAGTTAGGACTGTTATACATAATGATATAGCGTATATACTGTATGTCTACTTTATTGTTTTTTAATTTATTATTATGGATGTACATATCTTTAAATCATTGTACGAGTGTTTGTATTTGTACAATATGGGAATTTGTACAGTGATTTAGAGTGTAGATATATTTTTATTTTAAGTTCTTTGGTTTACACCAATATCACCTTAAAGGCCTCTATTTGTAACAGCTGAACTAAGGTTAACATCTACATTATTTTGTAGAGTTAAAATGTACACTTTGGGTTGCTATAGTGATCACAGATTTTAATATAGTATTTAAAATTTGTAAGTATGTTTAAAAAACAAAAAATAATTTCTATTTTTTGAAATGAACATTCCTACTTAAGCCCCTGACAGCTTCGTTTTCATGGTTATTTTGGTACACAAACCAGGCTGGTCAGGCCCGTGCGTAGTCAGGGGGTTGTGTAATTTTTGGCCAATTTGTCAAATTTGACCCCCTCCCTCTAAGATTAAAAAAAGCTGAAACCCCTTGTCAAAAGCTTGCTAGGGGCCTGCTGGTAGTTGTATTACTTCAAGTCTGGGTATATATATGGTGACATTGTCAATGTAAAAAAGGCAAAGGATCGCACAGCTGAATTTTTTTAATATAAAGAACATGAAATTTTAGAAGGAACATATATGTATATTGTGATATGTGAATAGGTTTATGTACACGTTTTATATTTAGGGATTTCATGAACAGGTTAACTTGCTCAACGTGGTGTTTGATTTTTTGTTAAAGTTAGCTTAATTTTGCAAAGTTGTAATGAATAGTGATTTTTTACTAAATTTTTTCATGAGATACCTGTCTATCAAAGCCAAAATTCAATTTTCAATGTATCACCCGACCGATATATTTATTCGAAACACAACGACTTCATTGTTTTATGAATGATAAATGGGCCTTTTTCTGTAAAACATGTAAAATGTAAATGGAATGGACCAGGTGTATGTATGATATGGAGTCACATGGGTATGATATGACTCTGAGGTATGTTACTTAACAGGATATTAATTTGAAGATTTAATAAATGAAGTTTATATTGCATTGATTCATTGAGAAAAAGTAAAATTATGGGTTCCAGGTATCTTTACCTTGTTATTTGGTATTTAAAGGGACACACTCCAGTTCATGCTAATTAGTTCACTGAACAAATATATGACCACATGGCTATTGATTTGAAACAATTTATATTGCCGATGTATTTTCGGTGGATAGATGACATGGTTTTACATTTGGGTGATTCATACCCAGTTGTAGTTTACACCACATAAACAGGATTGCAAATTGTCAAAAAATTATGTATATGGGTAAAGGGAGAAATAAAGAGATCTATATAATATATATAAAGTATTGTGTCTGTATTATGAAGAGTACTAAAGATGTTTTCTCATATATCAGTGTAGACACTAAGGGGCTGAAACCTGCTGGTCAAAATGATATTACGGACCAGTTGCAATGTTATTTTCCTATACCTAGTGAAAAAATCAACTGGTCCGTATCAAAAGTAACCAGATAATGACCAGTGGACCGGCTGTTAATGACAACACTGTCATATATGACTAACTCAGATTCAGCCATCTTTATCCCATAAAGATACAGTCATCTTTCTACTTTCATTCTTGGCATATGACTATGATCAAATAACTTGTGTAAAACATGTGCAAAGTGAAATCACTGATTATTATAACGTTTCATAAACAGGATATGGTACACTTATAAGATATTTCAAGTATTTTTTTATTCAACCTCATTTCATTCAGCCATTGCAATATACACGCTATTGAAATTATGGTACTTTTGGTGGAACTCCTCCCCGGAACTCCGCAAGCTCGTGACGAAAACAGGTTAAAATGTGCAAATGGCAATCGTTTTTTGTTTTTTTTTAATTTTGTTAACGTAACAAAAGTGAGAAATCGCATAGATGATTCTGACATCTTGTGAACTCTTCGTTCGCAAACGCTTAGATTGTCTTAAAGATCTCGTGAAATCATAGAAAAATAAATGCCGTACATCCAAGGCTGGATCAACTTGGATATCTGTTCAAAAAGAGAGCAGCTAAATGCTTTTCAACAAATGCGCTGATGCAAATATGTACCGTTTCTGAAACAACACCTGTATACAATGAACAACTGCCTTCAGCCAATATAGCTCACTGAACACATGTCTTAATGTATTGTATACCAGTACTAGGGACGCTTCAAGGGTATATACGTACGCATGTTAAATAACATGAGTTTCAATTGGTAGTTAATAATAGGAAATAAAATTAATTGATTGAACAACATTTCAGTAAACATCTATTTCATTCTTTATTTCAATTTAATTTTATTGCATCTGCTCTGAATGTACTCTGAGGGCCTCAAACACCTCCGCTCCGGCAGGAGTGATGTTTGATGCATCCAGAATGAAGCCGCCCTCGCCAGCAGTTGCTGGACGTAGTTCCGGGGCGTAGGAATATGGCACACCACCTACCGCCTTCGCCCAATCGTATGCGCCACCAGCGGCTTCATCTATGTAATACAGTATACAAATAAGACGTATTTTGATTGAAAATCAGATTTTCATTGACTTCCATGGACCTTCCCTAGAAAGGCTATCATATGGTTATTCTTACAAAATCCGAGGCGGGTCGTCCGTAAAAATCAATATAATGAAAAACTGAAGTCCCCTTGGAATAAGGATATTTCTGAATCCTACATTCTCAATCCCCTTTCTTAAACAGTAAAATTTAATTTTCTTGATCTGATTTGGTATTTCCTATTTCTCATTGTTGATATCATATATAGCTTCATCCCTCTATCAATTATTGCTGACAAGCCCATGCTACATTAGAAATCAATGTGGACTTCAAATCATGGCCTTCTATTAGCTTATTTCTAGTTGAAGGTCTATGCAACTATGAAGCATGGTCTTTACTCACAAAGAATGTCAGGAGGAGTTCCGACTACGAAAGAACGCCCGTTCACAGCTTCCAAAGCGTCCATTGCAGCAATACCAACACGCTCCTAAAATATGTTCAAAATAGTTATCAATGTAGATCGATATAAAGAATTATTTGAATATGTCACTGAATTGCATTGCAGTCACACAGAACCATATTTTTCTAACATGATTTTGCGTTCATTCAAATTGTTCAAAAATGTCTTCCTGTCCACTGAAATATCTCTTACGATTTCAGCGTAGTCGGCAGGGTATCTCTCATTCGGGTTGTACCCCCAGGGTGTAAGCCACAATTGTGTGTACGAGTGTATGTTTAGGTAGAGCTTCTTGTTACTGATTCCGTTGATCCAGTCACGGATCGCTTGGGTCTCCACCTCGGAGAATCCACGTGTGCCAGGGTAGGTATCATCACATGGGTCAAAGCTAACACCAGCCTCTGGAAAGAAATTACAATTGAGTTACTTTTAAAGATCATGTTATTTTTTAATAGTGGAATCATTGGGAATCATTTGACCACGACGGAAAGACGTCAATGCAGACCACAATTCACAGATCATTAATCTGAGATCCGAAGGTTGGTAGGAATTATTACCCTAAACTTCTGTCTCGTGAGTCATGATCAAAAGAGTTGTAATGGTCTTTCTAAGAGCACGAATAGGAAAATGCCGTACTAATATTGATTATTTATTCAATGGAATAATGTCTTTAGGTGAAGATATCTCAAAATCAAACTCTTCAAATGGGTAACAGATCGTGAGCCCTCATTTGATACCATTGAAAAGTTTTAAGAAATACCAACGACAAATCAAGATATGGATATAGCAGGAAGATAAATGCTGTGATGGAATTATTAAATATCTAATTGCATGGTTCAAATTCAGTAATAATTCGGACTGGAAAAGGTATCTACTCACTGATCTACAATGTACATCTTATAATTAAACGAGAGAAATGCTCACGACAATATCAAAAATGCTGAAACAAGATGTACTCACCACCCCAGAAAATATCAAAGTTGCGGTTAAGGTCAATTCCAGCTGGACATAACCAATCATTGGTAGGTGCCCGGTTCTTTCTCCACATTCTGTCCTGTATTAATATCAAACAAGGTTACTTACTAGTATGCCAAATAAATTTGGTTCATATGGATTGTATGATTCATATTTCTATATGAACCATATTACCCATACTGGCCCTTATTGAGTATGAACTAAAAAGGATGAGCTCTATGCAGTAGACTTTGAAGAGGAGTGACAGTAATTTATGACCTATATCATCATGTTTGAAATGTAGTATGGTCTGCGGGTACTATGGTCCCTGGAGATATGGGACCATGGCACATCGTACTTACACTTGTGTGGGTGTATTCATAACCATCAGGATTGGCCACTGGGAGGAAATGCCAATCATATCTGTCAACCATTTGTCGGACATTATTATCAGAATCGTATCTTTCTAGCAGCTGTAACGATAAAAAGTCATATTTCAATATGGTGGAGCAGCAGGGTCACAAAGTACCAAAAGAAAATATTATGGTTGTACTATATAAAGATTGTTTTGCAGTATGTGACTTTGTTTCAAAATATATGAGGTTATCAATAATTACTTGTACAGTAAAACCTGTCCAATGGAATACTTCTCTGTAGGGAAAACCTATGAACAAGGAACATGGTGGAGCAGCAGGGTCACAAAATGATGACTTTAACATGGTGGAGCGGCAGGGTCACAAAATGATGACTTTAACATGGTGGAGCGGCAGGGTCACAAAATGATGACTTTAACATGGTGAAGCAGCAGGGTCACAAAATGATGATTTTCAGAGTCTAACTGTTGATTTTTTTCTCACATTGTTGACCAGCGAGGTGAGAGTCTTAGGATTTTATGTGATTTTTTTAATTGTTTCTACTTACATTTTTGATAGCATAAATACATGTTGAGGGAGAAATCCACTCACGAGCGTGTATTCCACAGTCTATCACGATAGCGGGTCTGCCAGAGCCACTACTAATCTAAAAGATAAAAGCCAACAGCATCGAAATATTGTATTTTATTATATATTCTAGCTCGTGGTGGATCTTTGTATGAATTACTGTCGGTTATGGGTGTTGCATCAGTCTCAATGGTCTCTTTTATAGAAATACAAACGTACATTTACATCTATCTTTGAACTGTGAGTGTGAGGGTGAGGAGAAATTAAACTTGACACTGCCTGAATACATCAGATTATTGGTTGCCATGATACTGGGGTTTGCATCTTTGACGGTTGATACCTTATTTGGCTTTCCCTATTGGTCACTGTGCTTACAGAAGCACGTTAATGGTTTAGCGGAATATCGCTTACTGTGATAGCTCTCATGTCTCGTCCCTCGTATGATGTACCAACACTCCTCACAGAGGCTTGGGAGTACTGGGATGCCATGTCATTAATCCATGTGTTGATCTGATAAAATACAGAGTGTACATTGAACGAAACAACAAAAGCGAAAATAGCAGATTTACAAATTTTATCTCCCTTCCAAACATAATATGATAACTGAGATTGGAAATAAAAAAGATTACAAAAATAAATTAAATAGGACAACGGCCTTGGAACTTTATTTCGAGTATAATTACAAATGAATTATTAATCATGTACATAAGTACATACCATGGAATGAATTATTAACCATGTACATAAGTACATACCGTGGAATGAATTATTAATCATGTACATAAGTACATACAGTGGAATGAATTATTAATCATGTACATAAGTACATACCGTGGAATGTCTCTGGTAATCTGATAGAATGTAGTTCACAGGGTCCTGCTCCTTCGTGACTCTAGTCTCGGCTCTTTGAGCTTCTGTGTCATCGATCAGCCTGTACACGATGACAGGAAATTTAAGAAAATCAAATATTTTGAATTACATGTTTATATCAGAAAACAAAATAGCAACACACTTAATTGAAAAGGAACGTTGATCATGACACTTAATCTGTATCATTATATCTCAACCGACAGAACATTTGAATCTTTTCAAAACGAATCCAAGTGACGCTCCATCGGCCAAGTTAGATATAATTATGGCCCTCAAAAATATCAAATAAGTATTACCTTTGCACATCTTCCACAGCAACAGTGTACGGAGTGGCATCGTATGCGAGTGACTCTGAGAATGCCAACGCCATTGTTGGATCTACCATGACGTCAAAGGGTCTTAGACCACGAGGCTCATGCCATAATTTCAACTAAAAAGGAATTGAAAGTTTGTAAGGATCATTCGGAGGAAGAATACGACCGGAGTCGCTGAACAAGTCTTATCAAGTATCAAGTCTTATCTTTCACCTGGTAGTGCACCAAATCACTGCTACCCACCTAATTACACAGACGTATCGTCGGTGTATCATGGCGGAACTTCCCCCGGGACTAGGTTTCGGTAAGATTTTTTTATCTCCGATTTACACCTACTTATAAGTCACGTTGTGGATAATAATTTGGCTCGAAGTTAAGGAAGATAGTCTAGTTTGAGAATGTGTCGATGGTTTTAGGTTTTATATGTTAACAAAGACACAATTCACGTATTTAGTCCCTCGCTTTTCTTACACTGACGATCGGCATTAATATTGCCAATATTACACTGATATTGGTCGTTCGTCAGTGTAAGAAAAGCGAGAGACTAAATACGTGAATTGTGTCTTTGTTAACATATAAAACCTAAAACCATCGACACATTCTCAAACTAGACTATCTTCCTTAACTTCGAGCCAAATTATTATCCACAACGTGACTTATAAGTAGGTGTAAATCGGGAAATAAAAAAAATCTTACCGAAACCTAGTCCCGGAGGAAGTTCCGCCATGATACACCGACGATACGTCTGTGTAATTAGGTGGGTAGCAGTGCAAATGTTTTGTTGAACTTGCGCTTGATTGTTTATTTAAAGAGAGAATTAGATATAGCGAGCAGGCTAAATAAAAAATTGTTTCAATTTAGAATATTTTTGGCTTATGTCATTCCTTGTCATGTCTATTTTCTGGTTACCATTCTTATTACTTAGTATTTGGGAGAATTTGAACATTTTTTCACCCATTTTACTTGAATAATGAGTCTAAGTTCCTCACTGAAACATCTACAACCATACGAAGAGGTGCCCCAGTACCGATGCGTCACTTCATTTGTAAACGACTTAGAACATTTCCAATCTTTACATTTCGCGGCGTAAAGGATACGACATTGTCTGTACAGTTTTCTTATAATTTCTTTGAATTCTTCCACATATTTTTGAAACTGAAGTGTATAGATAATTCATGATAATCTTATTGGTATTTGCCTCATGAGTAGTTGTGAATAAAAGGTGTTACCATGGACAACGTACCTTCATTGTCTTGTCATTGACAAGCGCCATCACGTTCGTCACATCATCTACCGTTCTTGGATTGATGGTCCATACTTGAAATCTGAGCATTGATTTTCAAATAATTATATCACTGAGAAAAATATGTATTTCTTAAAAGCCCCTTAAAATTGGAAAAAGTCAAAATTGTAAAATCTAGCATTTTACAATGACCAACCGATTGAACATTTAGTTCAATTTATTAGACGTTGTGTTTTAAAATTGAGGTTGTCATTCGAATAATTAAACTTGCGTTCACAAAAAATGATATGTAGATAATGCCCACTACAAAATACATACTTTCAATATGATATAAAAATAACGCTAATTGTACATGTATAAAATTATGTTTAGAGAGAGATTAGATAGGATTAGTATACATACCTGTCATAACGAACTTGTTCAGCCTGTGAGAGCCCCACCAAGATCACACACAGCAGTCCCAACATGTTTGCATGAAACTCAAGAACTAACATATGTTTGATTTTATAATTTAACGTTTTCAGCCGTGCACTTAATTAACAAGACTGATAAGTAAAGATATGAAACGGGAGTGGGTCATTCGGCAAATAGCAGTGTAGCATTTGCTGGTCGTTATATGTAGAACCAATCGGTTTACAATTTCACTCCCATATTTTACAAAAAAGACTATCGATCATCGAATATAAGAGGTCCTTGCCAAAAGATGGTACTTTTGTGCGCATGCTAGAATTCATGAACTATATATATATCTACATCTATCATGATCCTTAGTAGGAGTAGTAGTTGTCCTTATTACATGTGAATCACACTATTAGTTGATAGCTTTCGCACTGAACAACGACGTTATTCGATCGAGCTATGTCTGTTTGCAAGCAGGATAAAGAAGCTACAACGAGGATGGGCACCATCGAAATTTTGAACAGGCTGAAAAGTAGAAAGAGATGACCGCCATCTATTTCGGGCAGACTGTATCAAAGATCTGCGAGCGCTTTCCCTTGACTATAAAGAAGTTTATAAAAAGATCACAAACAGTACGTCCAGTACGTCCAGTCCGTTTGCATACAGTTTTAGCCGCCTCGGTAACATGTTTCGAGAACGTGGTGAGAACTAGTTTGGTGTGATTGGATGGTTACCACCACCGGCCATACCATGACAACTTTTCACTGTTTTGAAGAACTTCGTGGACGTGCCGGAACACGTTCCAAAGATTGGAACCTGTTCAAAATTCGTTCTGGCGTCCATCCTTCTTTCACTCGTTCACTGAGCCATGTTCGCAGACAGACCTAACTCAGCAAAATTACGTACTTATCCCCCCCCCCAATTACGTTCTTAATTAGCTTAACCCGTTGGTAATTAATTCTACAATGTACCTCGTTCTCAATACGTCCCTCGTACGGTTGAAGTACGACAGTTCCGTTCGCAATACGTTGCGACTCGTTCTGATTGCAGAATGTGACGACCAATGGAAAGGTTTGAGCTTGCTCTAAGTTCTAGAGGACCCACTCGTTCGAGTACGTTTGTGAAGTTTGTAAATAGACCCCAAACGGCTCTAAGTACGACCCTGCTGCTCCACCATGTTAAAACCCGTTCCGTACACGGTTTATAGGGTTACTACCTGAATACGTGATGGGTAAATCTAGATGTCAATTTTCTATTAAACACGGAAGATCTTGAAACTTCACCAATAAAATCAGGCCTCATAGACTTCCAGCAACGCGAACATCAGAACAACGTTCCTTGCACTCGAACCTCGATTCTCACATCGCGAACGTCAAATCTTTAGTCGCACACAATAATTTCCTCGCTCCCGAACATATTTCTCCACTCGCGCACAGAGGTGTGATAGCAGGGTCACCCAACTATCACACCAAAATAGTTTCCACTACGTTTAGATCATATGTATTGGAAAATGATATTGTCTGTCAGGTGACCAACGGTCCATGTGCAGTATGGCAAGTGATTTTAGACAGTCATATCTTTCACCATGAGTACTTTCTGGCCATAAATACAGTGGTTCTGAAAAGGGGATTGGTATTGAAATGCTTTAAAGTTAAAAACAACATATCCCATGTTATTTTCTCATAGGGAATACTCGTGCTATCCATTGTTTTCAACATAATTTTCGTCTTCGAAAATTGATCTTCAAAACTAGACTTTCAATACCATTCTACTTTTGAAGAAGTTGTAGACCCTTTTTTGAATAATATTTTCATTCAATAAAAATCAGAAAGGGGAGATCCTCTTTTTAGTAAATATGTTCAATATTTTGAAAAAATTGTTGACATGGGGTCCCTATTCAAAATTTTTCGAAATGTTCGATTAATATTTTTATCATCATAGGTACTTCACTTGAGACAAAACATATTGTTTTAATAAAAAATCACTGTATTTATGCCCAGAAAGTGCTCAAGGTGAAAGATATTACTGTCTAAAATCACTTGCCATACTGCACATGGACCTTTGAAGAATATTTCTGAATTACAATTAATCCATATTTGTATTGGTACACTATTTGGGACACCCTGTACTTTATGGCTTTCACATCGTTTTCCATCTTCAATCCCTGATTTTTATCAATGGAAAATTAATAAAGACAAATTACAATGTGGCCTTTTGTATATGAGAAACATATTTAGAACTCTACATGGGCAATTATTATTTAATATATAAGCACTAGATTTCAAAGCTTTCCTTTGATCACCTTTCTTCGTCATTTGTAATATAAAATACGAAAAAAACAATATTATATAGACTTTTTGTGTAGGCCTACTTCATTGTAGACTAACAATATTTATTTGACCAAATGACATTATTTAATTTTATTCAAGCTCTCATTTCTTCAGCATGTATTCTCAAAGCTTCGAAGACCTCTCTACCAGATGGCATGATGTGTGTGGTATCAAGGATAAAACCTCCCTCAATGGCACTAGCCGGGCGCAGTTCTGGGGCGTAGGAGTATTTCACTCCAGCTGAGGCCTTCGCCCAATCATAGGCACCTCCAGAGGCAGGGTCTGAAAATCGAAATCAATCTGGTACGATAGAAAATTGCATCGGGAATGCCATATTATTCAATAGGCAATGGTATATCTGGATAACAAAGCTTATCATTTGACAAGTAGAGTTTAGGGAGATAAGTCGATAAGATTTATCCCGTATACTGATTTTGAGATTTCTATATCCAGTACCTCCATATCGATCTCCCGCTCCAGTGCATATCTTCCCGGTTTGAAAAAAAAATTGAAAAAAAATTGAAAAAATAGACTTAGATTGGCTTGTCTTGTTTCAAGAACCTGGACCCCCCTCTATTTTACAATAGACAATTGTTTAAGTAGATAAGGGGTCCATGGTCTAGAAGCAAGACTAGAGATTGGCATACTCATACAAAAAATATATAGACAATATTTTGTTAAAGTGGCTTACATAGAATATCAGGTGGAGTGCCAACTATGAATTCTCTGCCATTGACACTTCGAAGTCCAGCCATAGCCAAGGTAGCAACTCTTTCCTGTAACAAAATGATGTATCCTTTAAGTTAACTGTATCTTTCAACCTTCCAATATCGTGTCTAGTCTAGTTATTAAAGAGAGAATCAGATCTAGCGAGCAGCCTCACAAAAAAATTGTTTCAGTTTTAGAATATTTCTGGTTTATGTCATTCATTTTCATGTATATTTTCTAAAAATCTCAAAAGTGCACACTTTATTTCAGGAAACTAAAGATTTTTGCATCAATGTATTATTTTTCTATAAGACTGGTTACCATTCTTATTATTTGGGAGAATTCAAACATTTTTCACCCATATTTGCACTTTGAATCCATTATAACTTCACCAATTTATAACATATCATGAATCTCTTGGGAGATATTGTATTTGGAATGTAAGGAATAGATTGGTAGGTCGATTGTACATTTTGCTTGTAATTTTGTCACCCCCATAGATCTGATTCTGCCTTTAACTACTGAAGACGAAGCTCTCTTTTAGAAGCGAAGTCAAACGAATGCAAAGGGTAACCTATCCAATAGTTTTGTCTTGCTTCACTAATGTATGGTATCATTGGTATAGAATGGTAGGGTTTGGCACAGTATGGTACATGTATTGCATAGCTTGTTATCATATGAAACATTATTCTTTGGAATTTGATGGTACAGCATGCCATAGTATGTTCGGATATGGTAATGGTATGGAAAGACATGATGGTATGGTATGGTATAGTATATTATGTTAGTATATTGTAATGGTATGGTACGACATGATTATGGTATGGTATCGTATGGTATTGTATGGTATAGTATGTTAGCATATGGTAATGGTATTATATGACATGATAATGGTATGGTATCACTGGCGTCTGGGGGGCAGGGCCCAAAAAAATGTTGTGCCAAAAAAGGCCTTAAGACCCCAATAAGTGGGCCTTTTCGGGCATTATTGGGCCTTCCTAGTCCATATTTAAGGCCAAATTTTGAAGAAGATGGACCTTAATTTTTTAATAATATATAATAATATTTTTTTCAGAGTTGAAATTTGCCCCCCCCCCCTCTTGTTGGTTCCAAGATCCGTCCCTGGGTATAGTATGATATGATATGGTTATCGTAAAGAAGGGCAAGGTATGGTCCTTACGAGCTCGGCGTAATCGGCAGGGTATCTCTCATTTGGATTGTATCCCCAAGGTGTCAGCCACAGCTGGGTGTAGGAATGGACATTAAGGTAGAGTCTCTTCGATGGGATGCTCTGGATCCAATCTCTGATGTTTTGGGTTTCAATCTCGGAGAAAGCACGAGAACCGGGATATACGTCACTGCATGGGTCAAAGTCGACTCCCGCCTCTGAAAGTGAAAAGGACAGGGATAAGTAATCAAAAAAATGAACGAAATTATTTGTTAACATACTGGTTGCATGATTTAGCAGTTTTATATTTTGCTTCGGTTTATCCAATATACGAGGGGCATTTAAAAAGTTCATTTCTTTTTGCTCTAAAAATACCAGGAGTGTTGTCTTAAATATGGTAATGTAGCCCAAATGACAAAAAAACGTATATTCATCACAATTGATGAATCCGTAATAAAAATCATTGACAGTACTCAATTTTATAATGTAAAATAGACTCAGAGATGGCCTTTCATGTTAATTTCGAAGAAGGTTCATTGGCGTCGGAAGGGAGAGGGCGTTGGGGGCGACCGCCCCCACCCCCTTTCTCAGATTTTTTTAGATTTGAAACCGAGCCTAGAATTGAGAGCAGCTAGAGTCAATTAAAGTGAAAGTGTATTATGACAGAAATGATACGATGTCAGTATATAGTTTACAGCATACAAGATCTCATTTATCATATTTTATTTTATACCATGTATAGTTTCTCAGGAACCCATATACAGTATGTAAATACTTTGAAGAATAAGTGCAAAATGTATATTTTCGTAAGTCAAAGTTTTTTAGTCAAGGTCAAGTTCAGTTTTCTAAAATCACAATTATTTTCTTTTATTATTGGGAATGTTCTGAGATATGTTCAGAATGCAACAGAGAGGGTCTAAATTTGAAACTTTTCTTGGACCCCCGACCCCCCTAGATTGCGCGCTTCACGCACGACCCGTCCATACCCATAAGTCTTCCTCGACAAATCCATCTGACTTGGGGTTACGGCATTGTTAAGAAAATGCATCTTCATGACGAAAAAAAGGAAAATCGGGAAAATCATAAGACTTCACATTTCTACAAAAACGTCTTCATTAATATTTGTAAAAGTTTGACGAGGTGGTTAATTCGCCAGCCTCATGGCGTGCTTCACCGACGGTTATTCTTGTATTACTTACCTCCCCAGAAAGCGTCAAAGTTTCTGTTGGCATCAGTTCCTGTGCATAAAACATCATTGGTCGGGGATCTGGTCTTCCTCCACATACGGTCCTAAAAAGAAGAGGCCTCGCAATTTCATTGTTTGTTATTCAAGTTATATCAGGAACCTCATGATTTTACAATTCATATTTTCAGATTATTTTTCAATAGAGTTTTGACCCTAGCAATAGAGCTAGAAGCCAAAATCAACTTGTTTGAAGAATTGTAAAGAGAATCTACCAGGTCAGGCATATATTATATAAATATAATTCTTTAACCCACGTTTAAAAATGCAACAATTTACAAACCTGTTTTATTTACCTCGTGACTGGACGTTCATAATGACTTCACCCCGCGGGCTTATGAAAGTTTTTGAAAGTCATGAGCTCAGAAGATATGGGAAATTCAATCATTTCATTCAATGAGAAGGCATTTCAATGTTAAATGCCTCCTCATTTCATAATGAATAGGCATACTTACACTGGTGTGTGTGTACTCATAACCGTCGGGGTTAGCCACGGGAAGGAAATGCCAATCATAGCTGTCCACCATTGCTCTGACGTCAGCGTTGCTGTTGTATTGCGTAAGGAGCTAGAACACATTCAATGTTCACCTCATATAAAAATGTAAAAGGTGGGTGGTGAGATTTGTAGAATCCTCATTTTTTAATTTGTCAAAAATAACCTATTGAGCTCTTTTGAGTGAAAACATTGATAACTTGAATATTTCGGATCTTGAGATGCCACAACAGAATGTAGGCCTGTGGACATGATGTGTTGACTTACGGTTTGTATGGCGTAGATGCACGTGGGCACTGTGATCCATTCACGGGCATGGAGAGCACAGTCGATGACAATAGCAGGTCGTCCACTTCCCCCACTGATCTAAAATTAAACAATATACCTCCGAGACTGAACAAAATTATGGTCCCTTTGGATTTAGTCCTTTGCGCTTGTACAGGCCTGATTTAGTACACACTTCGGATCGATGATGATAAGGCAATATATTGGAATATAAAGAGTTCATGGGTAACTGTGATCAAATGGAGAGAGGAGATCTAAAGGGGCCGCTTGGACCAAACAAGTTTGTCTGTCTTATGCGTTATAACTGGTTGAGTAGAAGATATATTTCGGATGTTTCCATTCCATGTACGCCACTTTATTCAACACCTGGATGATTCTATTTTTTAACACAATACTTAATAAAAATAACTTGACCTTCAAGAGCAGAAAGCGCTCAAATTAATTAGTTTTTTTCACATACCCTAATAGCAAGAGCAGAAAACGCTCATATTAATTAGTTTTTTTCACTTTAAACATACCGCAATAGCTCTCATATCTCTCCCCTCATAGCTGGACCCGATGCTGTTGACGTTAGCCATAGCGTACTGACTACCCATGTCGTTCAGCCAAGCGTTGATCTGAAGACAAATGCATATATCATATGTGTCTTGCTGTTTATGTAGAATAGATTTGTGAACAATTTGAAAGATTTGTAATGAACAATTGGAAACAGGTTTGTCAAATAAAACACGAAATGAAGAATCAGATAAATTCAAAATGTAAATGTCGATTTAAAGTTTGCATATACCTTCAAATATAATATTATCCCATGCTTTGACGTGTTTGAAATATATGGCAATCATTTCAGCTTAGCCACTAAAATTTATTTACTCCTCATCCTTCTCCCAATATTTCTGATATCTTATACCTCCTTTAAATCCTAAGTCAACAATACGTATTTCGATCATAAACATGGTAGGGACATATAAGGACGTCTATCTCATTGGGACATATTACCGTACCGTGTCATGCCTTTGGTAGTCAGACAGGATGTAGTTGACAGGATCCTCTTCTTGGCTAACTGCACCCCGTGCACGACTTGCCTCTTCACGTTCAATAAACCTAAACAGGAATTCGTGAAAAAATTTTAATTCGCCATAATATTTGTTTCGGGATAAAGCGGGATATGCCTGGTGCACACCCCCAAAAGACAACATCAAAACACGATAGATATACGGTCTCCAACCAAGCTCATTTAGTTGATCAAATAATTTTATCAAAATCATGAAATTAATCTTGAACCACGTCTTTACCTCCTCCATCTGGTTGACCTCATATGGTGTAGAACGGATCCAAGCTAGACTAAATAAAATGCATTACTGGAATGCTCACCTCTGAACATTTGAGACGGCAATTGTGTATTGGATGTCTTTGTAAATGAGAGCCTCAACAAAAACCAATGCAGTCTCGGGGGCAACCATCACATCGAACGGAAGCACGGCGACTGGGTCTTGCCAGTAGGAGGCCTGCAATAGAACTTCATATTTCTATATTCACATATTATGCATATGAGAGGGCGAGGGGTATATATTGAGTAGTTAAAGCTTTTGATTTCTTTACAATTATTCAGTAAATATGAAGACATTTTAAAGAAACTATCAAAATCCAAGTGGAAAAGGATTTGTCCCTCTACCAGACATAAAGAAAATGAAAAGTGACAGTACATAAGGGACAAAAGTCCGGCGTAATAACTGTCCGTATAGAACTCACATCAATTGCCCTAATGCGGTTCGGTCTGTAGGATCATGCTTGCCAGCCATAAATCAGTCATTTAATTTAGTTTTAGTCATAAATCAATCATTTAATTTTTGCGGACATAAAATACTGGTTTGTTGATTTTTAGTACCTTCATTGCTCTATCTGCGACAAGGCTGACGACATCTCTAACGTCATCGGCAGTTGTGGGATTGATAGTAATCACTTGGTACCTGAAATTAGCATGAGACAAGAACAACACGTATTGAAGTCATTCAGCTTACAGAGTGACTCAAAAAGGCAACCCATGAACAATGGGAGGGTATACGAAGACAAAATGTTTCCCATCGAATTCAACAGGAGTTCACTTCTTTTTTTCTCCATTAAAAATCGATATACACATGAAAATCAAGAGGATCTCGTCAATTTTGGCACAGTTATTCCATAGATAGTGTGATTCATTTTGGGGCGCTCTGTATACATTTCGTGCTGAAGCCTTGCCTGGCTCCTACCCAGGCTGTTTGCTGTTCTTGCTGTTTAAAGAAAATCAAAATTTAACAATAAGAAATATTTGAGAGACTAAACCAAGGTTGCTGAAGTCCCAACTGCACCAATCACACGATGCCCCCGTCCCCTTTTGAACTCCTAAGTAGCCCCAATCAGTCGCAATTAGTTCCTCTGAACCTGCCTGATTCGCCTCATGTTCTCTTTGAGGTCGAGTCAAGTCGCATGGACCATAGAACTACTGAGTCCTATGAAGCCCCACCCTGGCGTCACACACAATGCCAGGCCCAATGGACAGTGCCCCAATTTGGCTTTAATGTTTCCTTGTCTTCATTCTTAATTCTTGGGCTTCTCAAATTTTCCATGATTTTGTGGTGAATTTCGTTCACTCAAACTAAATATAACCAAAATGTAATTAGTGCTCTAGTCTTACCCCTCGTAACTCTTATGTTCTGCTTGCCCAAGGGCCACAAGGGCTAAACATAGAACCAGCAACATTATGGTTGTTGAGTCGGAAGTAAAACACCGAGTGAGTATAAGGGTTTTGTACGTTCACTTTACAAGGAGTGATGAGATCCAAACACCTGTCGACGATCAAACCATGGGGTCATTTAAATAAAAAGAACAAAACATTTCAATTCGCCGTTTTGCAAAATCGGTCAAATCTCTAGAAGTTATATTTGGTAGTTTCGAGTGCTTATCGGATGTGATCAATTTGTTCTTATCTTTTGCACTCGGGCATACCAAATTGTTTCTGACACGGATATGAGTTGTCAATGATTGTTTCCTGTCCGCATAGCAATCGCATTGTAGGACTTTATTAATGAGGGCAGCTTGACCCTAATGCCGGCCCCTAATGATTTCCTCGGGGCCTCTTTGACGTTAACGTTGTAGCATTCGGACATTCATTTCCCTATGTTGTAATCCGTTAAAAACCAAATGGTACAATGAACCTTGTCAGCCTACAAATGCTAGTTTCAAAAAGGTAGATACACAACAGGGTGTCCACTGTCTAGTAGCTCGAGAGTTTTTTCAAGACGTTTGCAGTATTGCGTGCAAAGCTTTGTTCAATTAACCCAAAATAGATTACATTTTTCGCATGATCAAAACCAATGTTGGTTTGACAATAAAAGAGCGATGTTTATTAAGCTGTATTATTCACTTGGGGGTAGTATTTACTCGCCCTGGACCCCTAATCAATAGTTTTAATTAAGACTCCCCATTAATCTTGCCAAGCTTCTGATCCTTGGCTTGTTTGTTGAAGAAGTCACCATAAAATACATATGAATTCAGAAGCAAAATGTGACATGTTTAAGTATGGTTCATTTCATAGGTTCACAGTCCTATTCTTAATCAACAGAACGTACCCCGATTGTTCATCTGTTCCAAGAATCTTAATTTGTCATATACACGAAACGGTATCATTATGAATGCTTTGGAAATAAAAACTAGTCCAAAATGAGTCAATACATTTAGGATTACTAATAATTTGCTTCGATTGTTATAAATTGGAAAAATGCGGTTCATCAAATGAGGAATGACGGGGGAATGACACAATAGAAGATTGTAATGAAGATAAAGAGTAATCATTTTGCTGTTCCTCTAGATCTGTCATGATTCATTTGCGGTCTAATTATCTTTCGCAACAAGAATGCAGACTAATAACAATAAGGAGGAAACATGAATCGAGCATTTACACTTCACGGTTATTCATTCACAGACACAAAGCTAGCGAGGCAAGATGTGTCCAATTCATGCCAATCTCCCATGCTCAGTTGCTCATGTTGCCCTCGTGCAAAGGTCTGAAAACAACACATTAGTGGAATAAATCATCCATTCCCCAATGCATTGATTCCTGTGCATAAATCCTTTAGTTTTAAAATAATATAATGAAACTACTGATGAAGGCCGCCATTTTGAATTCAAAATGGCTGACAGGGCCCTCCTATTAAAATTGCTCGTCTTGGAAAAATACGTTTAATCGACCATAAGTTAAATTTTCTGGTGTCTGGTGAAAATAATAACAACACAGCACGAACTATGAAATACAATTATATTTCGAGATGTAGGTCTGCCCTGTATGTTCTTTGAACGGGTCTGCACGTTGACATTAGCAAATTTGTTTTTCGTTAACGTGTTCACGGGTTGGGATCAGAAGATTTGTCCGCGATGGGGATCAAGCCATTTATCATAAAAAATACTCTAGTTATAGCGGACATGAATTTTTAACATACTTTTTATGAAAATAGATAAAAGAACCACATAACAGATACAATGTCTCACTAATACTTCTAGAGTTTGGATGAAAACATATGTAAATGTTATCAAAATAGCGAGATCCCCCACAGCGGACAACTCTGATTCCACTCCGTGTTGTTAAAACGGGAAGAAAGATTCTCGGAAAGATTCTGATTCATAACACATTCCTACAGTAAAGTCTGGTATTATCGAATTCCGAAGTCTAAGCTGAAGCTGACTATTGGATTAGGGTCATTTAGCTCTAATGACAATAATTGTCTATTAATTATAGGCGTAAAGCACATTAGGGACATCAGAGGACTGCTGATGAGATTCCCATCGATCTATACCCAAGAATTGCTCGTATGTACTAGTTCAAGTATTCTCCCACGAGGACATAGTGAAACAAACATCAACCAAAACTCACGTCAAGGGAGAGTCGACTGACTTCCATATTAATTATAAAGAATGCCAGTTTATCGTAGGTGTGCTAATTGCCCGTTGATACAAAATATGTGTCTTCTGAATACACAATCTTGATTAGCACTGACACTTTGATTCAACAGACCTTAATTAATCACGAGACCGAGCTCAGACCCCGTATATTACGACTTTAGCTTTAATCAAATTATTATTTCAGAGTATTTTTGTTGTGGGGCGAGCGAATCTATTCACATGTATCACGGCAATGGCTGCCTCTTGTAGGAAATGGCGAAATAGCGTAACTCTCTAACTCATTGACGTATTACGCAAAATACGCACAGGTGTACCAAATGAATTTGAAAAAAATTAAAAATGTGTTAAAATGCATTGTGTTTATTTGCGAATTTATTGATGGTTTCTACCGTATCTGTATGTTTAGGCTACCATTGTCAACATTTAAAGTTGATAAAAACGCTTAGATTCCATGAAATAACGTCCTTGAAAAAAATTTCGCGGGGAAGCATACTCCCGGATCACCCGCAATCAGGCATCCCCGAGTGTGCGTACTAACTCAAAATATAGCCCTACGCCCACGATGTCTATTGTCTATACTATAAAGAGTCTATTTTGAGAGCAGTATGAAAGTGAGGTTTTATCCCTTTTGGGGCTTGACATTTTTAGTGTTCCCATTGGCACAACATAAATAACAATAGTTCGAATCAGTGATATTATAATATTTATTCCCAGCGATTGTGAAGGTCGATATGACCCAAGTTTTAGATGATATGAATGTCACACTCTGCAGTGTAATATTCCCAAGAATCAATATGTTAGTTTTTCTAATCTTGTAAAAACATTCTGAAGCACAAAAGCACTAATTGGCAAAGAGGATGAAAGAACAACAGGATCAGCCCCCAAAGCAAATATCAGATTTATGATATTTTAATTATATCTTCCCCAAATATGACGTCCCGTTCGTGTTAAGTTCTGATAAATATCGAGTTGATATTATTATCTTACTTCATCATGTTTCTGAACATTTTGTTATTTTAGGCCAATCAATGCTAATGAATAAGCCTATATAACGCAGCTGGTTTGGTCAAATTGACATCAAACAAGCTTACGCATCATTCAATAACTTTAAAATGTATGCTAAAGGAATTTGACTGACAATATTTATAAGTTGTATATAAATGCAATTTGATTCATTTTTCTCGTTTCAATTAAAAGTCTGTCTTGAAATCCTAGAGCACATAAGATAATCAGTGTAGAATTGTGCCATGATGTGACTTATCCAGGCAATATATGTGCTACTCATCTCCCGTAGGCCTGATATTATTACATCCTTCTATTAAGGTACCTGGCAGAAAATATCATTTTGAACATATTCCTTTAATCATCATAGGGCGTCTTTGAAATTCCATTCTCAGACTTTGGTCAACTATTTTTCACAAAGATATCAGAATGGTTTCTTTGTTTTTTTCTAGGGTGTGATGGAATATAGACTAGTAGTCATTTATAACGAGAATTTCATTATGGACGTATCTGTACGGGTATAGACAATTCTTACTTTGATGATGTCTCAATTTGATCGTTTCTAGTTCTGCAATTGACCGGGCATTGAGGAACTTGCTGTTAATACCAACCTCATCAAATACGTCACCGAGGTTTTTCAATCAGTCTGTCCATCTGATTTGTTTTCACCAATGACACTAATAGGGGATAATACAATTTAGCAAGCTCCTAGGAAATTAGTGGCTCTTAGATGCCACCTTAGTAAATAAGAACTGGAAATGGAATTTAAACAAATAAAGTGTCTTTTAGGAAAAATCTCATTTCTCAAGGATCTTATCTGATTGGCAAATGTCTAGATTTAATTTAAACTCTCTCTAAAGGTCTCCCAATGAGAAAGGTCGAGATTAAGATATTTGTCATTTTCTGTACCAGACTATAAAACTAATTTTCCATGGGAATTTATATCAACATTTTTTATTATAGCCTAGCTGATACGAGGCAACAATAAATGACGTGAGAGTGAGTAGTTGGGAACAAGCGGGTATTGGCGCAGTCACTCGAGGCGTAGAACTGGGTGATGTTGGACGTTAAAAGAGGAGTATGTTCACTGAAAGTGTCATCATAACAGAATGGCTGAAAGTGCTTAAGTAAACTGTATGTATTATACAATACAAAACAAAGGACTATACATAAATGCAGATGCGTCCATTAGCGTTCTTGAATTGATTTAACGTAGATCAGATTTGCATCCCAGCTGCTACAGGAACACTTGATCAGATGTAAGTTCGATCGCTGGAAACTAAACTCTCTCGCGGGAAGACAGTCGATCACATGATAAACCATTCTATCATTCATTTATGACATACGAACTGTTGACTAATGCTATGCAGCTAGCGAAAATAAAACAATCTCATTTACTGTGCATCGGGAAGACTTAACACACTGATATCGTTTTGGCTTAGAAGAAAGAACTTCAGAACGTAAGAATGTCTAGATGTGGAATATTTCACGGAGAATGTCTCAGTAGTTGAATAACCGGTGAACATAATTACTTCTATAGAAAGAACTAGTGTGGCTGATATGCCTTAATTGGTGCTCTATAATGGTCTGATATTGGCATTATCACTTGGTCAGTGACGTAGAGAAAACATAACTAAGATCACTGATTAGTCCCCGAGGCGTTTCCTATTAATACAGTAGAACTGGATTGTGAGGTCGTTCTCTGATATTATTGAAAGGATTAACAGCACAAAGGCCCAAAAGAAAGATAACAAGGAATTATTTCTACGCTCTTAGCTATGACTTAAATTGACGCTATACTTCATTGACTCTATTGGCAAGAACTGCAATCGTTATGAAGAGCGTTTTTATTACAATCCTTCATTGGAAGATTAAAACTGAAGAACTCACATTGAAACATTTAATATGTCGTAATTGCAAAGTTTATGGTGCAGATGTGTACATTTTTCTATAGATACGTTGATTTATGAACTATTGAGCCAAAACGGATTTGCCAAGCTGTTGCTTCTTGTTATCGACTTTCGATCATAATCTATGACCTCTGAGACGTCTAAGAAAATAACATAAAATATAATAACAAAATGGTTCAATCGTTTTACTACGAAAACTGGGGCAAGTGCTGCAAAAAACTTATGAAATATGATGGATTTCCTAACAAAATTTTAATGTTCCCCTATGAGGGATGGGCCCAGCCAGCGTCGTTAACATACTGGGTCATCAAAACAACATGGTGGAGCACCAAACGGTGTAAGATCATCGAGGTGTCGGGTACAAAGAAACGTACAACAAAAGCTAAGATCAAAGACGCTGGAAAGGGGACAATGCAGATAAAGGGTACATTCAAAGATGAACTTGTTGATCCTGATTTTAGGGTCATTCTGAGCACGCAGGTCTCAAGTACAGACTTCCAACTGGGGTATAGTATGACTGGAACATTGGAACGTGGTGAGAAGGCATCAAACAAACTACAAATGACACATTATGCCATGATAAAAAGAAAGGGTTATTAGATATGACATACAAAATGTTCGTATAATTATTTAGAGAGTTTTATCTTCCTAATAACATTACATATTATATGCTTTCCATTATTGATGTACAAAGTAATTTTGTAATCTAGAGAACGTAATCGCTGTCTATCAAATAGATAAATGCTTAAAGAGTATGTTCCACTTTTGGCATTATACTCAGTATATAATGGTGCACTAGAAAATGTATCTTCATCCTACGTACTACCATCCTCTGTATAACGGTGGGATAGAGAGTTAGGTTTATAGTTGCCTATTCATATACCCAGTCAATTGAGAAGTTCAATCGATCTTTAACCTATATTCTTCAAAGTCAATAACTGATTATTTAACAAATCCCTTTAGGCGTCTTTTCGGTATTTGAATGAATGCCGTCTGCAATTCAGAATATAGTAATTAATACTAGCTGACGCCTCCATCTTTCCCATTAAGACACTTCCTTACTGAAGATACTTGAAAATGGAAAGGTGGAGATGTCAAGAAGATGAAAATGAGATCAACATCCCCTGAACACTTCTGGCTACGAATTGTCACCAACTCGTGCTGTACTTCTTAACGTGTCAACAGCCGTCAACTTCCCACCCTCACCTAAAACAATTTTTTTCTCCGAAAGCCGTTGGTCAACTAACTGGGTGTTAATGTTATATACATTCGGGAGATGTTGATAGAACACAGGTATACTCCCAAGAAATAAAAGAGATGCTTGCGTATTACCTTTTGAGGTTCGAAGCGACTGACGTTGACGGAATATACAGACTACTGAAATATGAAAAGGTGCATGCTAGTGGAAAATTGAGAATTTATATTATTCATGATCTCAGAAACAAATTTTGTCAGTTGGCCAATGAACAGGTATATTTCTGTCCACGTCGTTTCGCTCCAGACTTACCCTGCGCGCAGAGTCTAGTTAAACTACAGACGAAGACGTTTTGAAGACGAAGCTCTCTTTTAAGAAGTGAAGTCAAACGAATGCAAAGGGTACTCCAGACTTCGAACGTATTGTTAATGTTCACACAGAGTGCTTCCTATTACATCAAGGATTTATATGCTGAATATAGTTCAGAATAATCTGTAGAGGCCCAATATAATCTATTTCAAATTTTGGGGAGATGAAACATCAGAATAAATCTTTGCTTATGGGTGATATGAAGTAGAATTATTCCCAAATGGCTCGATTTATTGTCGATAGTCGAGTCTAGTTGATAGACTGATCCTATGCGAAGTATGCAAGAGTACATGAACAAAACGGCATACATTGTGGTACTATGCATGTCCTAGTTTATGGCCTGTGCTTCTATTTGAATGCCGTTAAGGGTAGGGTAGCTATATGATATGCCGGCCACATCATCCATAGAAGTTGCAATGCAATGACTTTAATTAATTCTGCTGTGCACTTCATAGACAAAGTGAGGTAGTTCGTTGACATGTATGATATTATTGTTAAAACGCATGTAAAAATCCATAAAAGTAAATGACTGGGTGCCAGATCACATGTATATGTGCAGCTGTATTAAAACTATATAGATCAGGTTAGCACATGAAAATGTTTCTTTATCTTTTTCTTTCAATTATTTTCTTGAAAATAGGACTTAGTTTGGAATGTGTATATAAAATATGCATTTCCACTGTATTTCCCCATTTGGGACTGGTTGTATGGACAATTTTGCTGTTCCAGAACTTCTTGTTTACCTACTACTAGTTTGCGCCCAAAACTACAAATTGCTCTGTAGGTTAGTTTCTAGCCTCAATTCTTATTTTTGATTTGATATTGATGTTAGGGAAAGAGATGCGTTATATGTAAAAGTCACGCAAATTAAAGGCCTATATTTCTGCTATGTTTCTGCTGTAACATGAGTCATATAGGCCTTTCCTTTGAAATACCGAGGATGAATCGAAATACTCTAGGGTCTAAGGTATATTCGTACTAATATTCATTATGTAAAGTTGTAGATTATTTTGTTAATAAATTGATTTTGTTACAAATGCGTTCTAAATGGTTTTTAAATACACCGCCAAATTACAGGGTACGTTTGTTTAATTGTCTATAATTACATTTTATTAGAGAGTATTTTATTTTACAAATATTCTTCAGGAAACAATTCGAGTCATCGAAGGTTTAATTCTGGCTCCTAATTTTGATCAAATATTTGAATCAATTATAATGACAATGTTAGATACTAGTTGAGCCTTTGTATTTTGAGGCTCCAGAATTAAATTAATACATGACTGTACATTAATACATGTACACTCCCCTCCATAAGTTTGGCAACCTTTTTCCCCCATTGAACTACGTGTTAAAGCCTCTTTACCTTTGAATTTTTATTTACTTAACCTGCGATGAAAATACTTATACTATTGATGGAAACGTAATTTGACTTTACTTCCAATACCTCCAAATTTTCTCAATTTTTTTCCTCAATTACAATAGGTCGAAAATTGATGATGAATTTGATGAATTTTTGAAAATCGACATTCCCATGTTAACCAATGGGAAATGGTAGGTTTGCCGCAAGTCATATGACAGAATACCCATCCAACCGAGTCCTTGCAAAAAATACGAGTTAGGCAGGTAATTGAATTTGCTAACTTTATTTAACAAAAAATTGATATGTTTCTTCAGGTTCAACAAAGTTATAGGGCTTTAAAGTCAAAATTGTTTTTCAAAAAACCTCTCCCATTGAAATAACACAGGAGGCGAAAAATAATTTTCAAAAATGACTTTGAAGCGCTGTAACTTTAATATTCATCAAATAAACTAAACACTTAGTGTTCAAAAAAGTTAGACAATTCAATTTTCTATATAAAAATATTTTTTGCTGAATCTTTTACTGAAAAGATATCCTGATTTCTGATTTGCCCCGAACCCTCCATTTCCCATTGGATTACATGAGAATGACGATTTTCAAAAATTCATCAAATTTATCATCAATTTTCGACCTATTGTAATTGAGGAAAAAAATTGAGAAAATTTGGAGGTATTGGAAATAAAGTCAAATTACGTTTCCATCAATATCGTAAGTTATTTCATCGCCGGTTACGTAAATAAAATTCAAACGTAAAGAGGCTTTAACACGTAGTTCAATGGAGAAAAAAGGTTGCCAAACTTATGGAGGGGAGTGTATGATTCTTTATTGGTCAAATATTGCATTTTCAGTCGCATCATCCTTGGCCCAAGAGTAATTCATTGCATTACATGTAATTCATTGCATTACATTGCATGATGCATCATGCATGATCTGCTATGAAAGCAGTGAAGGACCGATCTTGAAGGATGAGTCGCATAGAATCAATTTACTTTCGCAGGGGATAACATGTCGCCCTCATAATGTAGCCTTAGCTGGCCTTTACTGCCCATAAGATTCCCGTGTTTTAAAGGGACACTCATCCTAACCCCATCTGTCCTCTCCCGTGGACCAAGGCTTAGGGGAGAGACACATTAAAGGAAAATGAATGCATGCTTGGGGTCCTCTACGTACCCTAGGAATTAACGAATCGGATCGCTTTAAGAAGGACAATTTCTTAATAACCGCGTTTCATTCACTACTATAAGTACACTGGCTCGATATTCTCTTAATTTTCGTAACGAGGCAATTTTATTCCAGTTCTTTGTTACCTGGATATCTAGCATACAATGGTGTGAAATTATATCTGTATTAAATGCCTATTCATCATAGTCAATCGGAAGATGAATAAAATATACGAGTAGCCAATATATCATCATAAAAATAGATTTTTCTACATTGTATTGATGCTGTTTTGTTATCTTTTTGCAATGGAATGTCATGGATAGTGTGAGGTTATGCCATTAGATATTCTACGAATTCGAATGATTCAACATTTGTTATTGAGTCGCAGTCTGAGATCGTGTCATTTTTAAGGTGGGGATATTGTAACGATTGAGTTCTACACGTAGGCTATGTCGTCACTATGCATGTTGCATCTATCTTGATCTAGCTGTTTGTACTTTTCCCTGTTGACTATCTGATCACAAAAGAACAGTTTCAAATCAAATAAACAACAAAAATAACAATGTTATTAAATAAGAGTTCTAGACTATCTAGAATATTTGGACATTGTCAGATACCTGGCGAGTCTACTACGTTGCAGTTTATTTTACATATATTTTCAATTGTAGTTTAACCAAATTAGGAATTATTCCTTGGACTGCTTGTTTAGGTTGATATCATTTTGGGGTTTGTTTTAACTGGTTGCAGGTGGTTACCCGCCGTGTGTTCCTCTTAGAGATTGCAATTGGTTGATGCATACTTTATGAACCATGAGAGAGCAGTGCATCAATAACAAAGGATAGATAACATTGCAACGCGATTCTTATGGCTTTTTACCCTACAAAGGTAAAGCATCTAATGATATCAAGTTTCATTTCACTTGACACTTAAAAATCAGAGGTATCAGAACATGTATAGACTCAGGCCTGTAGCCAGGATTTACCTGGGGGAGTGTGGTTTTACCAACAAGGAGTTTTAGCCGGGGTTTTGCCAAAGGGGGAGCTTTTTGACAATATTGGCCAAAAATTTAGCGAAAAGTGCTCAGAATGGTGAAAAACTGCATGATTTCGAAAGAATTTCTGACCGCATGTATGTAATATTGAAGGATAAAAAGACGACAGGGCCAATGACAGAGCAAGTGCAAGTATCACGCAACCTTCTACAAAAAGGCTAGATATTTTTTATGTGCTATGGCAGATGCATCCATAAATAATTCATTTGAAACAATTACTAGAGAGAATACAACTGTGGATGCTGCAGTTTGCGTTATGAATATTGCTCTCTATTAATTAGAATATATAAAAGTAACTGACGTGCGACGACCGACTTACCGTCGAAAACGATATCTGAAATTGGAGGACTATATACGTCCCTCTAACCAAATTCGATTACTGACAACTTGAGTTATCAAATCTGGTAATTGATTTTCCTATGTGCCCTCAACTTGCCAATACTGTTTAGTTATACTGACCAATAGCCTAATCAGTTTCTCAAGTCGGGTTACAAATTAAAGTGAACCTGAACTTCCATGATCTCAATAACAGAAAGACATCGTATGTTTAAGGATTTAAGCCCTGGACTCTGTGCAATATTGAATGACCATTCCTTGAAGGTGTTGCTTTGCAGATTTTACACGAGATGCGCAAGCATCGAGTGTTTATTAAGGAAACAACGCCCAAAATGCGTAGACATCGACATGAATAGAATCATGTCTATGGGCTGATGTGACAGAGTCGGTCCACCCCGGTGTGGATCGAACCCAGAACAACCCATTCTGAAATAATCAAAATCATCGGAATATAACAGTAGGTACTCTGATTTTACTGCTCATTCAGTCTCAAAGATCAACTTTTCCAACACTCATTTGGAATAGATTTTGGAAGACCATTTGATGTATTATCTACTTTCAAACGCAAAAGCTCATTTAAAATTCAGTTTGTATATGCAGTAAAACCTGTCTTAGTGAACACCTCTCGCTAATGAACACCTGTCTCTAGTGGACACATTTCCTCGATTCATTTTTCAAAGTAAAAAACAACATTTCCTCGATTCATACTCTGGTGACTTATGTATAAATTACCCTCTCTGTAGTGAATACGTACTAAACACTGGTCATTTTTCTTAATAATGTATACCACAATCAAGGAAATCTGTCCTGATATATAAATATTTCATTATTATCTATTTAATAGTAATATTTATTATTATGGTGCAACTGCTATGATGATCAGACGCACGATACCTCGTTAGTTTTGAAAGTCTTATACATTATCGATTTCGAAAGACCCCCCCCCCCCCCCCCCCGACACCATTCAATACATCCCACAAAATACCGTAAATCTCCTGAAGATCTTATTGCGTGAAAGGGAAATTGCATTGACAGAAAACCCTGATGCATAAAATTCAATTTGGAATGTAATATTTTTATATGTCATTTCTATTGGTTTTTGCCTCTAATTGTACAGTTCAAAGACAAGAACTAATGCTAAGTGACAACTCGAGTCTATTCAATTAAATAAAGACTTTATTCTCAAAAGGAATTGTTCTGATAGACAAGTCAATGCGATATACATTCGCTAACCCTAAATCCCCATTGTCTAGCTGTGAAACTACTCTCTGAATATTACATACGGATGATTTTTCGATTTTGATGAATTAGCATCCCAATTGTGGTTTTTCATGGGATATGACTTTGAATACGAAATGGGTGATAAATACCGAAGACAGAATCAGACTATGTACTCAAGATTCTGCATTGGTAAGATCAAATAACTTAAAGGCCCCATGTAAAGTTTAAACCACTTTGGCTTATATTGTAGTCTTACCCAATGTTATCAAAGTGTGATATGTAAAACTTTTTTTTTTAATTTCAAAAAGTGGTTTTTGATAGACTTTTTGTTCCAAAATTTGTGAATTTATTTAAAACCAACTTTTAGAGGTCACTCATATTTTCTAATTAGCCACAATTCATACAAATGCATAGCATACATCCTCCCATGTTTTTTGCCGAAAAAATTAAGAAAATCGGTTGATAAACAAGCGAGAAATGAACTTATCAGTGCATGAAAATGATTCTGAGAAAAATGCATTTCAAAATTTTAGTTCTCATAGAAACCAATGGTACAATGATATCTAAAACATAATTTATTCTTCCTTTCAAGGAGGATTGGCTCCCAGAGTGCACCACCGATATTCTGTCCCATATATGGGTATGTCGTAATACAAAATTCGAATTCAAACAGCCGCCATTTTGTTCACTTCAACATTTAAATCGTGAATTTTGGTCTTATTTCCAAACGAAAAATTCCAAAACTCACAAGAAATGATCGAGATATTGGTTCGAATCTTTTGAACTGTTTATTTTGAATTTATAGTCGGTTTTAATTTCAGAAAATAACGACATTTCGACGTTTTCATTGTTGGAAAATATCGAGTTTCGATCCTGGGAGCCAATCCTCCTTGCTTCCTTTTAACCTGGTTAGACAATCAACATTGTTTTTTTTATGAAAGTCTAGCATATTAAGAAAAGATTGACATCGAAAAAAAAAATTCAATATTTTTCAAAAAGTTTTTGTTACCTTAGTGACATCACTAATGTTTCAAAATATTTTTGATAAGCTAAAACATTGAAGTGGCCCATTAAATATGACATTTTATTATTGAAATAGTGTGTCTTTTGTTCAATCTTTGCATTGGTGTTAAAAATATAATCTTTTTTGAAATGCATTAAGAAATATTTGATGATTAAGAAATTTCAACTTTTTTGAAAAATGGCGGGAAATTTGAATATTTGAGAAATGAAATGCTCACAACTATTTTTTCAAAAAAAATTTTTTGTTCAAAAATCTCTAAAATCACTTTTTAATTCCTGACAAATAGTAAATGAATGATAAAAAAATATTTTCAAACTTTAGACGGGGACTTTAAGAGTGGAGATTAGTCAATTTATTGTGAAGGGTAATCCACATCTAACCACTCTGATGCAATCTAATTTAAAGCCATTCACGGACACTGAAATTGACTGAACTGAGAAATGAAGGAATAGAGAGATATAAACTCAATTATAGAACCACGGTGGTGGTGACCCCATAATTGACATATTTTCAAATATTTTTAGGCTCTAATATCTGAACTTATTATTGATCAAGAGCACTTTTATCTGGAAAAATTGTACTTCAATTAACACATATTGTCTGATTGGTTTTGATGGGGGTTTATGTTTTTATGTTGCTAAAACATCATAAGTTAATAGATTCAAACAGATTAAGCAGGGCTATGTGGGGCTGATTCTTAACCTGTGTATGCATGTCTAAGTTAACTCACTGGACTTCATAGTCTATTACCCTTCTTAAATTCTGTATTAAAAGTGGAATAAGATATGGAATTGATCCACTTGACCACTTTGATCTGAATTGACACCATGCTGACCACGAGCTTTGTAAATATTGTGGCTCAGATGCAGAGTAAAAATTAATACTGAAGTTGGGATGTGGTTCTTCAATCGCTCAGTTTTCAGATCATCAAAGTTGTCACTAAACTTAACATTTGATTTCGACTGTAATTAAAAATAGTTATACTTTCAGAAAGATCACTGAACAGAATATTTTGAATTTTTCAGAAAATGTGCCCAATAAATGAAAAAAGCTTTGAAACTTTGAAACTGTCTGAAACAAAAATGAGTCATAAAAAGGTAAATAGATGGCTTTTCAATTCAATTTTTTTCTATTTCTAGGAACGAATTCAAATTACATCAGATTTCATTCTAATGAGATGAAATCCAGTATACACGGGTCATATCATCACCGTCAAACTTACGATTATTGGTCAAACTCATCAAATTGATATATTTGTATGTTTTGATGTGGAGGATTCCTAAATAAAACACAATACTTAACATTTCAATATAATAACATCATAACTATATTTTATTATAAACCCCCTTTATTTACACATTTGTACAGCATACATTTAAATACAATACAGAAAAACATCACATCTTTTCTATCTACTTAACAAAATAAATACTTATACTTCATCAAGAAACAACTTTCTCCCAAGATGTCTCAAATGATGAATAAGTTGAGGAAAAGGTAGAATCAAAGAGAAGCTTTTCCCAAAAATTGAGCTTTGATAAGTCATATCCTATATCTATATTTGATAGTATATCTATAGTACAGGACACAATGTTAGTTCATTGTAATTTATACTTGAATGCCATTTTGTCCTCGTCTCTGATTCTAGCTTTACATGAAACATTTTGTCCATACAAATGACCATAGGGATTCCATGTTAATCCACAGAGATCAAATTGTTGACATCTATTCATTAATTCTGAGCTTATTTAACTCTAGTAATGCTTTAATAATGTGTTTTTGACATCCCTTGGTACAGTTTCTATGTCAGTTAATGTACAATATGAATATAAAGAACCTATCTGAATATTTGAACTAGAAGTACATCAGAAATGTCTTTGAAATATTAAAGGACATTACCTTCAGATAATCAGCACTGGAGATGTGCAAACGTTTATTTAGCCATGTAATATGACTATCAACACACTATCAATCCCAGTTTGTATCATCATGTTTACTGAATTAAAACAGGTATCAAACTATTGATGGCTGAAGTATTTTACACAGCGATCAATGTCTTGAAGGTTTTCTACACTATAACCCTGTTTAGACCACACAGTGCCACACACTGTCTATGCTACATGTGTTTTGATAAATAATTCAAAATTTGAAAGAAACATCTAATTTACAAATTCTACTACTGCATAGTTTTTGACTATAAAAAGAAATCTACTTATAAAGTACCTTAATTGTGGAATATTATAAATCCCTCAAAGAAACATTAATCAAGTGGTACTAAATATTAACCCAGATTAAGTACTGCAAAATGTACACCCGATTACATACTGTGCTATGTCAATTACTGCACTTATGTATCTCAGTACATATTGTGCTATGTCAATTACTGCACATATGTACCTCAATACATATTGTGGTATGTCAATTACTGCACATATGTACCTCAATACATATTGTGGTATGTCAATTACTGCACATATGTATCTCAGTACATATTGTGCTATGTCAATTACTGCACATATGTACCTCAATACATATTGTGGTATTTCAATTACGTCACATGTGTATTCCAGTACACATCATGGTATTCCAATTAAGTACTGCGCTTGCGCATGTACCATTCAGTACATATTGTAGTACATATTGCAGCATTGCAAATTGTTCATTATGCCTTGCTCAACTAAAATACTACAGGTTTTGTGACGTCAATCTTGAGTTTATCGCTATCTTCCTCGACCAAAGAAGCTAACTGCAATGCACAAGTAAGGGTATCATTAAATAAAGTTTACAACTTTACATTTAACATGACAAATAAGCTTGGTCGACAAATCAACATTCATCAAAAATGTAATTAATTTCATTTCAGATATATGTTCTTCCAAATTGACTTTTTCATTGATTGTACAAGTTGCATCAAACTCCTATAAAGGATTTCCTCATTTAAACTCAAATATCGAAACTAGGGATACAAAAAAATAGCTATCACGCAAATAAACACAATTTTATCTTCTGGAAATTGATTTTTCCCCTGAAGACCCCTTCAGCATATAAACAAATAACCATACATCCATCTATAAAAGCTATACACACACTTCATCAATTATAATTTACAAAAATTGGTCCCATTGGTTCAAATAGAAACAAGCAACAACAAAATCTAGGTGTATGGTAAAACATGAATATGACCTATATTGAACCTGGCATATTGCCATTTGTATAAAGTAAAGCACCTACACATACATAACTTGTGTAAATTATGTTATTTGAATATAACAAACAATTGAGATTACAGTTGTGTATACAAGCAGTCAATTACTAGAAGTGGCATAAATAAGAAGACAGATGCCTGTGGCTATTTCTGAAGATATTACTTGAAGCATTCGGCAAGATTTTTTTGTATCTTTTTTTGGTGAAAACATTGACTCAGAAATTATGATCTTTCAATCAATTATTTTGGACTATTCAATCAGCAGTAATTTTTGGAAATAACTCGAAAAAATTAAAGCCTGGCAAAAACAATGAAATCTTAAATTTTTGAAATAAATTGAACCTGAGAAGCACATAAACCACAATAAATTGAGCGCTATTTACATTGCTATATTGTTTGCAGTTACTGCATTGAAAGTTACAAAAAGACAAAATCATATACAAACAATTAAAACTGTTTAAAACAGCGGAATGTACATTGTAAGTTACAAAATTTCACCAGTTTCGTTGTTGGAGTTGTCATGGAAACAGTTTAATTACCCATTATCTAGGGTATACGGTATACAGTTTTATATTGTTCAGTTCTACATAAATACATATGTCTGTATAGATACGCAGTATAAATATAAAGATCTGCACAAATACCCCTCAAGCATAAGTAAGACTAAGTTACAGGAATTTCAGAACCCCCTTATTATATGTTAATTTAAAGTATAGTTATACTTTAACCAGGAACCCAATAATACATACAAGTTTAAAAAACAATACTTCAACATTACATTGAACCAAAATTAAGGTAACTACTAACTACACAGACCTACAAATACATAAAAATGTAAATATCCAAAAAAAACAAAACGAAATAATAAAACACCCAAAATGTCAAACAATTTTACATGTTGTAAAATTTCCAAATTGAGATCTAATTTGAATTGCATCTGTTAATATACAGGGTGTTCATTATATAAGCATCTGTCATTATAAAATGTTTCCTGTTGGTTTGAGTAAAAAGTAATGATGATGTAACATTTTAGAGTCTATCGCCACTGATATGTATAATTGTTTGATCAAATCCAGTTGAGATATTCCATGGGTTTTCAAGAATTCCCCATGCCTCTATATCTTCAAAAGACCCATTTAATACTTGTTTATCTCCACTTTGACATCAGGATACTCCTTAACTATTTTCAAGCTCCAAATCAAGAGTTTCTGAGAGGCTGAACCCATGATGAAAGACATAGTAGTTGCAACTGTCACCATTAAGTCGGGACTGACACCTAAGTTATGAATGTCACAAAGTCGCAAGTTAGCCAAGGTTAGTATATATAGTTGCCTCCTTTATCTGAAGATGAAGGTCTGGTAATTACCTCTTCCATATTTGTGTCTAGTTTCCGATACTCACTCGTGTTCGGTCTTCTACGGCGGCTATTGCCATTTCTACCTTCAATAACATAGGCGATCAACTGAAATAGAAAAATGAGATCAATTAAGACGGTTAAGGAGCACACAACAGTGATCATTACCTTATATAGACATTTATTTGACATTTGATCACATTTTATATTTAACTGATTCTGTGAATGAAATTTCTCAATCATGTGCCACATGAAATCAGATAATTTTTGTATCACATACTGGTATGCCATCTATCATATCCAATTGAATGCAAATCTCTATTTTATTTTGGACTTACATTGGTTTACCATCTATATTTCAGAAAGTTCCAAACATATGGACACAGTCATACATTTTGTAATGCCCTAACATGTCCTTAAACATACATAGACATGGGCAAATGTAGGAGCAAAACCCTTTTAACGTAAAACAAATTCTCATTCACTTCACTGTTGTTTTTAGTGATACCTTGGGAGAAAACTCATTAAAATATAACGAAATTCACTTGCATCGTGGTCATACAAAAATACAGCCCTACCTTTTGTTTATTATGAAAGGCGACGTATCCCACAATGCACAGTACAACTGCAGTGAGAAAGTATGCCATGAAATGACTTGATTTTGCTTCCTCTTCAAGAATAGGGTTTGGTAATCTTTTATTAGAAGCTTCAGCAGCAACATTCTGTTCTGGTTGCCTTACAACATTTTCATCTGGCCTTACAGCAGTATCAATTGGAGGCATCTTATCCTGATCTTGTTCAGAACCTGAAAGTAGGGTGATAGTATAAATCATGGACAATGACAGACAGTCAATGAAAGAACCTATCAAACAACAAATGTTACATATAAAAGTAAATCAAAAATTATTTTGTTGTATTTTGTGTGTGAGTCTCAGACTACTCTGAAATATTGCTTTTAATACTTGTACATTTATGCTTCAATTGATCCTACTCCCTCCCTTGATGAAACTGGAAAATGCACACCCCATTCGAACTACTCACAATGCATTATACAAATATGTGCCATATCTTGTACCATGCACTATGTTAATGCATGCTGTGCAATTCACTGCAGCTAATGCATGTTCTCTGAATTCACAATGTATGGATGGACATGTTCAATATATTATGGCTATTTGGTTTATCGCCATCCCATCTGCTAAACCCCAATGATACCAAAATTTGAAAATCCCAAAATGTAGAAAATGGAATAGCAGGGTTAGTCATTTTGAAGAAATTGTGAAATTTGCTGAATGTGGCAACCCTGAATATATTAAATTTTATCACTTGGACAATAATACACTATTATCACCATTTGTGATTAACACATTCCAACCTGTTGCCTCGAAATCAATATTCAGTTCAGTAAAATTTAATACAATCAATAAATCTCAACAAAACAGACAGAAAATGCGTACTTTACAGAGCCAATGTTACTCTAATAATACATATTGATTCACTTTGCCATTTATTTTTCATCGCAAAAACAGAGATATGAAAATATGTATATGTCTCTGAACAATGCAAACATGACGAAACAATTTGTTCATTTTTGTTCATTTGTGCATTCAACATATAAAACATCTGTAGCCAACAACAAGATTTTATAAAGTAAAGATATTTACTCGTATATCAGATTGGCATATCGCACAAGTCTTGCATCAAGCTCCTGTTTCTCTCATTATTCACTTCTCAATAGCATAAGGTAACTGGATAAGTGAGGGGGATACCAGGAACTTGATATAGGACTAATATAACATTGGATCTTTATCACGAAAAGCTCAGTATTTGCATCAAAGATAGATTACACCTCAGATCCTCTCACTCACCCATCAACAAATATTTCAGAATGTATAGATCTATAGAAATATTCAGACAAATTCTCAGCGGTATTAAACTAACTGGATAACAAGCCCAAATAAGTCTATTGTTAAACCATTAAGAAAATTTTTGAATGACTTAAGAAAACTGCCCGAAGCCTTGGGTTTCTACCATCAAGGTTAAGAATAACTTATAAACCATGATTCCCTTGCGAAAAGATCCATCAATGATTCTGTATTAGCATTATGAATCATTTTTAGAGTACTCATGACATTATTATAAGCAATCTTGACAGTGAAAGTACACCAAACAGCTCGAATTCAAACCACCAGATAACAGTATCATACACTGTGACTAAAATCCACATGATATAGTCTTTAAGAGTGAAGTTGCTCTAATCTGAAAAGAGAAATCTAAAATAAGGCAAGAACTAAAAATAAAAGATAATAGACCTTTGCCTGAAGATAAAACAAAATCAAGAAATCAGTATCAGGCCAACAAAACATATTCCTTTCAATACCTATTTCACAAAACAATACTTCTTGTGGCCTTTTTCACAATTTAACAGAGTCTGGACCATTTCACTGGATTTGCGCCTTTTGACTGCTATATTGCAATAGCATAGGTTTTGGATGAGTACATGCATCAGCAGTCAATAGGGAAATGCCAATAGTTGGCAGACTGATACTGTTATTGTGCTACACTATGGATTAAAATCTTACATTTAACACATATACAGGGTGCGCAAAAAAGATTTGTTTGGGTGACATTTTTTGTCTAACATTGTATAAATACTAGTTAGATTAAGCAAGGTTAACTGAAAGTATTAATCAAATTGATCAAAAAATATCAAATTGTGTATGGTACTTTCAAAAAGCTAATTGCGATGGTAGGTTTAAATCAATGCCATTTCTGCATCTACGTGCATTTGCATGATCAAGATGCTAAACTTCAATAAATTGTGCACATACTATCTGTAAATGTTTGAATTTAATCCATTATGTACGTGCATATATTTGGTGGGGTAGTCAATAATTATCTTCATTAATACTTGAAACTTGTAAAGCATCAGTAAGGAGAAACATTTTTAAATCTGGGAATATATTGAGCACCCCCACATGAAATACCTCAGAGCAAGACATTTTTGCAATCCAATTCAAAAACTGTCAATTTACATGCACATTCACATCTTTGTTCTGAATCGCTAATTTGAATTCATCACCTAGGCTACTAAGCTAGAGGATTCATTGCATGCCGCCAGTTAATATAAAAGAGGTACTGACAGTTAGAAAGGTCAATTTCGGACATTTTTTGCATGGGATATCATGAAAAGCATTTTGAAGAAAAGCACATGTTAAAATAGATGGCACTGCAAGATTAGCTGTGATGAGGGCTTATCACCATAGTGTTGGTCTGATGGTAAAGCAGGACCTTCAGTGTAAGGTGTAGTCCATTCTTCTTGGGATTCTTCATCCTCCTTTCCTCCTTTGTCCCACCAGTTCCACCAGTTCTTTCCCCCCTCTTCACTCTGATTTTTCATATCATAATCATCATCATATTCCTCCTCGTCGTAATCAGCTTATGATATAAAGCAAAGCGTTAATATATCAGGCAACAACATAAACAACACATTTAGGTTGACAGTTCAACAAAAGTAAAAAATCTAATTTGATTAAGCCCTAGTTAACCAAGTATGTTAGTCCTCATATTCCCTTGCCCACAAGTCCCTATACATAGTTAGTCTATTATTTCCTTGGTCCTCATAGGTCCTCATAGTCCCTTACTCTTTTGGTCCCTGTGTCCCTCAACTCCCTTAGTCCTCATATCCTTTGTCTCGTAACTCCTTTAGTCCTTATATACCCATAGTCCCTTATTCCCTTGCTCCCTATCCTTTTTATTTCCCTCAATATGGCTAGTTTTATAGCATAATTATTTATTTCTATACTTTTTATTATCAGTTTTCAATATTAGCAAATCATGTTAATATCAAGCAACAAACAAAGATTTAAAAGAAAACATGAAAAAACTCTAATTTCATATTCCCTTAGTTCAATTCCTTTCTTAGTCCCCTTACTCTTAGTCTTAGCCCCATACAATAGCCCCCTCCCACCTGCTCTATTAGTCCGCAGCTTTAGTTCCCATGTGTGAGTCCCCTTTTTAGTCCTCATACACAAAAGCCCTTACTCTTATAGTCCTCATACACAAAAGCCCTTACTCTTATAGTCCTCATACACAAAAGCCCTTACTCTCATAGTCCTCATACAGTAGTCGCTAAGGATGAGTGGGCTATTTCATAGACTCACCAAGTGAGCCAAAAACAGCACCTTAGATGAACAATTTGATTCATTATTTAGTTAAGTAAAATGGTCTATGGATTAATAAGTAGGCTAGTTATGATTTAATGAATACACTGTATCATATATATTACAAGTAATTACATGCTTTTATACATAATCACAACTTCCCCAGCCCTCTTTATAAATTGTCACCCCAGTAGGAATGGTGCAGAACATTAATTTTCTTAATTATTAAAATGCATTTGATTAAATATAAATATCTTACTTTCGTCTCGGTTTTCAGAATCTTCTTGATCTTGTGTCTCTCCTGGTGCACTTCCTCCAGTTTGGGAGTTAGGTTGATCTTGTGTCTGGTCTGGGGAACTTCCTCCAGTTTGGGAGTTAGGTTGATCTTGTGTCTGTCCAGGGGCACTTCCTCCAGTTTGAGTGTTTGATTGATCTTGTGTCTGTTCAGGGGCATTTCCTCCAGTTTGGGAGTTAGGTTGATCTTGTGTCTGTCCAGGGGCACTTCCTCCAGTTTGAGTGTTTGATTGATCTTGTGTCTGTCCAGGGGCATTTCCTCCAGTTAGGGTGTTTGATTGATCTTGTGTCTGTCCAGGGGCACTTCCTCCAGTTTGAGTGTTTGGTTGATCTTGTGTCTGTCCAGGGGCACTTCCTCCAGTTTGGGAGTTAGGTTGATCTTGTGTCTGTCCAGGGGCACTTCCTCCAGTTAGGGTGTTTGATTGATCTTGTGTCTGTCCAGGGGCACTTCCTCCAGTTTGAGAGTTAGGTTGATCTTGTGTCTGTCCAGGGGAACTTTCTCCAGTTTGGGAGTTAGGTTGATCTTGTGTCTGTCCAGGGGCACTTCCTCCAGTGAGGGTGTTTGGTTGATCTTGTGTCTGTCCAGGGGCACTTCCCCCAGTTTGGGAGTTAGGTTGATCTTGTGTCTGTCCAGGGGCACTTCCTCCAGTTAGGGTGTTTGATTGATCTTGTGTCTGTCCAGGGGCACTTCCTCCAGTTTGAGTGTTTGGTTGATCTTGTGTTAGTCCAGGGGCACTTCCTCCAATTTGGGAGTTAGGTTGATCTTGTGTCTGTCCAGGGGCACTTCCTCCAGTTTGGGAGTTAGGTTGATCTTGTGTCTGTCCAGGGGCACTTCCTCCAGTTTGAGTGTTTGATTGATCTTGTGTCTGTCCAGGGGCACTTCCTCCAGTTTGAGTGTTTGATTGATCTTGTGTCTGTCCAGGGGCACTTCCTCCAGTTTGGGAGTTTGATTGATCTTGTGTCTGTCCAGGGGCACTTCCTCCAGTTTGGGAGTTAGGTTGATCTTGTGTCTGTCCAGGGGCACTTCCTCCAGTTAGGGTGTTTGATTGATCTTGTGTCTGTCCAGGGGCACTTCCTCCAGTTTGGGAGTTAGGTTGATCTTGTGTCTGTCCAGGGGCACTTCCTCCAGTTTGGGAGTTAGGTTGATCTTGTGTCTGTCCAGGGGCACTTCCTCCAGTTAGGGTGTTTGATTGATCTTGTGTCTGTCCAGGGGCACTTCCTCCAGTTTGGGAGTTAAGTTGATCTTGTGTCTGTCCAGGGGCACTTCCTCCAGTTAGGGTGTTTGATTGATCTTGTGTCTGCCCTGGGGCACTTCCTCCAGTTTGGGAGTTAGGTTGATCTTGTGTCTGTCCAAAGGCACTTCCTCCAGTTTGGGAGTTAGGTTGATCTTGTGTCTGTCCAGGGGCACTTCCTCCAGTTTGAGTGTTTGATTGATCTTGTGTCTGTCCTGGGGCACTTCCTCCAGTTAGGGTGTTTGATTGATCTTGTGTCTGTCCAGGGGCACTTCCTCCAGTTTGGGAGTTAAGTTGATCTTGTGTCTGTCCAGGGGCACTTCCTCCAGTTAGGGTGTTTGATTGATCTTGTGTCTGTCCAGGGGCTCTTCCTCCAGTTTGAGTGTTTGATTGATCTTGTGTCTGTCCAGGGGCACTTCCTCCAGTTAGGGTGTTTGATTGATCTTGTGTCTGTCCAGGGGCTCTTCCTCCAGTTTGAGTGTTTGATTGATCTTGTGTCTGTCCAGGGGCTCTTCCTCCAGTTTGAGTGTTTGATTGATCTTGTGTCTGTCCAGGAGCACTTCCTCCAGTTAGGGAGTTAGGTTGATCTTGTGTTAGTCCAGGGGCACTTCCTCCAGTTTGAGTGTTTGATTGATCTTGTGTCTGTCCAGGGGCATTTCCTCCAGTTAGGGTGTTTGATTGATCTTGTGTCTGTCCAGGGGCACTTCCTCCAGTTTGAGAGTTAGGTTGATCTTGTGTCTGTCCATGGGCACTTCCAGGTTGTTCTTGTGTCTGATCTCCTGTAATATTTAACATAACTGTAGTAATGTTTGTTGATTCCATTGAGGGAAGTGATGAGGTGGGATAAGGTGCCCTATTGGGAACTGTCGTGGATGTTAGGCCTGTTGATTGGCTGTAACTGGTTGTTCTATAAGTTGTTGTCGCACCTGCTTTAGCCTCAGTAGTCTTAATGATAGCAAGGACTGGTTTATTCCCACCTAAAACACATGAATATATCAAAATAATCATAATGCTAATTTGGTACAATGAGAAAACAGAGGATTAAAACTACATATATATATGGTCATGAAATATATTGTGTCCAGGTTATTTGAAAATTAAAAGTTAACCCTCTCTGAAATAGAAAATGGTTTCATATATTTTTTCATCAGCTTTTATATACTACAGCTTGATGTTTGTCTAATTTATTAATGCTATTGAATTTTACAAAATACTGAACCTAAAACACCTCCCAAGTGTTTCTTTTGTAATGTAATATTAACATTTACCATACATTCAAACACTTGAAATACATAGATAAAACTACAGTAGTAATAAATGCATGTGCATACATGATATAAGCAACATATACACTACAACATTTAGAATAAGTAGCATTGACACACCATCCAAGTTCTTTTTAGTATTTGTATTTTTAAAATTAGAGCGAAAAAATAGTAATTAATGTGTTAAGGATACACATGTAAATGTTTGTATAATTTCTCATCTTAAACTGAAAATGTTTTTTCCTACAAGGCTAAAACATCAAATGAGTTTCTACTGGGTGTAACAATACAAGGTAACACAAGACACAGGGATAACTCCCAGAGGACATTACAGTACAGGGTGACTAGTGGTAGGAATGATTACAAGGTGACCACAAGCAATGATTTATTATCACAGGGTAAAACTATACAGGATGACAAACAGAGATTATGAATAGGGATTATTATAAAGAAGGATTACTATATGATGACAAGTAGGGATTATCACACAGGGTAACAAACAGAAATTATTACAAGGTAATGAAAAGCAGAATTATCATATTATGAACACAAATTAGTTATAATTACCTCACTCAATTCCCTCAACGTAACAGTGCATCACAATGTAGTTGTAAGTAAAAAAAAATAAAACATATTAGGCTGGGGCAACCTTTTTCAAAAACAAATAAGCTAGGGCAAATAAATGAATTGTCTAAAGTCTAATTTGGGATATATACCAGTTTGTCAAACTATATGTACATGACAATAATGTCAGAGGTTTCATAAATAACAGGAGATTGTTGTTTATACGAATTTTGCAACAATTTTGAGCAACCCTCCCCCTTGGGCTAAAAGTTCTTTCCAAACTCATAATGCAGCTTTCACCATTTTGAGCACTTTTCAAGTGATTTTTGACCAAAGTTGTCAAATGTGAACTACCACCTAGAATTTTTACAAAAAACTTGGCAAAAGCTGATAATGTGCCTGAAAATGACTGTTCTTTTCATTTATTTGGTTTGGCTGCAGTCCAAAATTCTAATGAAACGCCTGCATGTATTTACATATGTATTTATTTATTGATGGATTTTATTTACATTATAAACAGACAATATCTTAGTTTATGACTTAGGTTCTGTTCATAAGGAAACAATTGCAACATTGATGGATGTAATATCTAATTGGCTGAATCAGTAAACGTTCACAGATTAACATATAAACATTACTTGACAACTTATAATCTGTTGATAATCAACAATAAATAAATAAATAATTAGAGTGGATTTTCCAATCAACAAGAATTATGCTGTCTATGGTATCTAATGATATAATAATAGGATTTTATTAGTACTGATGGCCTTTTAGGGCCAAACGTACATCCGATATACAATTTTCAATAACAGTAAATACAGCAATAAAGTAAAGAAAATACATTATTATATATTTTTGATCTTGTGTTATATCAAAGATGGTATATCCCAAAATTTTCTTGATCTAAATTATCTTTTGATTTAAATTAAACCACTCGGACGTTTGTTTGATTTACTGAGTTATTGAAGATCTCTAACTTTGAGATTACAGGGTAACACAATACTTTCTCAGTTACATCTATTATGTTGAACAGAAACATGTACATGTACAACTTTTTTACTTGTATTTACCTGTTTTGTCATCACGAATATCAGATCCCGCTGTTTCTATGTCATTTTCTGAAAAAAGCACACAAAAAGCAAGTGATTAATGTGAACAGTAAAATGGAAAAGAAAATATTAAAATCTTGATTTGAATTAACAATAAGCAATACAATGTCACACAATCAGTTAACATCATCATTCTTATCAGAATATTTCCTAGAAGTTGCTATTACTAAGTTGTCCAATTATGATTTAAGATAATTTTCATAAAAATAAGAAATCTACATGCGCAAGTTAATATTTGTTGCAGTATACATGTATTTTTAATAAATGTGCTAGGAATCCAAGAAAATAACCCCACAACAGCCGATAGTAAAAGTTATTTGCTTTTTTGAATGGGATAGCACAGAAATAGTGAGTTAAATGTTTTTCAACATCATTCCAAGATACACATGTATATTTTAGTTTTACTAAACTATAGTATCACATCTACATCTAAACAGAGATTTCATTTATTGGAGATGACTGAATATCAATGCAAAAGTATTGATTAAAAGTGATGATTCACACCCTTGTGAGATTGAATAATCACATAATCTATGTCATCTCATAGAAACTAGTTGGAAACACACAACACTGAGTTAAATAGAAAGCTCCAACAGAGGAACCCATGGATATATTTAAACCCATGGATAAATAACAACATGGGCTATGGCAATTATTATAATCCCGAATGCATGGTTGTTTCTGGGGCTGTGTCCAAGACTATATTAATATTAATACCAATATTAACCATATCCAAAGAAAACACGTTGGGAACTAGTTGGGGTTTAGAAAAGCGTTAGGTAAAGAGGGACTCTGATAAATCAGAATGGGTACCTATACCAAAGTTGAATGTTTTCCAACCCACTCCCTAGGCCCCTGTGAAAAATTTAGTTCCATGACATCTCTAATTAGTAATATAAAACTTAGTCCATACACTAGAAGTATTATCCTCATTTTCGAAAATGACTGTCCAAATTTACCTCCACATGAATATTTTGAATGCAAATTATTAAAAACATGCGTGCAGAAACTATGCATTTAAAATCAATAACGGATTGATTTCAAAAAACATGTATAGAAACTATGTGTTCAGAATAAGTAACCAATCAATTTCAAATAAGAAATGTTCTCGGTTCTTCTCCTCAATATCTCAGGAGTGTTTGTTTATGGAAATAATACATTAATGCATGTATAGTGACAGACATTTCCTTTCTGATTAACAGATATCACACTTGAGGTAGCACTTCTATGATTTTCACAATACATGTACATTGTATTACAATGAGAGTGAATAGAGTTAGTGGGCGGAGCTTCATTAGAAACAAAGGTGAAAAGGAGTGCTGGCAGTGGTAAGATGCAGTGCATGTTTTTCATAGTCTACCATTTATAGTCTCCTTCTCCATATCATTTTCATCTTTGTTGGTCTCAAGTCCAGACTTGCCCTGATCGATGGTTCCTAGATTCTGGTTGGCTACTTCAGGACTTTGGTTAGGTACTTCAGGAATTTTAGGATTTGTGTTGGATATTCCTGGGTTTTGATTGGGTACTCCAGGATTTGGTTTGGATACTCCAGGATTTGGATTGGGTACATCTGGATTTGGGTTGGATAATACAGGATTTAGATCAGGTGCTCCGGGATTCTGTTTTAGTACTTCAGGATTTGGGCTTTTATCTTCAGGATTTGTTTTGACTGCATTAGTATTTTCATTTTCAGTCCATTCTTTCTCTACTTGAAATTCATCCCCATTTTGATTTTCATGATCCCATTCTTTCATCCCAAAATCATCATCTTCACCATCTTCCTCTCCTGGTCCAATTCCTTGAATATACTCACCATTTGCATCATCCTCTCCTGGTCCAGTTCCTTGTAGATACTCATCATTTTCATTTGCTTCATCGTCTTCTTCCTCTCCTGGTCCAGTTCCTTGTAGATACTCATCATTTCCATTTACATCATCATCTTCATCATTACGCCAACTCAGATTTCTTTCACCATTATCAGTATCTGGTAAATAATTAAGATCTCTCTAGCATAAGCAAAATATTCAAGGTACTCAACAACAAAATTATCAGATACCTATGAATTGATATATTGAAAAAACATATAACATTATCTAACAACTTTCTTCGAAAAAGATTTAAATCTCATTTTACATACAATAATCATGGATTCCCATGTTTATGCAAAGATATATGTTTCAATACTTTATATTTTATATGATAGGCATTTGATTATGAAAAATAGTGTCAAGTACATTGGCGTATCTAGGGGGAGGGGGTTTCATTGGGTGTGCTGACATCCCCAATTTTTGAGCCAATCCCCAGGGATTTCATTTTTGATGCTGGAGAGAAGAGGACTAAGAGGCAAGAATAACTAATGTGCTTTGGCAAATGAGGTGGAGAAGCTAGGCTTTGAGTGCAAGCTATGATGATGAAGACTGTTTTGGGTTTTTTCTTAGATATTAAAGAACATCATTGGAAAAATCCTAGGCATGTCCTTGGGAATAGGACTTTGTTTAAGGTTTATCACTGAATTCTCCTTTTCGCGGTTCGCTCTTTGAATCAGAATGTTCGCAAATATGCACTGAAAAAGCACTCAAAAAGGACAAAATTTGATTGGTCAATATTTTCCCACTATGCATTTCGCGTAGCTATTTGCGTGACACGAAAGTTCTAAATCAAACTAATTACTCAATTTTGTTTTTACACCCGCACGCTAAATAAAACAATGACACCATCGTAAGTATTCTTCTTTGTCATTGCTTTAATAGTCAGTATACCGAGTTTAATCAATAAAAGATTGTACAATGAACAACAAAATTCGGAAACGAGTACTATAGATTTGCTTTCAGACCACTGAACAGATTGACCTAGATAATAGCGAAGCGTCTTCTTTGGTCTACTGCTCAGTTGTTTGTGGGTTTTCAACGTAACTCTATAATGTAATTTGAAGATGAATACTTTTATTCAGTTGTTGCATCGATGTCGCAGTTTGTAGTGCGGTAAGATTGGCATGAAAGTAAAGTCGAATGGAATTGTTTTTTCCAATACGGCGACTAGTCTACTGATCACGTGACCTTCACTTCCGGAATATTTTCTCACTTTTCAATCATCGTTTTCACCACGCTATGAATTAATACAATGAAAAAAATAGCTGTTATATTAAGATTAATGAGAGATCAATCGTTTCTAATAATTTTTTCTGTACTCTCGTACGGGAATATGAACGAATATATCGTTTGAAAAATAGGTGTGAAAATCCCCATGTTAAACCTATGAGGGAAAATAAAATAAATTCGTTCCTCCACGAACTGCATCATGGGAAATATTTTGCCCTTATAAGGAAAGATTTTCGCGTCTTCTCTTTTGAAGAGGGAACAGCGATTTCGAGAATTTATTCAGCTTATCACAGAAATACCCTATCAGCTGTATAATAAACATTCTGTAAATTTAATAATTAAATAAAAACTATCTAGTTTTTAGACCCTTGTCTCATTCAGTAAGTGCTTCCTTATGTACCAAGTTCTGATAATGAACCCAAATACTACGGAAAGGAACATTTTCAGGTAACAGCCCAATCCCTATGCAATCTTAAACATACATTCAACCACCATATATATATAATTTAATTAATTTGAGATTAAAAAATATTGTCATGACAGCATCAAAAAAATTTCTTCAGTATGATCAGATCTTGAAGTTTCTCAAAGAATCACATTTTTGAATTATTTTGATGAATCCTACATATAATAATAATAGATCTGACAAAATCGCAGCAAATATAATGAAGATAATCATATGTATATATGTTGAAATATAAACAATTAATAATGTTTTTTTTATGTTTTTTCGATTGTGATCTCCATCTTTCAGATTACACAGGGTGAACCAAAAAAGGTAACCCAAACAAATGCTAATAACTGAGTCATTCAGTATACCTTTGAACTCATATTTTGCACAATTAAATTGTTTAATGTTCTTTCATTCTTCCAAGTATTATTGGTCTATTTCCAATGGTTATGATTTTACAAAACATACTCCAAATTCAGTCTCAACTCTAGAGGCAAACTACAAGGTGTACGGTAAAGTTGTTCAATACACGCTCCACACATCTTCGCATGACATCACAGAGTCTCATAAAATCATGAACAGCATTCAGCCAGGAGGGGGTTCGATGGTGTGATCCACCCCCCCCCCATAACCAATGAAAATATGAGCATGATAGGGGAAGAGAAGAGCCTTAAAATGATCTTTATTTGAAGCTTCTAGGTCAATTTTGAAGGAAGTTACATACATTTGTGTAAATTCAAAACAAATCTTACACGTTTTCTAGAATTTTTTTCATGGCCTGAGTTCGTCGCTAACATGCTAAATATAAGAGTTAGCTGACGTTTGGGAGTCTGACTTACCTTCTAAAGGTTAGAACCCGAATCTTAATGAAACCATATCACCTTTGTTCTGTCAACCATGGAGCATTTGCCACAACATCCAAGAGGTAAATCATGGACCGTGAAAATGAATGATTTCCTTGTAAGTTCCGGAAGTTTCAATACGAAAAATTACCGAATGTATGTGAAAACCGAATATTTGTTCGTTGTTTTCATGATTTACAGGTTCGTTTGTTCTTCAATGTTTTGGTCTAAATTATAAAGCATCACCAACAGGTCTTACTCTATTAATCGACCAATACAGCAGACGGCTCATATTTCTACGTAGCATTTCGTTCAGACCAATAGTGGGAGTGTAGATCACGCAGTTACGTTCGTTGCGTACTTCACTTGAAATTGGTAATTTTAAATATTGGCTACTTCACTTAGATTGGCGGATGTAGAACATTGCTTAATATTCTTTTAATTTTCACACCAGACATGCTTGGTTGACACGTCAACAATGTAAAGTTCAAGGGTCAATGCGTTATTTCGTGATAACTACAACGCCTTCCCGGAAGTCAACATTGATGAAAAAGTCGGAAAAGCATTTACACTAATTTCTATCAAATGCTGTGTTTATGCATCATCATCGACGCAACAAAGGTGATATGGTTTCATTAAGATTCGGGTTCTAACCTTTAGAAGGTAAGTCAGACTCCCAAACGTCAGCTAACTCTTATATTTAGCATGTTAGCGACGAACTCGGCCATGAAAACAATTCTAATGATCTAATTATGTTATATATTCGTATTTTTCATTTTTTGGTACCAGGTTTTTTCGACCGGGTACCGGGTACCAAGTTTGTACCCAGCATGGAGGATTTACTACCTGGTAGGGGAAGTCGTCCTATCATCGCACGGGTACTCAGGGAAACTACTGACGATTTCAAATATGATAACTTCGACTTACTTTGAGAATATGAGACGAAAGATCAACATTTCCTCTAAAATCTAAGTAGTGTTTGACATTTCTCAATCTCCGAACGCAAACACTTTAAGACCCCTTAGACTCGCATGTGCGGTGGTCCTAATTATCGCACAGTCGTCCTAATTATCGCACAGTTATGTTTCAGATGTCATTTCACGATACTGTATACATTTCTCTGTTTATAACAGATACATACATATGCTGTAATCATTTTTCTATCAGTTTTAGTGTAAAATATCAACAAAATATACATTATACACTTACTTTTCTGTCTTTATTTGGAGGGGGTCAAAATTTGTCAGACGAATTTCACTTCTTGCGCAAAAGCATTTATGACAATGGCGGAAGTTAACAATTTTTTAAAAAATGAAGAGATATTTCAAAATATATGAATAAATCATGAAGATTGGGAGTAATGGTGTTGAACTGTTTTTCGTAACACTGGTTTAAAAGATGGTGGGTGAATATTTTAGCTATTTAGGACAATCGTGCGATAATTAGGACCGTGCGATAATTAGGACCACTTCCCCTACCCATTTTTTTCTACAAACCCCACATCTTTGGTCTGATGGCATCTGGTTTTTACTTATTCATATATTCATGGGGTTTCATGTGAAAGGTCTGTTGTTTTAGTTCAATTATTTGGAGCTTGCACTGACCACACCCAACTTGAAAGTGAAAGTGTGTTGAAATCCTGGTTAGACTACCTGCGTTGTCAAAAGTGAATGTCTTAATTTTTTCAATGATGCTTCTAGCTTAAAATGAGTCCATAATGAACGGTAGGCTTAAATATTGAACTCTAATAGTTAACGAATACAAAGGGTATTTAGCTTACCTGCTTGTGCCACTGGAGCAGTCCGAATACCGTCAAAAATGCCTATTAAAAGACAGAGTAGGAAATATCGACGTAAATGTTTGGCTGCCATGTTAAAAATGATGTGTCAGGAGCACTCCTTATCTGGTTCCAGCTAAGATTAATTTCAATCAAATTACTGATTTTAGTCATTAATGATTCAAAATTTTGATTATTCTATCAACATTTCAAACATTTTCCTAGTTTCCAAATAACAACTTATTGTAAAACGATTTGTAAAGTTGCGGAATTTATAGCAACAACTGCTCCCAGTGTTGCATTGTGGGAAATTTTTAAAATGGCTGCCGTCTTTAGAAACTTTCGCGTTACAAAATTGTGCACAAATGCCATCCTTGCACGGTCTGTTGTACCTAGAGTGACCTGTGCGGCTTTCCTACACAATAAACGTTGTACCAGAAGCCCACTGGAGCAGAATCATGGTTTAGTGTCATTTATATCCAAGGTAAGAGTTGACCTTCAAAATATTTTTTCTTTTTTCCCACGCCGGCCAAACTGCCTTAGACTAAGATTTTCGACATCTAAAAAGTCACTCGACTTTTTTGCAAAAAACCTTCCAAAAAGTAACAGTCGTATGAATTCACATTGTCGTACTTACAAAATGATCCACCGCCTAACTTATGCACCATCGAACTCGGTAATATTGTACACGAAACTATTAAATTAGTCTACCGTATATTCCCATAGAAAACTGGGCATCTCTATGGAGCTTTTGTTTTTCTGACGTAATTTCTTCTAAGAAATCGATGACGTGATAGGTTCAGTTTATCTTATTTCGAAAGGGGTGTCATATTTAGAATATTTATTTTCATCTTGTCCAGTCCTATATACAACCTGCCCTTATCCTTTTCGCTTGTAAAACTGCGTAGTAATGTTGAAATTATGGAATAGATTCTCTGAGAGTGGCGACATGTCTGCATCTCTACCATCTTGCATTTGAGTCCAAGTAAACCGCACATCCAGGTGATTAGAAAAGGGAAATTTTTTTTAAAAATCGAGTGGCAACAAAGATACTTCTGGTCAAACTGAGTTTATGGCGAAACTTATGAAAGAATCAATAAAAGGTAAGTGGTATACACTGTTGCTCATAAATATGGAATACAGTATTAGATTTGGTAGCTCAGAATTCAAAGTTTGGAGTAAGAGAACATTCATTTGGAGTTGGTTCAGACATTTATTTTCTAGGCAAATTATAACCACATATTTCATCTACAAATCAACATTTTTTAGAGAAAAAATATTCACATTTAAGTTTAGAAAATTACTGTTATTTAAACAGGGGTACGCTAAGAATTTTTGCATTTTCAAAACACCCCGATCCAAATCGTCATGTAAAACAGATCAAACAAAATAAACATCTGGTCATGAAGATTGAAGTGTCCTCTATCCAATGATAGTGCTAATATGCGTCATGTCCTCTTTGTGTTGCAATCAGAGCATCAACCCTACGGGACCAGCATAGAATGAAACATCTGACCTTTTTAAGTGAAATAAGGCCTCATTCCTCAATCTGGGCAGTGCGTAACGTGTCTAAATTTTGAGGTGGGGGTCCAAGTCACGAATATCATTACCAAGGTCATCCCACATTTGCTCTGCATTAGCCTGATTGGCTGACTTTTGTGCCCATGGTAGCTGGTCCACATTGCCTGCCCTGATGTAATCCAACACGATGCCACTAGCATATGCATCAGCATGATCATTCTGCAGTTGAATGTTGACCCAAAACTCTCTGTTTGCATGTGGTACTTGATGGAGGTCCAAAAGGTCAAATTACTCTGAAATTATGTTTGGGAATCACCAAGGGGGTGCAACTTCTGTAGTACTGCTCAAAACAACCTCTGTAATACTGCTCCAAACATAAATAGGGTCACCTTCATTGACTGCCACATCAGTAAGTGTCCTTATTGTCTCTTTCCCCTGGTCTACGACAGAAACGAACACAATTATCAACTTTGTGGAGGACACATCTTATTTCTTCACATGCTGCCATATGACACCAAAGATTAGGTCCAATGTTTTGATGCTTTCCTGCCCATTGAAGGCACCTTTCTTTGTTATGATCAGTCAGCTATGGTCTCTTTAAAGGTCTCATGGCCTTGCATCAGAAATCACTGGTTGTCTATAGCTCTTGAACACAGGTTTTGAGGTGGGGCAGCCATTCACCTCGTAGACTACTGGTTGACTAATAAGCGATTTTGATGATATAAATGCAGTAGGTGGAGGAATTTTTTATATTTTTCTCTCTAGGGCCACTATTGCTGTGAACTGGTGTCACATTCCTGTACCTTTGGTACCACTGCAGAATTTTAGAGACTGTTCCTGACACACCCCTAGGGTCCTGGCAATGGTAGTTTGTTTCATGCCAGAGAGCGCCATCCCTATGACCTGCCATGCTCTTTTTTCGCTTATTCTATGGGGCATGCCTTCTAAAAACTCTTCCAACTCTAAATTAAAATTTTATAAAATGTGCACAATGATTGCAACTAAGATTTGGACACCTCTTTCAAGTTACCAATATCATGAGGTCATGGGGTCACCTGAGTGAATACAAGTTTAATCAACCATAAATGTTTTAACTTTTCAAACCAATCAGTTTTATATGCAAAATAGATGAGGGAATGAGAACACATTACAAATTTTCATCAAAATGTTATCATTTTGTAGAAATTCCATCGAACAGTTTGTATCTATAAAATATTCCATATTTATGAGCAACAGTGTACATTAGACGGATGGCAAAATTAAACGTGGCGCTAATTTGAAACTTCAGAATGCTTTCTGCATGTTCTGTGATTCAAAATCACAAAAGGTCGAGTGACTTTTTAGATGTCGAAAATCTTAGTCTAATTCACGTTACCTTATAAATCAATAGACCAAGGGGTAAAAGCAATATTTTTTATTTCGAGTTATATATTTTTATGCGACCAATGGCCTATCTGAGGTTCAAAAGCAATGTCTGAGGTACATTTTGAGCTAAATCCAATAGATGTCAAACATCTACTTTTTAAAATAATTGATGAATTGTGACAAAACCCCCTCTCTGCAGCCATAAATCGTTATCATGTTATCAATGCAAAAAGATTACAAATGTAACAACATTCCAGCTTATGGGCACGTCATGACCATAATTGTGTTGGGACTTCATTCATTTTTTAAAACTACTTTTTTCAGCGGAAGTGACGTATTAGGCAGTTTGGCCGCTGCAAATCGTCATAATTTAGAATACCAATGGTTCACCACAGTCAGCACCATCTATCTAATTTCAATTATAATAAAATGAAGTCCGGTTACTTAAAAAAACAGAAAATTCTAAGTAATTTTTTTCTCATGCCAGGTACTTTGATCAGTGATATTATATGTTTATTCAACTTTCATATTTTTTTTTAACTTGTCAGGAAAAAAGTTTCAACATTTCTTGGCGACCTATAAATAGACATGAGGTCATGTTCATAAGCGGAGTTTTGGCCCAAAAAGTAAGACATTTGTGCTTCAAGCTCAATATCTACGATTTGCAAGTGATTCTGACCACGTTTTAACTCATTCAATACTGGGGCAAAAAGCACTAAAATACTGAAGAATTTTTGAAAATTCCTATATATGGTACCTTGAGATAATATATAAAATATATACATGGGCATAAATATGTAGTGTTATATATCATTTTAAAGCATATGATATACTCTATCAGAATCAATAAGTTTTTAAGTCCCATTTTATAGGTTGTCATGGTTACAAGATTCCAGAAAAATACATTGGGTTTGTGCTTGGACGTGATATCACGTCATTCGTAGTCAACGTATGTGTTTTATGACGTCATATCACGTCATTCGTAGCGAATGAGTTAAGGTGCAGTGGTACTTAACGGGAAATGACAAAACAGGAAGTGACAAAAAATGTGGCATTTTTAGACATTTTTTGAACGAAGATAACAGAGTTCTGTTTTGACCTCCAGCCAATTCAAATGGTTCCACATATCATTTACAGGACCAGGATCACAATATACAGTAAGAATGACCCTAAACATGATGAAATAACTTTTTCAACCCTCTGAAAATTTGACTGGAAAATAGCTAAAAGTAGGAGCTTAGGAAAGGTCACTGAACAGAATCTTTTGAATTTTCTGAAAATGGGCCCAATATACTGCTCTAAATAATACAATCTGAATAATACAATTGAAAGGCGATCTTTTTTCCCTTTTATGACCGCCTTTTTTGTTTCAGACAATTTTCTAAAATTTCGAAGATTGTTTTGGCTAGAGCAATATATTGGGTACATTTTCTGAAAAATTCAAAAGATTTTGGTAGTATTGTATTGTATATTTATTGCCTCATTTATATGAGAGAATACATTTTAGTATACATATGGTTTACATATAAAATATAAAATACAAGGATAAGATTAAATTATGTGATAAAAAAGTTGTTGTTTTGGAAAACATAAAAATAAAGTGATAGAGAAATTATGTGTCAAGCAGAGCCAACAGGTTGGCTCTGTGATTGTACATTTTGTGTACACATGATGATACAATTATTAACGTCTCACATGAAACATCTGAGAGACCTAAAACTTTCTTCATAATAACACCCATACTGTCACCACGACAGCCAAGGGCTTCAAATATGTTATGCCTATATGGTTCATACATAGGGCATCTTAATATAAAATGTTCAATTGTTTCAGTTTCACAGAGGTTACACAATATACATCGTTTTGAACCATTGAAGTTGTTCGTATTTAATACATGGGCGTTACATATCAATTGCATCATAGTTTTACACTGGCTTTGACATTTAGGATATTTCTGACAAATCAACCACCATATGCAAGGTTTTAAGTCTGTGACATAGTCACGTAGGTATAAAAGTTTGCCATAACATGAGCATTGCAAGAAAAATTGCTTGACCTCGACAGATCTTACAGTGACCTTTCCTGAGGGGCTACATTTAGCTATTATTCAGTCACATTTTCACTGGGCTGAAAAAGTTATTTTATCATAAATAGGTCATTCTGACGATGGACATTGTGATCCTGGTAAATGATATGTGGAACTATTTGAATTGACTGGAGGTCAAAACAGAACTCTGTTATCTTTGTTCAAAAATGTCTAAAAAATGCCACATTTTTATTCACTTCCTGTTTTGTCATTTCCTGTTAAGTACCACTGCACCTTACGTATCAAAATAATGATTAGCGTATTGAGACTCAACAAGTTACTCAATAAGGTGAAATGTATACCAACTCAGTGATTTTGACAAAACAAAAACAGGGCTCCAAACAGAAAGTCAATAGAATAACCACACTTTCAGTCTAATAACTGAATAATGAAGATTGATTGATAGTGCTCACTGTGTGGTTCACGTACTGTCTACCACTAGGAATGTTTTTACAAAGCCACATTATGACAAAATTATGCGTGTTAAGGTCTGACAGTTATAATTTCTGAGGAAATTTGGGAGGAAGCACAATCAGCACCATCTCTATCAAATATTATATGTTTAGACTATTCTACACGGGCTTAGCTGGAGATTCAGGCAAGCACTCCGATGTGTCTTTACTGATATAAATAGTCAAAGGGAGGTATATGTTGATGCTTCCTGAAAGTGGTAGAAAGAGGTTATTTCTAGTAAAAATATATGGAATTGTTTCAATAATCGACATACTAATTCAATTTTACCTTAGTCTAAGGCTTCCATTATATTGCAGCCTTACAATGTAATGAAATAGAAATATATGGTAACATTGAAAATATTTTATTTTTATTAACATTTTTAATTGCAGACACACCAGGTTACTTCAGTAAGACACTACAGTAAACCACCACTTACCATTAGCATGGTCAGAGAAAGAGTAATCCTTGTGTTGAAACTATATGACAAAATAAACCCTGAAAAGGTATGTAGTTTAGCTTTGTAGTTTTGGACAGTATATTTATTTTGGTAATATACAATTCAGAACATTCATGGTTAATTTAATATGAATAACACATTTTCAAATTCACTAAAATTTACTTGTCACTTTTTGTCATTTGAAAAAGTAGATCCATGTTTTCTGACAAAGTTTAATACAAGGCATAACATTTCCTTGTCTTTATTAATTATTAGTAGGCTATAACATCATTTAAATTGATTGCAAGTGCATATTAAAATTTTATTTCATTATTTTTCTTTAGTTTTACATTTAAACTCTTGTTACATCTACAAGTAAAGTACAGATTGAAGTCTTTGAAACGGCTATATGCTGTACTTTTTTAATCATTTTCCAGCTCACAGTTGACTCTCATTTTATCAATGACCTTGGACTGGACAGCTTAGATCATGTTGAAGTTGTTATGCAGATGGAGGATGAATTTGGTGAGTTGCACTTAGCTTTGACAAATTGACACTGTGGCGTAACTAAGATTTATTTTGGTAGCAAGATTGAGCAAACTGGAATTTTGCTTTTTCCATGATTTCAGTAGATGTAGACAGAATCATGACACTTGGCACCTATGTAAACAAGTCAACATGTATATGAAGTACATGTTCTACAAAAACTATTTATCCAGCTTTGTGTTCAATACAACTTACTTAACAACCTGATATTACTTTCATATAAGTGTATAAAGCTTCAAATACCAACTTTACCTCTAAGATTATCTTTTATTTTCAAAGCATGGAAACTAAGATCATCTAAATCTATTTCTATGCATACAGAGTACAGACTAAGAGTAGTGTACGGCCACAGATGCCACAATCATTGATATAATCTCTCACTCTTGTTACATAAATGGATTTTAAAAAGTGGTTAACATCTGTACTTTTAACCGTTTGGTGTATGTTAAAATAGTCAGAAATGGTTTAGATTATTCTGGCATCTCACAAACTATTCATTTGCAAACATTTAGATTTTCTGAATCATTGATGCTGACACACGTTTGTGTCAAAAACATTGTGGAGATTCTACTTCCAAATCGTGAAAAATTGTACCTCCATTTTCAACAGTTTGAAGAGTTCCACCACAGTTTTGAACAAGTATACTAAACTAGATTATGTATTCACATCTCTATGATATTGCAATCAAATGAAATAAAATGTTGTCAAATACATTGAAATGAGTAATACTATAGTCATCGCAGTAATTTCTATACTAGTGAAATCCTAGATTTTTTAAATATTCACTGACATTGCAGGGTTTGAAATCCCAGATGAGGATGCAGAGAGACTTATGAAGCCAGCAGATATTGTACAGTATGTGTGTGACAAAGAAGATGTATATGATGAATGATGCGAAAAGGTAGTTATATAATAGCATGTTAATTCAACATTTATTACAGTCTGAATAAATGGCTAGTAAATAGTTGCTTTTGTCTTTTTCTACTAAAATGCATAAAATATCTTACAGTTTCATTTGAAATTTGTTTGAGTAAATTACTCTCTGAATTTTGACTTAAATGTCTAGTTGTACGCCATTGGAGTTCGTACATGAATTAAAATTCAGGAAATGTTTGATAATTTAGAAAATTAAGTGCCTTTTGTAAGTTATCTTCATACAAACTTCATTTTTTATTCAGTATATTTCAATTCTTTGTGGCCTCAAGCTTTGTAAACTCAGTTTAACCTTATAAGCAGTAATTACACCTACCCAATGTCATTTTTGGTTAAGATTTACAATTACAGGAATGAAACACATCAGAGTCCCAGCTAATTACAAATTTAAAAAATGCCTGGTGATTTAATTGACCAATTTCGTGACAATTATGTTTGTGATTTTACCACAATTAAGAATTGTGTTGAATTAAATCGCACGTCACGCAAAATGACGGAAGTATAGTAACTTAATAACAATCATTCGGCATAATCTAGACAAATTATTATTGCTATACTCATGTGAAAAGGGATAGAAAAATGTGTTTAAAAAACTTTTAATACTTATTAAATGAAAGTGAGATATATTTGAATGCCCATTGATATTAATGTAGTTATTGCATTTTTACACATTTATTCTAAATTAAACTTTATGTTTTCTTCAGCTCAGCTAGGAAATAAATTGTACAGAAAGACATTCACCCACTTAATGACCTAGGGTTAAACAATGATAAATCAAAGAACTTGAATAAAAGGAGTGACTGATGGCGTATCCTTCATATGTACAAAGCTCTGAATTACCAATAGCTTTAGGATGAAGTAATAGAATTGAATAATGATACATGTGACATTCAGGAAAACTGATTTGTTTTAAATTCATCTTTTGGGACCGTGGAAGAAAAACCTTTGAAACTTTAGATAATAATCTTGTTTTAGCACAATTAGCACCATTGGCACTCTAGGACCTATTGGTACTACAGGATTGATTATAGCATACTTTATGTCCTAAAGTGTCATATACCAACTAAGATTTATATGGAATAAATCATCACTTGATTGTCATGTATTTAGGAGTATTTGTTTGCCAAATAAATGTTTGGAATATTACTACAGTCGATTTAGTTATTTGTAAAAAAGTGTGATTCATCATTATTTTATAGATTTTCACAGGTACTATCCAGACCCAAACCGGATTCCATGCTGCTAACAGTATCATTAATGAAACAAGGTGTGCTTGGACATAGATGTCACCCTTGCATTAGCTATGACACTTCAAGTAAGCTCACCCGATGATTGATCTGGATAGTACCCATGGAATTTGATAAATATAGTGGTGCCATGTTGTTAAAGTCTGAACTTTTTTGTGGTTGGTGTTTGGCAAGCAGTGACATTTTACATGTCAATGCATTGAAGCAACTTGAGTTGCTGCTCTACACATAGCTCCCATAAGATAGTTAAAAACTATTCTGCATCATATTGAAAATCCATTTGCACCCCTCTTGATTATTCAGAAATATTCAAAAACTGGGATATAGATGGAGACTGAAACAGGGTTACCCACTTTAATACTTCTGATAATTTTGTAAATATCCATCCAATATTCTCATAATTTTTAATATTCTTCGTCAAGTCTGTTAAGAAAGTGACAGAAATATCAGAATTATACAATCCTCAATGATGATTTACATAGAGGAAGGTCCTGTTTTGGAAAAATTGAAATTACATGTAGTGAACTTTATCATTGAGGAAGATGAAATGCTTCATCCCTCATTTATTATGCCCCTAGTAGAGGTTTAAATAAAAATTCATTTGGTGTTCTTTCAGTCCAACAGGCAGTAAGCTGGGGGACTCAATCAATAACTTCTGGTATTGAAACTTGAAATGTAAAACCTACCATAGAGTTCCATGAAGTCTCATGGGACCTCATTGACTTTAACCATCAAGTCCCAGCTTTCCCTGTTGAAAGTTTAGAAAGCTTCGCCACCACCATTTTGATTCAACAAGTCATACATGTTCATTCTCTAAGTGGGGCTTGGTGGCCCTTCATGGAACTTTGTTCATGGGACTCAATGGGGCTTCATGGGACTCAATGGGGCTTCTCTAGTCATTTTGGACTTATATGATTGAAATAACCAGGAAGTAGTAAATAGTATTGTCTCTTTTTGTCAAAATCTACACACATGATGTGACATGACCCCATAATATCCCATGAACGAAGTTCGTAGGGATATTGGAAACGCCTCTGTTCGTCCATACATCTGTCCGGGTGATAACTCAAATACCCGATTTTGTTCATATTTTGTACTATGGTAATAAAAAATTGCTCAGAAGACAACAAAATCGTCGATTTAATTTCTCACTTAATTTACAGAAACAGTAACTTAGGTGAGGAATTAAATCGACGATTCTGTTGACTTCTGAACTATTTGTTCGCAAATATGTACATTTTCTTAAACATATGATACTGATATACAGGGTGGGCCAAAAAAACGCCACTTTTTTTTCAAGACACTACAACTTTTTTATTTTCCAACCTACATACCTCAAATTTTGCAGTTATATAGTCCTAAGGGTTCTTAGCAATAATATAATGAAACAAGTCATTCAACTTGGATTATATTTGATCTAAAAGGGGAGTTCAATTGGTCCGCCACCCTAATTGATGATATATTTTAGATTTAGTCGCCTTGCTGATATTGCAGTATCAATGAAATGTTAGCTAAGTTTTTTCCAACCTGTCTAAATTCCCAGCTTTAGTTGAGCAATTTTCTAGATTGGGTGCCTTCATACAATCTCCTGGAGACCTTCCCATACCCTATACTCACTAGTCACTGGGGTTTGCATCAGGGCTACTAGCATGGCGATCATCAGGCCGTATCAGTTCAGGAACATTTTGCAAATTATGCTTATTTCTCATGAAAACCACATGTTTAAGTGAGACGCTGGTGACATATTTTATTCAAGTAAAACTGTATAATTTATGATCCATGGCTAGATAACAACCTCAAGTTTCATTTGGTATGCAAATTATGATTTAATATCAAAAATTAAAAAAGTTATAGCATTTTGAAAAAAAGTGGCGTTTTTTTGGCCCACTCTGTACTTTTGTGATAAAAATGTCATGGGAATTCTGCCTACGTGTGAAATAAGGAAAAAAGAAAAATCGTACCTTCGACGTTCCAACATTTTGTTACCGAAACAGTACCAGCGTAATCAAGTGGATCACCAGTGATTAACACAGGTGGGTATCATTGCAAGAACCCCATGTAAATCCTTGTTTGTAAGAATGAAAATATCACAAAGGGAAATAATAGTCACTTCAAACACAGGTCAAATTATGCATCCTCTCGTCTTGCCTCAGAAAAATCACAATACAGTATAACCTGTCTAATGGGAACAGCCCAAAGTGTTTGTATTGGCACACATTCACATTTCAAGGTTTTTTAACTGGGAAGTCTGTGAGATGTTTAAATTAGAGAGGTGTTCGGATATGCTGTTTTATCCTCGGACTAGTATTCATAAATGAAACAACAAATGTGAGATATATTGATAAAATTGTATTTATTCTTCATTGGATACAGAACCATAAATAAACCAATCTGAATCGATACAAACTGTATACAGTTAATAAATGCAAAAATTCTGGTACATGTATCCTGTTCATTTCCAAAAGAAATAACATTTCAATAATTTGATTATAATTCAATGCATTCAACAAATATCTTTTAACAAAATATTGAACATATATACATAATGTAAAACAGTTTTTGTAAATAATTTGAATAAGTAATATTATAAACCTCTGGACGGATTATGGATTTCAGTTGGAATGCTATAATAGAATGTATTTTATTGTCTTGTAAAATAAATTGAGCATTATTTATTACCTAAGTCATTTTGAGAAGATGACTAATTCTTAATATTTTTGTGCAACACCATTGTACATCTCATTGTACAATTTTTAAAATATCCCATTTATGAATTCTTCAAAATGTGATTTTTATGCTAAGGCCAATTATTGAATAGTGGATGTAGTGTTGTGTCCATATTATTTCCTATTGAGTCTTAAAATGTTGCAACAAGAGTTGCTGTCTATACTTGAAGCAGCAATGCCACACCACCGAGTGTCCACCTAGCAGGCTTTTCCCTGGTCTTCAGGTTAAAGGTCCATACAAATGTAGGTCCTCTCTGTTTGGTTTTATACACAGGGCATTCATACATGTTTCTATTGTCCTGGCGATCTACTGGGATAGCCTTGATGAAAATCACTGGCATTGGGGGTGCAAGTTCCTTCAGTCTTGCCTCCCCGATCATATTGATCTGTGGATCCCAACGGGCACCCTCCATAAATAGTCCATGTACATATGCCCCCTCTCTTGGTGGTCCACCCATGTCTTCTTTAGTCTTCTTAGTGACATCACACGACAGGCACATTTTATCGAGTGGCCATTCATTTTTACGAGCCATCTGTTGCATAATTGCCGTCAAGAATGACTGAGGGTTGAAAAATCCTGCTAGCCACACAGCTGCTGGGAGTTGGAAGTCGGATGTCCAAGACTCAAGCTGCTTTACTCTCTGGAGGAGATCTCCATACCACAAGCCCAGGGGATAGAGAGAGGGATAGGCACGTTTGGCCCATGACTCAGGGACTCTATCCAGGAAAAGGGCATTACCAAGGTCTTCCATGTCACTAGTGATCGTAAGCTCACCCTGGAAGTAAAATGATAGTCTTATTTAATTATAGTTAAAAGTATATGTGTAAGTAATGTTTTGAAGTATTTCATAATACATCAAAATCTTTGTTACAATTACCATTGTTATGATTTGATTTAAAAAGTTAGAGAATTATACTAGATGAGCAAGAAGGAAAAAGGAAACAAATGGATGTTGATTTTGAAAATAGATCATTCTTGAAACTTAAAATCAAATTATGCTTTTTTGATATTACAATTATATTCATACCTTGAGTCCGAGATCCAACTCCTTCAGGGATCGTCTCATCTCATTGGTCAATCCATTCATCCTCTCGCACTCTTGGAAAGCAACCACAACGTAAGGAGTCCTCTCTTCCAGGGGAACCTTGCCCATAATATCCAGCATGTTGAACTCATCAGGCATCTTTTCAACAATGTCATCCAAAATTGCCTTGATCTAAAATATATCAAATATTATATATATAGCAGAAAATTAAATATGCAAGACAATGAAAAAAGTACCTCAGGGGAACTAATTATATTTCTACAAAATGTTAACCATGCAAAGTTTCACCTACATATCTGTCCTAATGAGTCCTTTACTTATTTACACGGTATTTCATATTGTAATATTATATTTTAATTTTACTAATTTTCTCTAAGTTCTTTTCGTTTTTGTTCAATGAATTTTAAAAAATTAAGTGCCATTGTTATAAATAAAACATACCAAGTGGTTCAAAAGTAATAACAGTTTACAGATAGAAGCCCTACTTTTCGGCCAACCTGTATATTAAATAAATATCCAAGAATAACTGATAACAATACCTTTTCTTCCCTACTGGCACCACCGCCACCAGACGCTGCTGCATCTCTAGGCTGCATCTCAAGTACAGTCTTGAACAGGAGATCAGACTTAGTTGTCAAGAACTCAATCTCAGCATTTGGATGGAGACCATACAGGTATGGACTCTCAGGAGGTATACACTCATCTATGTAATTATGGTAAGCCTTGTAGTCTGAGTTGGGAGGGATTGGGAAGCCAGGGGCGAGGTAGAGTTCACCATCTAACATGTCAGGGTGCATGTATTCCTCTAGGTACGTCCTACATAGTCTTCTGTCCCAATCGTCAGTAATGTGACCACCGTACATAATCTCCCCAAACAGGTATCTCAGATCCTCCCATGGTACCTAAAAGACATATATATATCACAATAATTTTATGTCTGAAATATAGTCTTTAATCTATAGCTGCTCGCTAATTTCAGTTTATGTACAAAAGCAGAATAGTTGCTGAGGTGTTCATGTTTTGTTCAAGTGTTTTATCGAGAAATGCTATTAGATTTGGGAGAACCGAACCCTTTTTAGAAACTGGTGCTGAGTCTGAATTTAATTTGAGGCAAATTAAAAGTATTTTGGAAAATATACTTCTGAAAATATAATTCTGATTTACAATAAACAGGAAGTTTTCTTCAACTGGAACTGTCTATACTGGAACTGTCTAAATGACTGTATGGGAGTTTTAGTGAGACGACATCAGAATTGTGAATGTGATGTATGTGAGGTGATCAAACTTGTACCATGAATGAACATTGAAAAATGATTAAGGTAGGCAGAATAGAAGAGTAATCTGGTAAATTAACTTGAACAAACAGATCTAAGTCATTCTACTGGGCCAACCTTAGCTGAGGCTTGATAAAGGAGATCCTACTAGGGCATATCAGGAAGGGAAACTGGGTGCATCAAAAGGATTTCGGAAATCAGAATTTATAATATACATGTTGAGGAAGGGACACACAACTACCCTGAATATACAATTACTTCTTCAACTCCAAACTGTGCCTGTCCCTAACACAACAGAAAACAATGTATGGTCATTGAACAAAGGTTGGAAAATCATTGCAGAAAGGTTGAAAGAGCATAGTACAAAGGTTGAAAGATCATTTCTGTCCTACTGGAGGCTAAAACATAAGTGAATTGAGTAAAATGTCATAATTTTCAACAAATCATGTGCATCACAGATTCAACAATTGAATTGGGAAGTATGAACTGTATATGTAGTATATGTATATGAAACATGAGTACCCAACTCTAGATATAAACACCTTTTACAAAGCAAAGACCATGATTTTTATGACACAAAATTTTTCTTTAAATAGAATGATGTTTACCTTAGCGTTGGCCTCAAGGTAGTTATAGAGCACATTGCAGCTTATAGTAAGATCTCCAGTGTTGTATGGGTAGACCCTGTTCCAGCCCTGTGGTCCGAACTTCCTGCGCTCACACACAACAGCATGGAAGTAACACAGTGCGAACAAAATACTCTTGAACTCAGCCTCACGAGCACACATCTCTAGAGTGTCCTAGAATATAGCAAACAGGAATAAGCATATGTATGAGCCTTTTAGAAGGGTCAAATTGAGTGCTGTAAAATAATGGATTGAGTACATTTTGTGGGGTTGGGGCACTGATCATAATCAAATATTATCTAATATGGGACACATTTTTGCTAATGTAGGATATCTGCAATTGTAACATTTGAACATTATGTGTAACAAAGATTAATTTTCAGTAGTTACCTGATTGAAGTTATCAAAAGCTTTGTGTAAGTTGGCCTGCATGCCTGTAGGGGGCTCATTGGTGATCTTAATGGCTGACTCTAGGATACCCTGAGGGATAATATGGTACTCTGCAGAAGCAGCAGGCTCTGCACTAATGTACACACGATAGTCAGGGTGACTCTCCTGGCTGTATTCCTCAATCTTCTTCTCCAATGTACCAAGCCATTTTGCCACAAGATGAACATTCTACAAATCAAATAGATACATATACAGTAGTTGGCCATCTAAAATTGGTGGGTGATGAATTTAAATGACTGTGACAAGCTACACATGGAGAATTCAAGATCAATATCTGGTAGTCTTTTACAGAATATAAATATGGTGACATCCCATCTACAGTATAACTCTGGACTGCTATTTTCCACAGTAAGCTTTTACCCTTTTATATTTTATGTTCTTAAAATGTTGACTATCTATATGCAGATATGTATACAAGCAATCAAACCATTAAACACAAGACATATTTTGTATTCCACATTCAATAGGTAAATCTGTTCAAATGACAAAGTTTAGATAGTATACCAACCTGTAGAATGACCCAGTGTCCCTCCTTTGCTCCAAGATCCATGGCCTGCTCAGCTACAATCTCCTGTCCTTGTCCCAGGGAAATATTATGGAAGTTGTTATTATCAAACGAGAAGCCCATCTGCTTGCCAAGGGCCTCCACATCCTTTAAGGGGTCCACTCCGGGAGACAGGATGAAGAATATAGGGGTCGCTGGACCAGATTCTGAGTATGATTTAGCGAATTCAACACTACGACCTTCTGTGTATTTCGTGCCCATTTTCTCTTCAACGAAGTTAGTGACAGCGTATGACATACGATCAGGTCGCAATGCACGCATCATACAGAGTTTCTGCAGACTAGTTTTATTCTTCCATTCTTGGGGGAATTTTTCTTTTTCTGGACATTCACTTTCTACAAACTTCTTCCAGCGTTTCGCTGATCCCTCAATATCCCTATCTAAGTTTCTGTATTCTTCTATTGCAGATAGAGCTTTAATGCCTCCCCAACCTGGATTACTGAGGAAATCAACAGGACTTGTGACATTCACGTGGATAGGGAAACGTAACAGAAAGTCGAGCTCTGATGGTACAATGTCTTTGTTCATTAGCATAATGAGGAAGCACATCTGTGATGTGAAGATGAGTTTGTCTTTCTCAAACAAACCTCGAGAGGTGTAGATGAACACAGAGAATGTTATGCAGTCAATGAGATTCAAAACTCTAGTTTTTGTATCTTCAGCCTCGACAGAATTCTCAATGGCCTTTTCAAAAACAACACTGAATGCAACAAGAGAGAACTGGTACATAGGACTGATTTTGTTGAGATCATTCAGGATGAAGTACAAGAGAGAGCCTCTAGCACCTGCTGGACGGTACTCCTCCCGAGCTTCATTGATCTTAACTTCTGTGATCTTGGCCTCTTCTACCTTAACCTCAATCTCTTGGGCTGTTCTCTTAGTTGTCTCAAGGTTTTCAACGAGGGCAGTGTCTCCAAGGAAGTTGCCTCCAGCTGCAGACAATCTTGCCAACAAGTTATCCTCAAGTTCTTTGAGAGTAATCTTAAACTGGTTCTGTTGTCTAGTCAATTCAGATTTTAGTTTCTCTAAATCAGGTCTTTCTTTGTTGACTACAGCAGCCAAAAGCTGGTCTTCTAAACCATCCCTTGTCACAGTGAAGTTGATAAGAGTAGCTTGGGCTTGCATCTCAGGTTTGTAATGAGGATTGGCTAACTTTGTTTGCAAAATAAGACGGAACTTTGGATTGTATTCTACATCTTTGTCACCCATCTTGATGGCTCTGCCTTTCTTTATGGTGTTCCTTCCAAGTAAAGGATCAAGGACAGGGTCCATTTCCTCCTCAATATTCTCAATAAGGACAGTATCTCCTGAACTGACAGCATTTTCAATAGTGTCCAAATAGCCTCTCTGTCCTAGACGTACCACTCTTAGGTTGTCTGCATACCTTGTCTTGATCCATTTGATACCCTGCAACTGGGGATCAATCATCAATGGCCATCGCTCACAGTTTGTTAAGATGGTTGCATTTTCTATTGACATTCGATCACTAGGGAGTCCCTCATTGTTCCAGGATGCAATATCAGCTGCATCAGTTAACATGCTCAGTGGATCGAGTCCCTCAGTGATTGGGATATTACCAAGTTCCTTCAAGTATGGCAACCATTTTTCATCCATTAATTCCATACGATATTGTTTGGTGAAGCAACCAACATATGACACAAACGCCGTTGTCAGCAATACATCACCTGGCAACATATCTTCTTGTTTCTTGAAGCCTTCTACTGACTCTGCCCAACGTACATTTTCAGAAGCCAGTCCACCTACAAGTCTGTTAGCCAAAGAGATTGTTTGATTGGTTGCATCAGCTTCCTGTTGACACCTCAGCTTCTCATTAGTTGCTTTTTCAAACTCAGCCGTCAGTTTACCCAAAGCTTCCATGAGGGATGTAATTTTAGCCTGGATGACTGCTAGCTTGTCTTGGGCAGCTTTAAGGTCAGAATTAGCCTGTTCCAGAGCCAGACGTTTAGGTTCTACCTCACAATACACTTCGTAGAACTTACAGATGTTGATAACCCAAGCACAGAGACCAGCAGCAGCATTGGATTTAGCTCGGATGAATTCTGGCTCAAATTCGGGGTCTGCCAAATAGGGCTTGATGGCTTTTAGACAGTTATCATGGATATTCTCCTTGTCGTAGTTGATGAGGTTCTCAAGGAAGAGATCCACCTAAAGAAAGAGATATAAACCTTAGACTAATATGATTCAATTTACTAAATTCTACACATCATCAATTTCCTTCAGTACATGGAGAGTAAACGGCTGAACTAAAAAATGAAAAAGTGCAAAAACAATTATATAAGCGACACATTTTACCAAGAAATCACACCTATAAAACATCCGTTATCAAGAATGAATAGTCTAGCATGGGTATTTTACATTATACATCTTAAGCTGTTTAAAAACGGGTCTTAAAATGCATTAATAAAAAAGCAAAATATGAATCGACATTTTTTATTAATTTAACTATGCAGCTGACCCTCACCTTGCCCATAGCTACTTTAGCTGCTTTCCAGCTCCTATCTTTGGGGATTTTGCCTCCTGGTGCCATGAGAACCATGACAGCTGCTGTTACATTGACAACAGCAGCTGGGGGTGATCCAAATGACTTCAACTCTGTCAAGTTACCCTGTTAAATAACAAATGAGACGAAATGAGTATGAAAACAAGATTACGACAATATAACACATTTTCAATAAAAATATATGGGCTAAAACGAAATATAGTGTACATAGATCCCTCTCAAGAACTTAACTCATTAACTTAAAAAAAAGATGTAGATAATATTTAAGGTCAAAATGTTCATTTGGTCGCTAATTTACCTTATTCAGCGTATCCAAAGCAGCCTGAGCGGCAATCAAAGCTGGTTCAGCTTTTGCAAGATCTCTCTCACAATCAGCGGCCTTCTTTGTAACCTCTTCATTAATCTTGTTAACTTTCTCCTCTTCAGCATCAGCAATAGCCTTCTCCTTAGAGACCTTTTCTGTCTCAGCACCAACAACTTCAATCAGTTCATTGGCATCTTGATTCTTTTGGGCTAGTTCCACTTCCTGAGCAGCCAGCTTGGATTTTAGATCATCCACCTGGAAGGCACAAAATAACATGTTTAGACAACTGGATTTCATAGATTTACAGAAGAATAATCAAGTTGAAAGGAAACGACCTACTCTGAAAAATTTGGAACCTTAAATATAAGTTTTAGGCAATGAATGCACATTGACCTGATTGCTTTACAACCTTTTTTAGCATTAAAGGGACTTGGTGCCATTTTTCTGATCCTAAAATACACCAAACTGCAAAAATCAGGAACTTCAATAAAGAGACTTTAAGAGATACAATACATGCAAAATTTCCACGAGTTAGACGGCTTACTCTGGTGAGAAATGTATTTTCAAGCCACAGTATTTTCAGTTTCAATTCTTTGTCTCAAAGTCTATTGAATGTGGAAATTCCAGATCCAGATTGTTTTAAAAATCGGAGGTATTTTTTGAGATTTTTAACTTACCTGACCAGCTGTGTTCCTAAGTTTCTCAAGACCATTCTCTAAACGCATTTTCATCCCTTGTAGTTCCGTTGACTTTGTCTTCATCAGGTTCTGATAGAAATTAATCTGCTCCAGGAAACTCTTGGGTGTCGTGTAGTTGTAACGTCGTTCATTGGCCAGATATTTGGAACTGATCTCATTTACAGATGTATGCACGTATGATAAGAATTTAGCTATAGAGTCCTTCATATTTTCAGGCAGGAGCTCATTTTCACCCAAGAATCTCTCTGATACGGATATCAGGGCCTGTTGGGGCCATTCGTGGAACCAGTCGATACTTGTACAGTTTGTAATAGCGGGGAATTTACGACCTCTCACTCTAAGGGTGTTTCCTACAGGGGAGAAGCACAGGACCACCTTCAGCAATCGACGCACCCGATCAATGAAAAATCTCCAACAGTTTTCTCTTGAATCCTCCATACCCTGGCTCTTTACTTCATTTCTGACGGCCCCAATAATATTCTCAATTTCATCATCTGCGAACAGATTTGGAATTTCACCTGATGCTAGTAAATCATTAACCAATACGAGGAACTTCTCATCAGCCACTTGGGCATCTGTCATAAGGAAAACAATGCCAATATTCTTGACACCAGCTTTCATGTACAATGCTCCAAGGTCAATCTTCAGATCAGGGATAGCATATCCCTTACGTAGAGTAATCTGGAACACCTCTAAACTGCTTATATAGGCAGCCAAACGAGATAAACTCTGTTTTCCACTACCACCGACACCCACGAGTAAAGCATTACCACGAGGGGACTCCAGAATACGATTGATTCTCAAAATGTGTTGGATGGCATCTTCAAAGAGCACGAGATTCATGGCAGCATTCAGCTCGTTGTAGCTGTCCAAGGCATCAGTGAGGATCTTTGTGATGGATGGCCAGCCCTCAACAGGCATGTATTTGGGATCACCAATACCACTACTGAAGTGGCAGTAGAGGTTTGGCTTTTCAAACAATTGCTCTTCGGGTAGGTCCTACAAAATGTAACAATTTCAGTTTAAAGTAATTTCAACGAGAAACCTGCTTGAAAAATGCCTGAATTCTGACCTCATATTTTCCATTTGTTCTTTTACTCTTAACTAATTTTGAAATAAGTTTTGATAATCTTTTCAATTTTTGATTAAAATTGATTAACTTTTCACTATTCCGGATACGTCATTCTATTATTTGTCTGTAAGTTTCTTACCTCAAAGTTCTTCTTTACGATATCTTTCTGCATTTTATTAAATGTCTCAATATCTTGCTCATCAGTTAGCTTGTCACAGTAGACACGGTCCGTTTCATGCATAAGTAGTCTGACCAGGTCAACGTTGGTCTTTAAACAATCTGGTGTGGAATAAAGCAGACCCTAAAACCAAATAATAGGAACATGAAGCTACAGAAGAAATCATAGATACATGTAGTCTTAATACCAATAAGTTAAAATTTCATGAAATGTTTCTTGCCTCAACCTCTCACAACTATTGTGTATTCTTGTATGGAAGCTGAGGTTGAAGAAATAAAAAACTGTAAAAACACAGTAGTAATGATGACTTCTATTTTTGGAGTAACTGCATTAGCTTGTTAATTATGAAATTTATATTGAATTAATAAGTTGTATAATTATAATGATAAATTGATATTGACCAAGAAAAATATGATATTGACCGAAGGAGCATAACTACTGCTGTTACTCACTTGGAAAACATTAGAGAGATCTCTAAGATTGAAGACGTAGTGGAACTTGATGGCTGTGGGTAGGAAGGTACTGTTGATCTTTGTGTGAAGTGCAAGAGCCCCTGCAGCTAGGGATGGTGCAAACTTGACCAATGCCCCTGGGAATGAGTTAAACTGTAGATGCTGTGACAAGATTGTACTGTAAATGGTATTCAGGGCATCTAATCCTGGGAAACTGACGGCAAACACGGAGAAATGCCTCTGCAGACGTGGATTGATAGTGAAACTACCAGCAGTGGGGTTCATGCACGCAACGTACTGGGTGTTATGGATTTCTTTCAATGTGAGCTTGGTACGGTCATACCAATGGCTGTAGTCAATGTGCTGTCTAATCAGTGTGTGGGGCTGCACTGTGAAATAGGTATCCACCTAAAAGGAGATAAACAATTCATGAAATTTCAATCATGACTTTGAATAAATGCCTCTCTAATTTATATTATCAGCGAATTTCAAACAAATCTTGTTTTTGTTCTTTTTATGGCACTTCAGGAATCAGGCCAGCTATTGTTAAATTTTTTATATAAATCGTAACATACATGTAGAAGTGCAATCTAAGACATTGAACTCTTGGTTACCTCAGGCATGTTCATATCATCAATGAAGTAGATGAGACGTCTACTACCAGGTGGCCCATAATTTCTTCCAGCTTTCTTCTCCAGTGGTTTTTCCAGAATATTCTGTAACATCTCAGATGTTGTATAGAAGTTGAATGGTACATTAGCAACCATCCAGTCATCAGAGAGATTCAGCAGTTTTTCTTGGATTGACACAGTTTTACCAGTACCTGGAAAAGTAGTGAATATATCAGCTCATTATTTGATTTTTGTGTGAATTTTCTGATTGAACTGACTACTACATGTTATCGAAGCTCATGAGTTCAAGTAGTACTGAGGTAGACTGACCTTCACATAAGCCACTGAAAATATCAACTTGTCAAAACTATGTGACTTATATCTCAAGCTAAAATAGTACAAACCTGCATTTCCGACCAACATGACAGGTCTCTTCTTCTGTACCAAAAGATCCATGAAGTAGCGCACCCTAGTGGTCTCAGCTGTAGGTACAAGAGCAGCCTGTAGGGGCAAATCTGGGTCTAGCTCAAATGATGGCACCTTCTTGGTCCATGGCTCAAACTTCTTGGTTTCTGGGTCAATGAAGTAGTCGAACACTGTTCCAGTGCTGGGGAACTTAACTGTCTTGAATTCTGTAATCCACCACTTGGTGAATTCTACACGATAGTCGACCAACTGGAAGAAGGTGTTCAGTGTTAGTTGTGTGATTACAAGTTCATATGATCATACAGTGGGTAAATGCAAAATGGAATGGTTTTAAATTTACTTTCTTCAAATGTAACCAATGTCAACTCAATTATTTTGCTCATTTTAACTTAATCCAAATTCAATTCAAATCACTTCAACTTTAACCTATATTTGTTTCTCTCCAATGCTTATCAGTTGAGCATATATTTTAACTCTGACTCTGAGGCTTAAGCCCAATGGCCAATTCATATCCAACCCAACTCACCTGATCCTGGAACATGCAGCCTCCAAAGGCCCAGACGAGACAGAACACAAAGTAAAGCTCATAAAGTTCCTTTGAGCAATCAGCAGGTGTGTTCTCTGGGACTAGAGTCACTTCAAGCAGGTAGCACAACATCTGCATGTGGCTGACCTCTGCTATTGGGGTGATCTTCTTGAAACGTGTACGCATAGTCTCCAAACAGGTAGGAATATATTTGTCAAAGAGGATCGTCAAGTTGGCCTTCTCTGATTGGACCTCTCTTGTCTCAATCCAACTGTTGACAAACCTGGAGTAAACAATTAAAAATATGTAATAATATTTCTTTCCATCATATTTACATGTCGTGCATTGTATTACACTGTACATTAATATTCATGTTAAATATGCATTCACTAAATCCACTTCTAAATGTAAACGAGCTGGATCAAATTTTTTGAACATTAGTTTTCAATTATCACACACGCAATCCCTAAGTGTTTTCAAAATCTGATATTCATCCACCTATACCTTGGAATTTCATGAAAAGATGATTCGTTGATATTTCACCCTCCCCCTTTAAACACTAAAAACCATGTCCTGTAGTTAAATAGTTTCACTTACGGATTCCACCCAAGATCAGCAGGATTGATGAACAATATACCAGCCCTAGAGACAGTGGCAGGAGTGGCTGTCTTCAGATGGCTGATTTCAAACAAAAGTCTCATGCTAGGTGTTAGGGGGATTCTTTCGTTACTGGCCAGAGTCAACACTTTGTTGTCATCCATGACAGTATTGAGGGATTCAATCCACATAGGATCTATGTCACCATCAAGTACAATCCACTTAGGTCCATCACCGCTGAGGTTAGCAAGATCTCGCATAATCACAGAGAAAAGACCTGCAGTCAAAATTTGCATTTTATTCACAGGAAAACAATCAGCTGTACATAATGTAAAATCCATGGACGATAAAAAAAATATGAATCAAGATTTTTTTCAAAATTCTTTGTACAAGCAATCTCATGAGGAATAATTATTAATGGAAATGATTAGTTTTTGCCAAAAAGCTTGGAAACAAAAAGATGGCATATGAACAGTTGCATTAATGAAGCCCTTTGATCAAGAAATAAGTTTTGTACCATCTTTCCATTCTCTTGTTGCTGGATTGATGATTCCAAACAGCTCATCATTGGTGACAGCCTTTGGATTAAGGTCCTGAGCAATGGGTTTCTTCTTCATGTTGGTGTATGTCTTGTGCAGTGTCTTCCACACCATGGACTTGCCTGTACCAGCATTGCCAATGATGAACACAGAGTGACGCACAGCAAACAGCTCTTCTAATTGTACAATCTGAAAATAACATTGTTATGAATTACAAAAAATTCAAAAATAATCAATAAAGAAAAACTAAGAAATATTTTGAATTTTTTCATGATATGGAAAAAACTTCAATATACTGTGTAAATGATATATAGATTATCTGATAGCATACCTTGAGAATGAAGCCATCTTCAGGTTGGAGCTGCAGGTCCATTGTAGCCTGTTTGATTTGTTTTTCCATGTCCAGATCACGTTTACGAGGCACATCAAGGGCAGGGAAAAGATCACCGATGAGACCCATGAAGATAGGCATATCATCTGTAACAATCTTTGGAACGTTGAAATCACGGAGAGCTCTCATGAGTACTTGATCCTCAGCACGGTCAGGGTCGCTACGTTTCAAGGCACCAGCCACTACGAGTACAGATTTAATGGCTCTCAGCCCCCAATCGTAATGGTCCTGCTTGGATAACAACTCTTTACATAGTGTATACAGGGTGATGAACTTCCTAGCCAAGAGTCTAGCTTCTATGAAGCCCTCAGCTACCAACATGATTTCGCAAATCAGTTCAAAATCGGGTACCACCATAGCACATGGTCGGAACAGTGCCTTCAAGTTTTCGGGAAGCTCTGTCCTCCCAGCATACCCAGGGTTCATTGTGATGAAGATCCCGACAGTTGGTGTCAGGGATATCTCCTCTCCTAGGAAGTTGAATCGTTGTTTCTTGTCCTTGATGGCATCTTGGATTGACTTCACTTGGACAGCGACGACAGAGAGCACCTCAACGGAGATTCTATTAAACTCATCAAAACAACCCCATGCACCAGATTGAGCCAGGCCTTTGTAAATGTTACCTAAAAAAACACAACATTGCAGTCATTATTCACAAAAATCAGATAAGACTTCAGTCCATTTTTGGAACCATAGAACCGCACACTTTGGTTGTAATTATTGTACATCTCCAAAATATATGGTTTCTTGAATCAGAATATCAATTCAAACCAAAAATAGTTTTCAATTTCAAATTAGACATTTTTAATATTTGATAGTAATTTTCAACAGACTAAATAATAACCTGGAACCAATTTCTCAAAAACATTGTCAATCACCATTCGTGATTTCTGTTTTCTATAATATACTCCACGATTTTCTAAATTGCATTTTTTGAAGTACCTCATCAATTGTAACAATAACAATGAATGCTTACCAATAGACTTGTAGTCCATCTGTTCAGAGCAGTTGAACACATACACCATGATACCCAGAGCACGTCCAAGATCTTTGGTTGTTTCTGTTTTGCCTGTTCCAGCAGGTCCAGCAGGTGCACCACTCATTACAAGATGGAGAGACTGTGTCAGTGTGATATAGCATCTGAAAATTAATACACATAATAAAAAATAAACAAAGCACTGACATCATGACATGACAAATTGTCCCCACTGGAAAAAGTGTAATTCTATTACAGACAGCAATGTTATAATCAAGCAGCAGCAACTCTTTGGTGGTGACATAATTTGTAATTTAAAAACAAGTCAAGAATCTTTAGTGTCAGATAAAGGATTGCATTATAAGAAACACAGCTTCAGAGTGATGATTTCTTGTAAAGATAAAATTATAAAAGCATGTAGATCAAAGGTGCACACGAAAACAGAATTAACTAGGTTAATTAAGTGTTGGTATTCTACATATAATATACCGGTATGTCATTCTGCCAAGCAATATTATTTGACAAGATATATTTTTAAATAAGTACTACAGAATTTTCAAACGATTTCCCTCACCTGTCAGTCAATGGTGTAATCACAAGACGTGGGGTATTTCCCAAGTACTCATGGGAGTAACGGAACTCAGCATCACAGATATTAGCAAAGCAATCCTTCTTGGTTTCACACCAACGATGACGTAACTGTGAGAGCCACATGAAAGCTTGGGAATTGTCGACCTTCTGTGCAATCATTTTTGTGATGACATCACGAGCATGGACATCAATGGTACAGATTGTCATAATCTTTTGACGGTCACCACTACTGAGCTTTCCCACCAACATGTTGATCAGGGCATTCAGTTGAGCAATCTGTAAAACACATACATGTAGATTAAACATTTTGAGATTAAGATTTTTTGACAAGTTCTTAACCAAATATTGCAAATATGGATGGCGTCCTCTAACATGTACATGTAATTCCATATTATTTTACAATAAGAAATAGTAAACATGTATCAACTGCTAACTTTGTGTGATACAGATATTGCCTAACATGAGCTATCACCGTATTCAAGCTTCATGTTTAAAAATCAAGATAACTTATAATACACACATGCCTCGAATGATCAGTGAACTTATTAAATAAAACAAAAAACAACATGTTGGTATCTGGTAAACTAACCTGTTTTTTGCTGTAATCCTTCAATGCATTCTCATAGCCTTCCTCTAGTCTCCCAAAGGCAATGTTCACCTCTGTAGTCCACCAAATCTGTGTTCCGCAAAGGGCAACCTGAGCAGGGAAGTCAAACAACCACTGATCACGAGGCTTCTCCTCATAAGTTACAACAGCTTCATTCATCTCATGACAGATGGTCTCCTTTTGGATATCCAGGATCCTGTTAAGCCATACTTCAACTTGGCCATTGCAGTCGCATTCATGAGGGAAGTCCACATATTCTCCATCCTTACTGTACATACCTAGAGCGGTCTTTGTGTTCTCATTGTTATCATCCTGTACAAACTTCAAATCAGCCATACTATCAAACAGCTTTGTGAGATGTTTAGCTACAATGGTAGGATCATTACCATTAGAGAGGATATCCAGCAAATCAGCTGATGACACAAAGTAGAATCTGGGGAATGCAAGACGTTTGGTCTCAAGATACTCAGCCAGGGCCTTCTCACAGAGGGCTAGATCTCCCTGAAGGGCTTCCAATCTCTCATAGAGGTTTGGTTTCCCAGTTGCCTCAACAATATTCAAAGTGCCTTCAACATCAGCCACCAGCTCTTTGAAGTCGGTATCAAGACTATCGAAACGCTTGGAGTCCTCGGGGAGTTGGTTACGGATATCCTCAGAGCCAATGAAGATACTCTCCAAATGGGACCAAGTACGCTGAACCTCAAACCATATGGTGATGACAGAGTCAGCTGTAGAGAGTTTCTTCTGCCATGTGGATACTTCTTCAAGGAAGTGAGCAATATATTTGGAAGTCAACATGTTTTGGAGTTGCACCTAAAAACAACAAAATGACCATTTTGAAGAACAGGTATAATCACATTATTTTAAGACCAAAAATCGCTTCATCTAATTATTTTATTTTTTGGACTCTCAAGTACTGTATGAAGAACATAACATGAAATGACCCCAGAATTAACTCTGATTAATGTGGTCTGCAGTACATAAGGAACACTATTTATTAAAAAGGTTAATCTTTCGATGTGAATGCATTACCTGGTTATCTTCTAGTGTCTCTATGGCCTCTTCACTTGCACGCAGCATTGTGATCTGTGTACGTGGATGCTTATCATGTTCAAACTCCATTGTGGACCATGTAACATCAAGTTCCTTAAGGACCTTCTCCATGGACATTTCTTTAACTGCCTTATCCACAATGTCATGCACCGTGTCTTCATACTCGTGCAAGTTCAGTGACATAAGATCTTTCAATGTTGTGCTCTCATCCATAGTGAATTTCACCTGTGAAATAGAGCATGTTACATGTGATTTCATTTTAAACTCTAAACTAGCTAAAAGTTTTTCATGACATAGAATCGATTCCATTTTAAGGTAATATATTCAGATATCTTTCATTACTTTGATTTTGTTTGTACATAATTAAATGAGCCAAAAGTGCAGCTAGAGCTTAAAATATTATTAAACTGTTTATGGAATAAATTGTGTATGTTGATAATTCAAGGCATATCTACTTACCCCTGTGGCCTGCATAAGCTGCATCCAATGTCTATCTCTAATGGCAGGGTTCTGTAGTTCACTGACAGCTCTCAAAGATGTCAACATATTCTTCACTTGGTTCTCTACCCCTGAGTAGGAGTCCCATGCCCTCATCTCCTTATCCAGACTCCTGATGTCCTTAGCAAACTTCTTGCAGTCCATTTCCATCTGTTCTACATTGATTTCCAGCCAAGGGGTCTTTTCCCAATCTTCAATACTTGAGCGTACAATGAAGACGTAATCCCAGAGGGACTTGAGAAGACGTGCTTCCCGCCTGCATTGTTTGATTGCTTTGTAGTCAGGCACATTGACCTCAAACAGACTAGCTGATTCTAAGAGGGCCGCCATTTCTTTCTCCATGCCAAGCAGAATAAGATGCTGGACATCTAGCTCATCATACGGAGTTTCACAGGAGTATTGGAATGCACTAATCTTGCGGAATTTCTCGCGATATTCATGTTGTTGAACATCAAATGAGGCGCATTTACGGCGAATATTGTTCACTTCATTAGCCTGTAGTGGTGCCACCTGTTGTTTGACTGTGATGTGTATCTTCTTTGTGTTGTTCCATTGTTCGGGTAGCTCTTGAAGCTGTTGATGGACATCATCAGGAAGCTCCTGTTCGTATTGTCTCAAAAGCTCAATGGTCTGTTTCAATGGTTCAAACATCTCATCAGTTGAAGCTTGACGTTCTTTGACAGCCATTAGATAACCCATAGTTCCTACAAGACCGTCATAGTCTCCCTCTTCTACAGGAGTGGTCAAACCAGCATCTGTCACCTTGATGAACTCTTGGAGGTCATTCAAACTAGAAGAAATTACATAAGTCACATTATCATATGAAAAACAGCCCACGAGGTAACGTCTACATCGTTGTTGGTTATCATCAATGAAAAGCCTTTGTTTGTACATGTTTAGTATTGGGTTATTTCTTGAAAACTTTTTTACAAAATTGACTCACATTATCCAGTATATGGAATATTATAAAGAAATTGACAAACATAAAAATTTTGATTTTAGCCACTTTTTTCTGAAAGTACATACCTGTTGGTAACATGATCAACCAAGTGCTGCTTGAACATGTAGCCCCAGCGTCTGATAATGTTGATGAGACTGGCCTTGAAGCCCTTGGAGTCCACACGGAACCATTTATCAAATGTATGGGTACTTTCAAACTGGTCGACCTCCTCATAGATCTTCTCATATGTATCAACCTAGATTGGACAAAAGATCCAAATGTATTTTCTCATTGGAGCAACAAATTAAAGGTTGTTTTTAATGTTTTTCATGCATTTACAAAAAAAATATTGAAATAATGTTGCTATTGTAAACATCTGGTTTTTACTCTCATGGTAAAAGGTTGATTATATATTTAAAATAACCTTTTGGTTGATTGGGTTTACCAAGCTTCAAGTTCTGGAATATTCAACTCATTCATTCTATAGCTCTAGTTCAGTTGACAAACAATATATTCATTGTATTTGTGTATTTACCTGTTCTTTGAACTGTTCCAAGGTTGGTGGACTCTCTGGAACGCCATCCTCAGCGTGTGCTTCAATCTCCTCTGTGGTTAACACATGGTTGTAGAGAAGGAACTGACGCATGAACTCATTGCGATCATCCACCCAGAGATAGGCGTAACTGTCAAATGAGTTGCGATACTCACAAGCTTTGTTCATTACATTCTGGACCTTGTCCATCAGTTCTTGGCGCATCTCAGATAGTTCTTCCATGTCTTCAAGGTCAGGCTGGGAAAAGATGAACATATTAAGGTTTTATTTGAATCATTGTGTGCATGCTGTATGATGTAGAACGTAGATGTGATTGGTTGGACTGATTAAGCCTTGAAATTCTGACATCAACATTATACTGTTAAATTATTTAAATTTTTTTAATATTCAATGAAATGGAAAAGAATTAAGTGGAACGAAACAGAAAATGATGAATTAAATAACCTCACGATAGCTAATTTATTTTAATTAATTTTAATTAATCTAATTTATAACCATGCACTTCATGAATGTTATCCAAATTTTTACCTGATAGTGACTCTGTCCACTGTGACTGGCCAGTCTTTCAATGAGGGATGCTTGCTTATAGATATCACCAACAAGACCATCCACAAGATCATAAAAGCCATCAGCAACACCATAATCCAGTGATGGCTTGAAAACCATCTCAGGAGCCTGTCAAGAAATAATGTATTAAGTTAAGTTTGATACAGTTACATACAATAAAACCTGTCTAATTCAAAAGCCTCTGAGACCAGCTAAAAGTGTTGCGATAAGTATGACATGTTCACATTTCAAGGTTTTATAAACATGTAAGTAAATGGGAGACAAATTTCGGACTGGTAAAAAGTGTTCACATTGAAAGCTGTTCAGATTTGAGAGTTGTTCAGATATACAGGTTTCACTGTACATCCTGCATGTCTAGAAAACTGTAAGTAAAAGGCACAATGAATCAACATTACATGACATTCCAGTAGTTACTCATTTTTTCAGTATAAGAAATTTTAAGATTTTGTTCTTTTTCTGTAATCTAATGATCACTAAACAAATAATGAAGAAATAAAAAAATGAAAGAAGAAACAAAAGATTGGTTCAAACATCATTATAAATTTTAGATAAATAGCCAATACACAACATAAAAAGCTACCTATCTTGCAAAAAATTATATGTGTGAATCAAGTGAATGAATCATGTTCTGTACAAACATCCAGTCTACATGCACTCAGGTAACAATTATATAAATGACAACAATAAATTGATCACACACTTTATTCATATCAACAAATACAATGTACGTTTAAATCATTTCTACAGCACAAGCAGTGAAGCACTGGACAAAATAATCACCTGTTTCTTCAGTGAGATGGTCTAAGTTACCAAAAACATTTATTAATTGAGAATAGTGTTCAAATATGAGAACTCCTTAAATAACAAATGAGTCTGAGGTTTATCATGTTGCCTTAAAAATAGTTACGGTTAATGATGTCTGTCTCTTTAACTCATTTATTCATTTCATTCAAAATACTGGTATTTTGAAAGACATACTCGTACGTGTATACTATGACTCAAATATTGATGTTAAGGATGCAGTACCAGGTCAGCGTAGAAAAAGTTCCAGACATTAGATTTTGCTCATATTTTTTACAATGTATCACTATGATGTTATCATCATCCAAGTGCAATATGAAGAGGATTGACCGTCTGGTAATTACAAAATAAAAAAATTATTTTACCCACCCAAAATGAATCTTTTTACTTTTTTTGAGTTTTCAATAGAGCTGGCACCTTTTGAACCCTGGTTTTCGTATCCACTAATTGCGACTCAAGAACAGGTTTTCCCATAAAAGTGAAAGGGATAAAATATGCTTGATAAAATGTTTCCAATTTAATTCTTTTCTGGAAACACCATTATCGAAATAAACTATAATTTTTGAATAAGACTAAATGCGAAAATGACGTTCTTGGGAGCTAGCTTTCTCAAACCGGAAGTCAAACCTGCGCAAACAGACGTGAAAACCGACCCGGTACTGCATCCTTAAATTTTTAAGCAGATGAGTGGAGACTAAAATGTACAAAAAGTTTCCTAAAATGTACATTAAGTTACTCATAATTTCATACCAGAATTTTATTTTGAGGTGTTAAACATTTGACCTTTTTAAATGTTATAGCATAGTCTCAAAAGATGAATAAAAATTTAAAAAATTTAATTAAACTTACCTCAAGATTGAGCTTAGCCTCAAAGAGTGGAGTGAGGCCACCCTTGTTGAGGTCTGTGTTATCAAGAAGGAAGTTCAAGCTGCAGTGTATGGTGTTGAAGAAACCATCAACGATCATCTCATCAACATAATCCACATAGGCCTTCCAGATATCTGTCTCTGCATCCGCTTTGAAAAATTCCAGGTTTTCCTACAAAAAGATACATGAATCATAAGGTTTAAACAATAAATCACTTTGAAGATCAGTTCACAAAAAGATTTTAAAAACTTCAGACAATTATTGAAAACATTTTTATTTTTTGCCTATACACTCAAGTTATTTTATACTTCTTGATTTTCGTGGGATAATTGTTACATTTTATGTCAAAAAGGAGTAATATCAATTTTTCGCACCTTGAGTAAATTGTGAATCTTATCGCCCAATTCTTTCACCTCAGCGTATCTCTTATTACAAACATTTTCTCGATCCTCTAGATGGAGTAGTGACTCCACTTGTTTATCAACCTTTCGGACAAACAATGGATCCTTGCTCCATGTTGCCATAATCTTCTGAATGTTCTCTACGTTATCCTTGGCCTTCTGTACCCGAGACTCAAGATCTCGTACCTGCTCTCTGGTTTCTTGGATATATTCCCATACACCTGTAAAAATAAAATGAAAATTATAAAATATATGATGGTACTTCAAGACACTTGGGAAGATGAAACAGTTGTTTTGGGTCATATGATGAAAGCTTCATGCTACTGTGTCTCAGAAAAGTAGGAAACAAATGGAAGCATTCACTAATCAGTGAACTTTGTGCACTTGTATGATATGGAAATAGTATAATACATAACAATGCAATGAAGCACAATACAATATAAAATGCAATTGTATAAGTAGGTGTCTGAACACACATTTAAAACCACTGTTCTCTTTATTACCACACTGCACCTTCTTATTGTATTATCTTGATAATCCTTTCACTAAAATGAAGATTCAACTTACTGTCATCATTCCAGTTGAGATCTTTCTCTGCTTTGAGTAACTGGGCATCAATCTCCTCCATTTGTGTCTCAATGAGTGGGAACTCCACTTCAAGGACAGTCTCTCGGACCTTGTTGTACCGCTTCACTATCAGATCAAGGTTGTTTACATAGTTCCTGAATGTGTCGTTCTCTTTGTATACGTTGCTAGCAGAGGGAGGGATCTCATCAGAATCTTCAACCTCCGCAATGCGGATCTCCATGTATTTTACCTCACGGAGCACGGCAACCAGCTGGAATCAGAGAGAAATGAATGAATCAGGTGAGACTGGATTGTTCAATGAGATGTAGGTAAGAAAATCCAAATAACCTGGAAGCTTGAAATAAACTGATTCAAGTACACATTTGGCCTATTTCATGAAAATATCATAAATTATAGCAAAATTCTATTTTCTCTTCCTTTGTTGTATCACAAATTACAATTGAAATAGAAAAATTAAAATATACAATGTTTTGGTTAATCAGGTCCTCAGCACAAGATCCAACTCAAGAAAAAATTACTCCTCACCTGAGGATCAAAGTTGTGACAGATGAGTTTTGTCTCTTCATTACGCTGTAGAAGTGGCTGAGCAAGATTGAATGAGCATGCCTCATCCACTCCAGCTACCCATTCATTGTAGCACTGCTTCTCATACTTCTGTAGGAGCTCCAAGAATTCCTCATATTTGATCATCAAAAGTCGAGCCTCCTCACCCTCCATACATCTATATATATATGAGTATATATGAGAATATGAGTGAAATGGTTTAAAGTGGACATTAGGTGGTAGGGCTTGGGTCACAATATTGTTTTTTGCAAAAATTATCAAACAAAGGTTTAGAATCCCCATCAAGAAACAGTGAAATTATGTTATTGCAAAATCAATTTTCTGTTTTTATAATTATTGATAATAAATCATGGCTTTTTACTCTCCTTTCTAACATAATCAGTATCTGTGAAGAAATGACAGTTTAATATTTGGTATTTTAAGGATAGAAATTTTGTTTTCTAATGTTGCCCTTGTGCTTTCTGAGATTTTGAAGTGTACAGACAAAACATTAAAAATTAAATTCTCATAAAATCAAGTCGTGGATAATGCTATGTACATGTATCAAAAAATAATTCAAATAAAATTCATCTTCTGGATTCAATTTCTACAAGTTCTCAATTTCACTTACGGGTGTTCTACATGCTTGAGTTGACTCATGGGGACTGTCACCCTCTCTCGTAGCTCAGCAGCCCACTTCATGCCACCAGATATCTTAGGCATGTTCTTGTGAATGGGAGGCTGGCCTGAAGAACATAAAATATACAACATCACCTAAGTTTTAAATCAATAAGTCTATTTCATTCATAAAAATGCATTCACAAAATGCCTTGTTATACGGCAACCATCTTTTACATTGGCGAACAAGACTTGAATCATTACACTTGCTAATTTTAGTCAATGTCCTAACAATCAGACAAAAATTGTCAGTAATTTAGTAGAGACTGGCAATATATGTACACTAAAGGGCTAAAACTCAGGAATTTAATGCTATAAATAATTCTTAAGACAATAAAAGAGCTTAAGTCCTGCAGTGGTTCTCACCTGTTGAGTTCAGCATCACCATCTGCTTATCATATATGGCCTTAGCAGTGTCTAGCTCATTATCCATCATAGTTATAAGTTGTGGGTAAGACTTGTCAAAGTCTTCTTTGATCAACTGTCGCTCAAGCAGTGACCCAAAGATGTCGATCAACTGAAAAGTGGAATTAAGTTCTATTAAAGATTATTTTCATGTGAATAACTTTTCCTTACAAAGTATAACATGAATATAAGAATCAAGTGCGGTATGTTAAAGTATAATTTATTTTATTTTTCAAGTGAAGATTTTTTCATGAATGATGAAATGCCTTTATAGTATATTACTGACTTATACTTACTTTGAATGAGGACTCAAGACCACAGCAGTCCTCAAAGCCTTGGCAGATAATGGCCCCTAGACGTCTGTCCAGGTCTTCTGTGGAGCGACGGAATGTCTCATAGTCAGAGGTGAACTCCTGTCAATAAAACATTATTTTAATTATGGTGTTACCTAAATTCATATGCATACATATGTTTTAAATGAATTCTTGAACATGTGTTATAAAATGATTATTTCTAGAGCATTATCTAGTAACATTTTTTTAATTTCCAATTATCATCTGTTGTTCTCATATTTTAAACTATTTTTGGCCGAATCATGTTTTTAGTTTATCATTTTTACAATCAACTTTAAATCCAATATTCTTCCATGAATTCAAAATAAAAAAACAAAAAATACACCAATATTTTGCTCTATTGAGTGGAATACTTTTGCATTTTTTACAAGTTATATTCCCTGGAACCTCTGAACATACCTCATCATCATTATCTAAGCAGTCATATGTCACTTCAGTGAACACTTTGTAGAGCTCATTGAATTCATCAAATATTTGGACCACCTGAGAACTGAGCATCTTGCCCTTTATACCACCAAGCTCAACCTTCTCCAGCTTCATGAACTCTATGGCAGTCTCAAACAGATCCTGAAAGTACAAATGGAATGAACTCAATGTAGTTAAATGCGTCATAGCATTTGTGGTTGTTTAATATTTTTCTTATGGGTTTATCTTGAATTCTTTGCATTTATCTTGAATCTAATTTTTGGGTAATGACACCTCATTAACCACTTTTGTTTGGAAAGAAAATATTGCTTATTTTCCACAAATGCTACATTACTTTCATATATAAAATAGATGCTAAGGGGTTTGCTAAAGGAGCATCTTATTTATTAACCCTAGAATAGTAAGATCATTTTTTTCAATAAGCACATCTATTTGTCAATCACTGAAACTTACTCTGACAGTTTCCACCTTCTCTACGAACTTGTCAAATCTGGCAAAGACAAGTTGAGGGGCAAATTCCCATTCTTTTGGTTCACCTTCCTTGAAGTAGTCCTTGATGTTGGCACGGTGCTCCTCATAAGATTTGCGGAAAGCATTGAGGATATTTACAGCACCATTCACCTTGACGATCACCTCTTCCAGTTCTCCTTTGAAGATTTCTGTGGGCTCCAGGAAGTTGCGACACTGAAGAAATAAAGATTAAAGAAATCTATCATGTTGATAAAATATCAACCAAGAGTTCTGTACAAGATTACTAATTAGCTTAAGAATATATAATATTGAATGAGCAATCATTCTGGTTCCACCCCTAATGTGATACTTACATTTTCAATGAGCATATTGCAGATCTCTTGGAGGAGAATAATGATCCTGGCTGGTGTGTTGTAATACTGTGAATTAGCCCAGATGAGACACACTACATGCAGTAGAGGGTCAAACAGCTTTGCTGATTCATCAAACTCTGCATTCTCTACATCATCTAGCTGATCACGAAGTGGCTTCAAGAACATGTTGATGTCTTGTGCCTCAGCAAGAGCTGAAAACAGAAATGAAAGTTTCAACTCTGACTGTTACTAAGATATAGGCCTATCTTATATAATAGTCTCACATCAGGTTTCTGAGTGTTAGAGAGAGGGGGGGGGTGGAGTCACAATGTTGAATATAACCATTTTTCAAATTGTCTAAAATGTAGAAAATCTAGTCACAGAACAAACAGTATGCTGGATACTCATGAAAATTACCTAGCACCAAATCACATTAATTTCATCCAGTTGAACATTTGAAAAATCATGAAAATTCTTTCACAGTCATAATGGGTAAAATGTAATTTTGTATCCAGTTGAGAGAATATCCAGAGGGAGAACACTGTTTCCATATGTGTGCAAAATAATTGTTCTGATATAAATCATCATACCTGCAACCACATCTCTGAAGATGTTCTTAAAGGATGGGAAGTAGCTGCTCTGTGTTCTCTCCAAAAGTTCAGCCATTTTACGCACTTTGGGATCTCGTAACTACAACAATGAAAGTTTTTTAATTAATGGACACTGTATGCTGTGTAGATAACTGTTCATGTAGAGAAGTACATTTACTTGAGAATGTTTTTAAACTGTGTTATTACTCAATACACTCAGTGGATAGATTATTTTCAAGATTCAGCATTTTGCTTTTGAAATTGATAGCAGTAGAATCTGTGTTGACAGCGGAAACATCAAAACCAGAAGAGAAGAAAATGCAATCATATTTTAATGATGATATCTAATGAATTCATGAAAAAGTTTCCACTTGCTGCATGTTCTGTACAGAAATGGCACATACCTGATCATAAATGCATTCAAGATTCTGAGCCTTTGCTTTCCAGAAGTTCAACTCTACAAAGGGTGATGGATTAAGTCCCTCAAGGAGTGGCTGAGCAGAGTCTCTCTTGAGGACATCTCTTATCTGGTGGGTCCAATCAATAATGACTGATTCAATTGCATGCACCAAGTTTCTGTCACATGTATCTTCCCTACAATTTGTAAAATATCTGATTACTATATTTTAGATCATAGCTTTTGGATTGTAACAACCCTGCAAGAAACAGCACTGCCACCCTAGTTTCAGTTTAGATAGCTGATAGTTCAGTCGATAGAGCATCTGACTTTGGATCTGAGGGTTTAAGATTTGATTATAACACAGGGTGTTTAATTCACACACTTTCTTTCAAATACATATCTAGCTTGTTGCACTATGCTAGGAGGAGGTACGTCTCGGGTTATTAGTTTTTTATGAGAATGATTATGAAATATGTGTACCTCAATGATTCATGGTTAGTCTTTTTATTTACCTAATAGATGCATTTGTAAAATGTAATTTAGCTTGACAGTGATACATAAGGGTTATGTACTGGGAGGTTTTGGATATGGGTTTATCCAGAGGGAGATATGCATATCTACCTGAGAGACCGTAGGGACCGAAGGTAGATATGCATATCACGAGGGATGAACCCAATATCCAAACCGACCGTACATAACTGCTTTATCCTATACCAAGTAGAGTTTTCAGGTGCATATGGCCATTTCAATAGTACAAGGTGTAAAAACAATCAAATCATTCATATGCAAAGTCATTTTATTGCATTTCCACTACTTACCGGAAGCGGGAAGATATGCACCGAAGCGGGAAGATATGCACCGAAGCGGGAGATATGGCGGGAAATATGGAGGTTCTGGATATGGAAACCTCATAATCAGGATACGGGATATATCTTACCAACTTATCTCCCTAAAACTCTACTTGGCATAGAATAAATTTGTGTATGCATTTGCAAATGTCATTTACAGCCACAAAATTCTTACTTTTCAGCTACTTCTTCCACTTTCTCTGTACCAACAGGTAGAGGTAATAAAGTTTTCCCCTTCACTTGTCCTGCAACAACATAGACGCTGCTCTTCAAGTTATGTACATGGCGTAATACATCTGCTGATACAACATTAGGCCATTGCTCATGATTTCTCTCATTTGACAACAGTGGAACTAAAACCTGTAAGTAGATCAACGAGTCACTGTACTAAGGTTCATTAAATGCATGCAACGGTCACAATATAGTATAATGATGATCTTAAAATAAAATCAACTACTCTCGAAGGAAATGTAAGTTGTCACTTGTTATATTTTGTGACTGGAATTCCCTACAAAACTACCCTGCTCATCACCTAAAATTTCCTGATTTTGAGAGAATATGTTTGAGAAACAATAAAAGGTCAGTGAGGCAAATTAGAAGGCAGTGTCAAATTACTTTAGAAGTAGATTTTGAACTGCGAAGTGTAGACATGACTTCAAAATCACCAAAATGTCGAGTGACATTTTACATTTCCTCCAACCTTAGAATAGCAACTTTGTTGTGTTTTACTGGTACATGTAAGCTATTGACAAATCTCCTGTTTTCTGAGTTGACAGGGAGAAACATCATGACATGTTTTAGTTGTTGGAGATAGACATGGTACAATCAGAGACAAAAATTCAAATTTATTAGCTTTATTGTATTTCAATCCCCATCAGGGGTCATATACAAAGCATACAACTAACTACAAACTACTTAAGTACAAAAAAGACATGTTGCCATTCCCATCTTCTACTACATTGTATTCCCTAAGCTAAATCTTTTGATTTCATAGTCAAAAATGCCAATTGTATATTTTGACGCCTGACAGCAACGGGGTGCAAATAGATTACCTTTAAGGATGGAGATCGTTAAAAAATTATAATGGTATTTCATACAAGCAACATGTACAGTGTAAAGTATTGCCGTGTCTAGGCCTAGGGGAAGTGGTCCTAATTATCGCACGGTCCTAATTATCGCACGATTGTCCTAAATAGCTAAAATATGCACCCACCATCTTTTAAACCAGTGTTACGAAAAACAGTTCAACACCATTACTCCCAATCTTCATGATTTATTCATATATTTAGAAATATCTCTTCATTTTTTAAGAATTGTTAACTTCCGCCATTGTCATAAATGCTTTTGCGCAAGAAGTGAAATTCGTCTGACAAATTTTGACCCCCTCCAAATAAAGACAGAAAAGTAAGTGTATAATGTATATTTTGTTGATATTTTACACTAAAACTGATAGAAAAATGATTACAGCATATGTATGTATCTGTTATAAACAGAGAAATGTATACAGTATCGTGAAATGACATCTGAAACATAACTGTGCGATAATTAGGACGACTGTGCGATAATTAGGACCACCGCACATGCGAGTCTAAGGGGTCTTAAAGTGTTAGCGTTCGGAGATTGAGAAATGTCAAACACTACTTAGATTTTAGAGGAAAGGTTGATCTTTCGTCTCATATTCTTAAAGTAAGTTGAAGTTATCATATTTGAAATCATCAGTAGTTTCCCTGAGTACCCGTGCGATGATAGGACGACTTCCCCTACCTCATCTGTAAGCGCTGCAAGCTGATCCATGGGTGAGTATGCAAGATCACCATACATCATAGCAGTTCTGTAGTTTGCATCTTTTCCAAGAGCAGCCTCTTTTTTGACAAAATAGCATGCTTTTGATTTTACTTGCTGCGGCCATTCATGTTGAATTGATAACATTCCTGCAGAATTTGCGATGACAATCAAAATGTGAATATCATTCTTTTCGAAGAAGTCAAAGAACATCTGTTTATTCTCATCTAAGCTGTACATTTTGGAGAACTTGTCACCTTTAATGCGCAATGTTTTGAGGACATATTCAGCTATAAACTCGACGCGGGTGTCCCCCAAATCGAGTTCTTTTACATCCACCACAAAAGCCATTTTTTAAAAATTCAAAATCAGTCGCTCTTGTTTCAAATCGTTAAATATCCTCACAAAATAAGGAAAACACAGTTCAAATCTCGGTGTAGATACTCCCAATTGTGTTAACTGTCACTTAACATCATAATGCTGTGATATACTCATTACATTTATGAACTAAATACGTAAATTGTTAATATTTTTGCGCGCACTTGCTAAGATGCAATATGGCGTCCAAAGATGCTGATGGTTGCTAGGGTGGTTGCTATGAATAGAGACCAAAACACTTCGGTTTGAGATTAAATAACCTCGCTTTGAAAATAAAATGGTGGTCAGATTGAAACTTGGATTTCGTCTGCTTCGCTGTAATTTGTCCTATAAAACAAGGTACGTAATCTCTCAAAACTCCTTATATTATTACATAAGATGGCCTAACATTGATTCGCAGAAGAAATGAAGAGTGATTGATTGATTGAGATTCAGCACTTTGCTTAGGCCTACATAGTTCAACAAAGTTAACCCTAAGTCTCTGGGCCTTATTTCTTATCTGACATACCTTGTGGCCCACGACTATGTTTAACTTTGTTGAACAAGGCAAACTTATGAATCTCAATCACTCACCGTGAACATGTATAAAATCGAGTCAATTTTGTAATACATGTTCCTGGGCCTATGCACTCATCACTGCAAAAATAATGTCTCTGGGCCACGGATAGTGGGAAGTCCTCCATCTAGGAGGTATATATATACAAGGTAATGTTAGTAAAAATTAAAAAAATATGGTCACCTGTCCTCTAGATTCAATTTTTGAATGAATCGTAGCATAATGTACAGATTATTTGATATCATGCTATTCTTGAAACATTTATATGCAAAAATAACTGGGTCACTCACCTCTTATGCCTATATGTGTTTAGTAATCATACCCATTAGTGTACCTATAAGGACTTAGAAATTTTTCGAAAAGGGTAAATTAGAATTCCAGGATTATTCTTACATAATATGAATCTTTAAGAAGTATATTTTCAACAAATCACAAAAATAATATTTAGAATATGGTAAAAAGTTGTTTTTTACAGTGATTCTTAACACATGTCATTCTGACTCTTAAAATGAGTAATTTTCACATATTTTCACAATTCCTTGAATAAAATCTTGATTTTTGTAGATACACTTAAATTGACTTGTCAATATAAAACTACATTGTGTCTGAGAATAATAACCTTCACTAAGCAGATCAACCATGCATAGATACTTTGTAATCCTATTGTTTTGAAAGGCACCCTATTGTGTTCTTGTTTTTAAGAATGGATGACCTTCTACAGTCACTGACAGATTGAGGTGCTTCCGCAGGTCAGACCCCCTCTGATTTCACCTTTATTGTTTAGTATTGGCATTATTGCATAGTTCAAACATGAAATGAGAGAGGGTCCTGGCTGCGGAAGATATACAATGTGAAAGTATAGCAAAAAATTTTGTTTCAAAAAAGAGGCCATATTGGATCTGCCATACACCAAGGCAACAAACTATCAGACAAGTATCAAATGGGTCAATTTATTTTTGATTTATCAGTCACGCATGCCTCTGAAGAGGATACGTTGCAGAGGGACTGAATTGATATCCATTTAGTCATTAAAGGGACACTGTTTGTAAGGTAGTTCTCATGCTAATGAACACTAAAATGTTTTAAACAACGAATCAAATGGGTCAATCTTCTTTTGATTCATCAGTCATGTCTATCTCTTGAGATGATATGTGGAAGAGACACTGAATTAATATCCATTTAGCAATTAAAGGGACACTCCTTGTAAGGTAGTTCTCACCTTAGGAAACAAATAGGCCAATCTATCTTTGATCGATCATTCATGCATGCCCCTGAAGATGATATATTGCAGAGGGACTGAGTCATTATCCATTCAGCCATTTAAAGAGACATTGCTTGTAAGATAGTTCTCATCCTAATGAACACTAAACTATTTTTTAACAAAGAATCAAAGGGTCAATATACTTTCGATTCATCAGTCATCCCTGCCCCTGAATGTGATATATTGCTGAGGGACTGAATCAATAACCATTTACCCATTTAAAGAGACACTGCTTGTAAGGTAGTTCTCAACTAATGGGTCAATCTATTTTTGATTCTTCATTCAATTGCTTACCCCTGAAGATGATATATTGCTGAGGGACTAAATCAATATCCATGTAGCTGTTTAAAGAGACCCTGCTTGCAAGGTAGTTCTCACCAAAAGAAACAAAAGGGTCAATTTATTTTTGATGCCTGTCCCAAAAGATGATACATGTATATTGCTGAAAGACGGAATCAATATCCATTTAGCCATTAAAGGGACACTGCTTGTAAGATAGTTCTCATCTTAAGTCAAACTAAAATATTTTACTACATAATAATTATATGTTATACAATGGATAGATTAAAATACCTCCACTTGTTTGATAGCAAAACAATGGGTTTCAAACTGACGAAAAAACTATCCTACATGCACCTTTTCAATTTTAAAAGGCAACCATTTGACTTTGTACCTTTAGCTTCAATTGAATTATTCTTTGAAAATGCCAAATAAATATATCATATATTGGAAAGTCACAACTAGATTTTTAATATTTGAGTTGAATACCTAGGTTTTGTGTTTTCAATATGTTGCCCTTTGTGTCCTACCTTTGATAATGATATTTAATATGTCCTCTAAATTGAATATCCTAGGTTAAACCTACTGTATACCAACTGAGGTGATACTTTTGCTGAGATTCAAGATTAAGATTCATAGCTATATTACATTTTAGGGGTTGTTTTATGATTTGTGTTTCCAATATATTGCCCTTTGTGTTCTACCTTAATGATATTTTGATATATTGATTGATTCAATGGTCAATATACTTAAAATTGTCATGAGTGAAGACTGACATACCTCTAACATGATATTTAGAATGATTTGCATAGTCAAACTTAAATGCACCGAATGACCTTAGTTTTAATCCCTATGACCTAATTTTGTTTTGGATGTGTTCATAATTTATAAAAGTAACTATTTCCATGTTATATTCAATGAAACCTTTGGGGGCACCTTTAGGTACATGGGGTAACGGATCCTTTCTCCAGCCCATTGAAGGGTCCTCTCCGTAAATTGACAATTTCTACTGCGCATGTGTAAAACACTGGACGAAATGGTTTGGTAAATTTCAAACTATTTGATTGGTCGAAAAAATCACGCGCCTTTGCGTGATTTGCTTTATTCTCGCGAGATGGTGCGTGATTTGCTTTATTCTCGCGAGATACGGCGCTCTGTCCCCTTAAATTTTTATTTTGAACAACCATTATGATTTGGTGCATTATCTGACCAATAAAGCAGATTTGGAGGTATGAGTATTTTTTTTATTTTTCTGTTTAGTGTTTTCTACAGGCCCTATGTGTCTCAGGATATTTGTTTAACGAAAACTAGACAAATAATTTATTTTAAAAATAAATATTTTTTATTTTGGATGGAAGATGCGTAACCTGAGAAATAATATAATAGTAATATATGGAGGACTTCCCGTAACCATGCTCTGGGCCTTATTAAAGTAGCGGAAGGCGATAATTTACTGATGATTTTTGTTTTGTAAATACCTTCAGTTCATATGCCTAGAATCAAAACACTTATTCTAGTGACCAGTTCATATGGTTGAAATAATGAAATAATGAAGTGTTACCATGTGTCTACTTACCAGCTTGTTCTATGTCATCCATCCTGCTAGGTTACATTGTGGCACGCAGCCAAACACGACAATGAAGGCAACAACATAACAATATTGATCTTAGCAGAATTTTTGGAAATTTAGATCGTCCATTTTGCAAGCTCACGTGACTGATCACTAGTGTTGTCGCGATTAATCGATACATCACGATATACATAGCCAAAGCCGATTCTGGCGATGCATCAATGTCTGAAACAAAACATTAATGTTTTAAAAAAAATTAATTTGCTAAAAATCACCCTTTCATATCTTATTTTGACGCAAAGCGCTTACCTTTCTCATGTCTTATTTCATTTTCCAATGTTTTCTGATAATCTTTTCCTTTAAAACTGTTTTAGCTAGTCGAAGTGAACCATTAATCCAAAAAAATTACTTTACTTTCATTTCACCGTACCGTTACTAGAAGTTCCCGGATGTACCAGCGTACTCTTATTAATTTGTTCTGTTCGGTATTTTAGTGCATTCAAGCGTCGAAATCATTCAAAATCAATCTTTTTTAATTATAAAGAGTTATTTGATCACACATGACGCAAATAGCATAAAAGTATAAAGGTTTTAAAAGACTGATTTTGACTCATCAAAAATATTACATTTATAAACATCATTATTTAAAGATTTCAGTAATGAATTAAATTATATCTTAAACTGTTCCAATATTCTTAATAGTTTGAAAGTTTATTGCTTTCACCTCCAACATAGCAAAATACCTCTGATTTATATTGAATATAACTGGGTCCAAGTTAACTAGGGTCCGAGTTGACTAGGGTCCGAGTTAACTAGGGTCTGAGTTAACTGGGGTCCGAGTTGACTAGGCTTCGAGTTAACTAGGGTCCGAGTTGACCAGATACCTCTGCAATCACTAGTAATCAAATGACTCAAATTGTCTCTGATTATCTCTTGCTCTCAGTAATTGTGTGTCTCTATCTATCTCTCTCTCTGCTCCGTCTATCTTCTAGCGCATAATACATTGCAAATTACCCCCTAAATGTTGATTTTTCGAATCACCCCCACAATTACTTCTTATTAAAAATGCAAATGCACAGTGAAACCAGTGTATTGAACATTATTATCCCATCGAACGAAGTTCGGAGGGATATAGGGAATGCCTCCGTCCGTCCGTCCGTACGTCCGTCCGTCCGTACGTCCGTCCCTACGTCCGTCCGTACGTCCGTCCGTCCGTCCGAGCAATAACTCAAATACCGTTGGCCCGATTTTGTTCATATTTTGTACACATATACCCTATGGGGGTAGAAGTTCTGCTCAATAGCAGATTTTCAAAATGGCCGCTCATTTAAAAATGGCGGCCATTTTAGTGACGATTTTACAGTAATTTAGGTGCAATATGTAAAACTGCAATAGCAATATGTTTTAAATGTAAAAAAATTATAAAGGACATTAATAATGCTACAAATGTAGATATTAATTTAATTAAAGAAGCACATGGCAGCCATCTTGAAAAATGGCGGCCTTTACTCGTCATTTTACGATTTTTGCTGTAACTCAAAAAATAGTGGAGCGATTTTGTTCATACTTGGTATGTGAATACTATAAGAATTGCACACTGTCTAAAGACACTTTTGGTAGAACTTGGAACATTTTAATGTATTTTACAATAACTCGAAAAGTAGTGGAGCGATTTTGTTCATATTTGGTATGTGAATACTATAAGCATGGCACACTGTCTATTTCTAATGACACTTTTGGTAGAAGGCGGCCATTTTGAAAACAATTTTGAAAAATGGCCGCCATTTTAACGTATTTCACTATAATTCGAAAAGTAGTGGAGTGATTTTGTTCATATTTGGTATGTGAATACTATAAGCATGGCACACTGTCTAATTCTAATGACGCTTTTGGTAGAAGGTGGCCATTTTGAAAAATGGCCGCCATTTTAACGTATTTTACTATAACTCGAAAAGTAGTGGAGCGATTTTGTTCATATTTGATATGTGAATACTTTAAGCATGGCACATTGTCTAATATAACTTTGGGGAGTAGTCGTTTTCAAAATGGCCACCATTTTTATGTGTGTTATTTTACAAGTACACTTGCGATTTTTCAAAAATTTTAGAGGTGGCTACTTAAAAGCATATTATTTTTTCTGATGACAACTTGGCTAGTGAGCAACCATTTTGAAAATGGTGGCCTTTCTGGTGTTTTGTTTTATGATATTTGCGCTTCGTTTGTAAAAATGCCAGCTATTTCTGTTCGATGGGATTCGCTACGCTTTGGCGTTGCCGTTGTTCTGGTTTGCAGAGAAAAAATATTCAGTGAAGGGTGTTTACTAGAGACAGATGTTCACTAGAGAGAGAGGTGTTCACTAAGACAGGTTTCACTGTATTGTCAAATTTAATACGAGCATCCCTTATTTTCATTGTAAATCTTACCAAAGGTGAGATTGTTGGATCCATATTACATTTTCCTTATTTTTTACAATATCTTTACAAATAATATTTCGAAAATGATCTTGTCCCAATCACTTATCTGAAGATTTAAAATGAAACTAGTAATAACTGAATTTCTTCATTTTTTATATATTAGTACTATATAATTCAACTACAAAAACAAAACAATAGCTCCAAAAAAATATAGGACATGTTACTCCAGCAATTTACTTTACACATTAATCTGACAAGGATGTAAAGAAATCTACATTCATTTGGACAAATTGGGGATATAACCAGAAATCGCATTAGAGTACACAAACAGCAGATTACTGATGAAACAGTTAAGATGCTACCAGCCTATGAGTGAGTGACCACATAGCTCATTGTGCCAAAAGACTGGAGGTGAAATTCAAAATATTACCGTTCTTCCAGTTTAAAACGGACAATATTACCCTCCAACTCTTTTACGAAGAACCTTTCATCAATATATTCAATCCAAGTTTAAATAAAAAATCATCTCTACTTTTCATTAAACAATATAATATATTTGTTTACATGTAGAGATGCAACTTAAATGAATTAATTACGTCATACTGAATTTACCTTGTTACCTGTACAGGTATAAAACAATCTAATTGTAATTAATGACAATGTAAATTAGAATTACATCACATTGGAATATGTTTTGACGATTTTTAAAGAAACGAGTCGCAACAAAAAATTTTATATCAAATAGTTTTTACAATAGGACAAATGGGAGACACGCTTAGAAACGGTGTCAGAGTTCACAGACAGCACATAATGATGAAACTGTCAGAATGCTGCCTGTGAGCGATCATATCGCTAACTGTGCTAAAAAATGGATATAAAATTTAAAATCTTATCATTTTTTCAATTACAAAAGGACTAAAATAGGAGGAACATTTTATTAATAGATTTAAACCAAAATTAAATAAAAAATCAATTTCTCGTTGTTAGTCAACAAAACAAAACATTGGTTTCTTTATACATGTAAAATTAATGACGTCATACACAAATTAGAATTTTACCCGCACAGGTATCTATTTTCGTGAGTAGAATTTGTTCCAAAGAGCTCTTATAACAATGATTAAGGATTTAAGCCCTAGACTCAGTGCATTGTTTGCTGAATCATACCATGAAGGTGTTGTTTCCAAATCTTTGCATGACCGTACAGCGGGGTGGAATGAAGCAGTTGCATTGCATTCAATTCAATGCTTGAAAAAGAAGACAACGCAAGGATACTTTCCTGAAAATATAAGACTTGAATGTCTTGAATGTTTTCATGCATAATTTTATACCAGCAAATAACATGGGCATAACATTTTCTCAAAAATCTCTTCATTTAGATGTACCTTGGATAGCAAATCATGTGACTTCTACATGTGATATGGCCATATGTCGAATTGACCTCAAATGCACTTATGCTAAAAGTGGATTTAGAGTTTTACCTTCACATTGTATTAAGTTTTGACATTTATTTTTATAATTTATTGTTATATATATAAATAGTAGTACTTATGTCTGTTTCTATACATGTACTATTGAAATTGCGTTTCATCACCTTGAAATTCTTGTATATAGAATCTATTCATATACACTGAATTGGTGATTCATCCCTGTTTCAACAAAGTATGTAGTTCTCTATTTATCTTATACTTACCTTTACTTCAAGTTGATCAGATATATAGCTTCGTCATACACATGCTATATGCTTGCACACTATCTTGAAATAAACATACAATGAGGTTTTAGCAGCATTATTTCTGAACATGGAGTATCTAATAATTCTTGCAATTATTATTTGCATTCTAGTTCCATATATTTACATATATTTTAACAGACTCTCAAAAGTATCTCAACCAAAGGAGACATTTCGCAGAGCATATTGCAGTTCGGAATCCCCAGCTAAACTTGATGAAAACAAAATGAACAACAACGTATCAGAATATGAGACCTTTTCGTGGATGAAAAAGATTGCACCAGTTTTCCCAGTTAATGGTAACAAGATCAAAGTGCTTTACCAGCCTGCTGAGTTCTTCACTGCACTAAAGGTATGTGTAGCACAAATGATTTATGAGATCAAAGGCCATGTTATGGGTTAAGCAGGTGGCGCTGATTTGAAAAGAAGGAGTATGCAAGTATTTTTTTCTGTCAGTATATAGCTTAAACATGACCTTCACTGGTCTCATTTTTTCCCATATAATTGAGGTGCATATATTTAGCTTGTACTGTTTTGTTGAAGTTATCGCTGCATGTAGAGCAATCAGGTGCTGCACAATGCACCGTTAAAAAATTGAAAATAACATGCCACCCTTTTGAAAATGTGTTTGCACACTGTCAAAATGATGAAATATTGAGATATTTTGGTCAAAAAGGTGAAATTAGGATTAAATTAAAAAGGTGCAAATGGTTCACCATTCATGCTGGAATCACAAGTGTAAATGCAATCTTATTATTAAACATTACAATCACTCAATGCAAACTGCATGTTAGATGATAAGAGATGGGTTAATTATTTACATCTTCACTCTCATTCATATCTAATTTTGGAATGTTTAATTATGGTAGATAGGAATCTTCTTGAATTTCCTAACTGTAAAAAGGTTGAGTGTTTGCTTCATTGAACACTGGTAAGTGTTTAGTCAAGAGTTTAAGAATTTTCTTTCATAATTAAGCAAAGTTATTCAAAAATCACATTACTGCATTTGTTTTGGGTCACTCTGTTCTGTACGGAATGTACTAAAAACCCTTCGACCCTTCGACCCTGCGACCTACGACTTACAGCGTGTCAAGAATTTTTGAAATATATTTTTTATAAAAACCCTTCGACCTTCTATTTTCTATCTTTCTTTCTGTCCGATCAACAATAAGTACAGTTATACAAGAAATGTAAACGAAGTGAAAATATATTCCCAAAAATTTTCCGAAAGGCATGTCATTTCCGGAAGTTATGATACGTTATATTACCGAACATGCGTGAAAATGGAACGTTTGTTCGTTCATTTTACGAGAGCTAAATAAAATGCGAACACCCAAGCATCAGGTATGACTCCATCATTGTTTGGCGTTTTACTACTTGCCACAATCAACCTCACTGCCAGGATATCAAACAAGGCCCATTTTCCATCAAACTTGGCCCAACTACTATCAGGCGGATGTCCTTGAAAAATCAAGTTGACATGGTTACCAAAACCTAATAGTTGCCATGGCAACCATAGAAATGGGCTAAAAAAGATAGCAAAAAAGCACCCAAACCCACCATAATGGCACTAATTTATAAAATATTTCTAGATATACAAATTTTCTTAAACTTTGATATCATCTAGAACACTTGTCAAAATATTTGGGGGTAGGTTTACCACTTCGATTTTTTTCTAGGCTTGGTCAAAGTAAAACTACGAAAAAGCACTAATTTTACTTTTGAATCACCTATTATCGCCCAAATGGCTATTATATTTTTTCAAGGTCAAGGTCGCCATGCTAAAAGTTGAATTACGGAGATAAATCTGCTCTTCAGACAATGTTTGATAGCTTTTCTTCACCACAAAACAAAGATCTTTGCGCTGGTATGCCAATTTCCATGAGATAATGTATGGGAAGGAGGAACTGTGTCTTTAAATGTCATCAAAACTTTATGCCAACACGTGAAAAGGCTATTTTCGCACTACTTTTGGTGTAATAATGCCATCGAACAAACATTCCAATTCACCCATGTTCGGTAATATAAGGTGTTATTACGGTAAATACCACTTCCGGGTGTTTTTTAAAACTTTAAAAACGAAGCTATGCCAACTTCAATGGTGTGTATAGTAGGTTTAAGTGTATGTACTGTGGGCATTTGAGGTATGTATGTAAAGCAGGGGCCAAGTTCTTTTTAAATGTGCCATTTTTAGAAAAAAATCTCAAGAATATGGTCCCGTAAACAGGAACTACTTTATTCGTTAATTTTCATCGGTGAAGCAGAGATTTTACCTAGAAATAAGTCCCTATGTTGGCGTAGTGATATTTAAAAATCGAGACCCAAACCCTATGTTAAATATAGTGTCGAGATGAAGGTTATATATAGTGGATTGCAGAAATATAGTCATTGTATGGGCTAATTCGTTCGAAAATGGCGATATGTACCCCAGAAGGTGTGAGTACCGTAATCCAACACCAAATTCGAAAATTCAGAACAATACTTTACACATATGGCGTTCGTGATCAACTATAAAACGCTTACCCCCCATAGTGTTAGATATCAAAATGTACCTGTTCATATAGGGGTTCGATTGATCTACATCAAATTATAGGGAGTCCGGTTACTTTTTGAGATATCAGCGTCCATTTATTGTAACTCACGTTTGCTACCATTTCCTCAATTCTGAAATGACAGGCAACGCGTAGTAAACATGCTCACGCCGGAACTATATTTTGACCTACATCGCTATTTTCGTAATTTAAATGAAAGTTGAACTCCTCCTCTATATTTTGATACAAAATAGTGGCATACTAGGTACCTAGAAGTCAACTATGGCGTTATTTAGTACAAAACCACGAGTTTTTGGCGGGTGGATATGGAACCTCATACCAGAACTTGAATTTTGTGATTTTTTTCAATATTTTTCAATGATTTACCGTAGTGACACCCTAACGTATCATAACTTCCGGAATGACATGCCTTTCGGAAAATTTTTGGGAATATTTTCACTTCATTTACATTTCTTGTATAACTGTCCTTATTGTTGATTGGACGGAAAGATAAGCTGATGTAGTTACACTAGAGTTCGTTTACTACCATTTGGAAGGCACGTGAGGGTCCCATTCATCAGGTAACACTCATATGTCGAAGTTATGTTCTTGCTATTTTCTCTAAATCAGAGGTCGAAGGGTTTTTCAATAAAATATATTCCAAAAATTCTTGACACCCAGTAAGTCGTAGGGTCGAAGGGTCGTAGGTCGAAGGGTTTTTAGTACATTCCGTTCTGTACAGATATTTTGATTGAGCAGGGAATTCATTGGCAACATGCCATTTGTACCCAAATATCCTATTTTGAGGGATTTTGAACTAACATTATAATACAATATTCAATAATTCTGTCATATTGTCAGTTTTTTTTTATTAGAAATTCAGTTTTGTAAGTTATGTAGGGAAGTGAAGTATTTAGAGGTTTGTCACTATGACAATTTGACAATATAGGCCGACCTTGGGAGGCTCTATATTTGAGCAAGAACAAATGCATATTTCATGTCATAGTGACATAACTGATGTATTACATACCTTTATCCCCATGGTTACTTTGTATCAATGACGTCACACATCTGTGTCTGAGTAGAATTTGATCGAAATCAGACATGACGCCGTGATTTTGTTATGGTTATTAAAGAAATCTAATATCTATGGGGCTATATCAGGGTGATCGCACTGATCGGGCAATATCGGTGGATATCGCCTGCTAACTTTCCCATTGACTTCCATACAAATTCTTTGCTTGATATGTATGTAATACAGTGTAACACAGTGTAGATCATACATGGTGTGTGATTGGTGTGTGCTTCATGGCTCGGTTGATGGTTGATGTTGTTTCAAATTGCTATTTAGTTGGCAACTTTTTCTGTTTCCAGGACAATGTTTCTAAAGCACAACACAGAATTGTTATTGCCTCTCTGTATCTTGGGTCTGGGCACTTGGAACAGGAACTGGTAGGTGCAAAGACTTGTAAGAGACTTTTAGAGACATTAAATGTAGTCCCATTATATCTATGGGTGATAAATATGTCTTTGATTGATCATCAGCCATGATCTATAATCAGCAATGATCTCATAATTAACCAATGATGCATACATAGTTCATAATCAGTACTGAATTGGTGATCAGCCTGTGATTGGTTATCATCCAATCATTTATAACAATGTTTCATTCTGCGAGTTGTACATTTCAGATTGATTGTATATACAAAGCAAGTCAACTATCCAAGGAGAACAATGGAAATCTGAAAGTTGATATTCTACTAGACCACACCCGAGGCTCTCGAGGGAAAGTGAACTCACGAACAATGTTACTTCCTCTTCTACAAGACTTTGAGAATGTGTCAGTTGCTTTGTATCACACGCCTGATCTGAGGGGCTGGTTAAGGCGGGTCATGCCAGAGAAATTCAATGAGACGATAGGTCTGCAACATATGAAAATCTACTTGTTTGATGATACTCTCATTATTAGTGGGTAGGTTGAGTCAGAAGAATTTTAGAAAATGAAAGTTATATTTGAGGGGATGAGTGACTGAAAGTAAGATAAGTTATTAGGCCTCTGACAGTACTGAAATTTTTCTGTTCTGTTTGCTTTTTGAGCGTTTTTTCATAAAAACTTTCCAAAGATCTGAACAAATCAATTTTAAGCAAATATGTATAGAAAGGGGCAAAAATATCCTAGGGTCGAAGACACTAGTATCTGTAAATGATGGTTAAATGTTTTTGTTTATTCAAGCTGCAAACCTTGATATTTATTATAAAAATCCAGTGCTGTGTAGATATTCTGGTGTACTTCTACCTCTTTCTTATCACTTGTTCACTTGCATACTATTTGAAATTTGGTTTAATATAGAGTTCAAAATAGTCACTCTTATAATTGTATTGTACATTTGCTCATGTACAAAGCTTAAGTACAATTATGCTAAAACTGTAAATAACAAATGGTTTCTTTTGTATTTTTAGAGCCAACTTAAGTAACGACTACTTCAGCAATAGACAAGATAGATACGTCATGTTGGAGAATTGTAAAGATTTGTCAGACTTCTATAGTAACCTCATACAGACAACCTCAACATTCTCCATGCAGCTGCAACCAGACAACTCAGAGAAACTCTCACAAGACTTCCCCTATCATCCATATAAAGGTTTGTTTCAGCATCCTGGTTCCTGCGCTCTGTTCAGGATTTTTGGTTTCTGTAACTTTTTCTGCCCTTTTCCAAAGTAGAAGAAATAATAAAAGATACAAACATCAAAAGTTTTGATGTTATATTAAATCAGGTGTAAAAATGTCATTGGAGGGTAATGCAAATAAATATATTAAAAGCTTACTTTCAGATAGAGATGGAGGTAAAAAGTTCAAAGCAGAGGCTAAGCAGCGAATAGATAATCTAATACATCAGTACATGCAGAGTGAGCCGCCAGGAGTTCCCTCTGCAAGCGGAGATATGCCCCAAAAACACAACACATCCCCAGAAGTGAAAAATGTACTCTTTGAGACAATTAGGTCATACACCACAGGAGTCAATCCAAATACTATTCCAACAGACTTAAATCCATCAATGCAGAATATACATGCAAATCAACAAAATGATCATATAGGCAATCATGTTGATCCAAAGGACCACAAAAGTTGTATACAAAATAAAAAGACAAAAGAAGACACTCCTGATACATGGGTATTTCCCTTGATCCAGATGGGTCAGCTTGGAGTTTTTATGGATAATTATGTGACTGAGGGGCTGCTGGTTTCAGCTCCTGACGCATCTAATCTCCATCTGACATCTGGATACTTCAACCTAACTGATGAATACCTTAATACTATACTACTGAATTCCAAGGCAGATTATGATATTCTCATGGCTCACCCAGAGGTAGGTATTTTCTTTGTGCTCCGATAAATCCTGGCATCTTTTGATACATCAGAGAAACTTTAATATATTGGCTAGCTTGCCATTGGTTGTATTTTTCATTTAAAATTCGCAATAAGTTAATCCTGTTGTGCATGGTCAGATTTCTTCCTACAACCAATGACATCATCATAGCCATTATCATAGTTTTTGTATTAAAAGGTACAAGGATTTATCGGAACGATCTATTACAAACTAATGACACTTGACTGCCTTTTAAACACAATGGACACAACACGGAGGAAGGGTGTTGCACTAGAGAGAGGTGTTCACTAGAGAAAGGTGTTCACTAAGACAGGTTTTCATTTATTTCCAGGCCAATGGTTTTTTCACTGCAAGAGGTATATTAGGAGCCATACCTCCTGCTTATACCAGGATAGCCAAACTCTTCAATGATAGACTAATACAACACAAACAAGAGAACAGGATAAAACTTTGTGAATATTTCCGTAAAGACTGGACTTTCCATTCAAAAGGTCTCTGGTATTACTTGCCTGGTGATAAACTTCCTGTACTCACTCTCATAGGATCTCCAAATTTTGGTGAGTAATGCTTCTTAGAATGTACTAGTTTGGTTTCTTTAACATTGTTAATTGTCCAAAGTTTTTTGTGGCGGGTGTTTGGAGGTTGGTGTTTGTGAATGAGTTTGCTGATGAACTGGGAGTATGAACTCCCTATTTTTAGTCACAAGAAATGTCAATGATAGAAAAATAAAGAAACTCTCAACATTACAAATTAACTTTGAAGAACTTTCCAAAGGTTAGTTTATTCAATATATATCATTCATTAATGATAATAAAATTTGAAATGATCTCTTTGTTTGATTTTCGAAAACCTAATGGGCATATCATTTATTATATGTACTACAGTGAACATTTTTCTTGTATCTACAGGCTACAGATCTGTGTATAGAGACCTGGAGAGTCAACTAGCTATAGTCACTGAGAACCAAGAGTTAAGGCAACAATTACATCTGGTATGTTTAAAACACTACAATCAACATTAACTGGAATTTTCCTTTTCATTTCTCAAATCTTTCTCCAATATAGCCAGATCAATTGTGAAATAATAATTTGTTTGTGAAATAAAGAGTGAAGTTTCCACATATCAGTTGACAGCATTCCCTATGATTTAAGAGGCAGAGCCAACTTATGATCCATGGGAAGGATGTAAACATTGCAATAACCCCCTCTCCCTGACAAATATGAGTTAAATTGCATGTTTTCTCCAAATAAGGTCATGAATAACTTGTAGTTTCAAGCCATAACCAACCATATCATAAAGCAAACCCATTTCAAAATCACTCCAAATCTGTCAAGCAATTTTAGATTAAAACTAAAATATATTATATTAAGATATGTTTTATTGTATACCTTCAGGAGCAGCAGAAGTTATACAGCTTGTCCACACCAGTCAATGCTGAGACATTTAGACAACCAGATAGATATGTACCAATGTGGATTCGTTTAGTCATCAGGGTCATCAAAACATTCTTCTAAGATGGTTTGCTTACCTCTCATGCGAATAGAGTAATGCCTTCAGTGATATTTTAGATTTGACTTTAGTAGAAATTGGTATTAACATGTACTAGATTACATGTATTAGATTGATACATATCATGGGGCCTTTCTATAGAAATGCATGGCTCAGATGTACCTGTATCATGTGTACTGGGATCATTTGAATCAAGTTTGATTTATTTCATTTTAAATGCTGTCAAATTGCTCATTTGAAAGAATGTGAAAATTCACATTTCTGCCCAAAACAAATTTCTTGGTCTGTAAAGATACAAAATCACTTATCGTATATCATATTGAATATCTGAATCCAGAGCATGTTGTTATCAACTGTACATCTCCTTAATTTGGCGGCCATTTTTATTTGGCCAATCCGCCAAATTGTTCCAGCATTAAGTTGTCACCAAATTCCCCAGTAATGTTCCTAAATTCCCGGGAATTCGCAATGCACCACTTTTTCTGGTTGAATATAATGACATCAAACTTGTACTATTCTAGTAGGTTGAGTTGACCAAGACCTCTTCTAAATTTGATAAAGTACCTTGCTGTATAGAGTTAAACACACTGTAAGTACAAGTAGGCTAAAAAATATGTAAATAGTACCATGTTATAGCATATTTTAAGATATTGTATCAACATTCAGACATTGTAAGTGTGCAACTTTTCAATATTGCCAAGTCCGCCAAATTAAGTAACCGCCAAATGTTCAAAACAGCAAATCCGCCAAAATAAGTAGCGCCAAATTAAGTAGAAGTACAGTATTGATGATTTCGTATATCTATACATGTATAAAGATATTAAATATTTGTAAATTGTATACTTGTATTGTTTTATCTAATATCTATTTTTATTTGTTTTTATAAGTAAATTATTAACATGTTATAAAATGCACAGGTATTATATAGTACTGTATACACTTACAGTTACATTGATTTGCAGTAAAAATGTATAATTAATAAATGTAATACAGTTGATGTGAATAGTGAAGATAGTTGAATAGTGTTGCAATAAAATAAAAAGAAACTATGATATCAAATATGAACGGATGATTTTTGTTTTTACCATGTGAGTATTGCAGAATTATGAGATGATTTTGATTTTTCAAGAAAACTTGCCATATAGATGGATAAATGGATGACAATGAAAGTTTTGGTAGAGCTAGTGCCATTGGTTCATATAGAGAAAATTGGCAAGAGTTACTTTTATCTCTTTTGTGAAATGTATTAGCTAGATAGCAAAGCATCTATTGCTGTCATGCGTCTTAAAATATATACATGTTCTGATGTTCAGGTTAAACTGCATTTTCTTTTGACAACTTGCCTATAAGTAACTTGCCTATCTGTAGCACTTGGAAGTACAAAGCTCTGTCTCAATTTGTGCGATAAGTCAGTATGTTACTTTACTTTTTTTTTTGTCATACCTTGGAAAGATTTTGATGATATTTTACATTAAAATACATGCAAGAATCATATATTCTTGTGATGATTCATCTAGCGTGATGGCTATTTATGTAATGATTTCTAGGAATCTTGTTTGACACTATTACCTGTTTTGTGTGTTTTGTGTACGTACGTCCGTCCGTCTGTCCGTCCGGGCAATAACTCAAATACCGTTGGCCCGATTTTGTTCATATTTTGTACACATATACCCAATGGGGGTAGAAGTTCTGCTCGAAAACCGATTTTCAAAATGGCCACTCATTTAAAAATGGCGGCCATTTTAGTGCTGATTTTACAGTAATTTAGGTACTGCATATAAAACTGTAATAGCAATATGTTTTAAATGTAAAAAAGTTATATAGGACATTGATTAAGCGAGAAATGTAAATACAGAAGAAAGATATGGCAGCCATCTTGAAAAATGGAGTGGAGCGATTTTGTTCATATTTGGTATGTGAATACTTTAAGCATGGCACAATGTCTGATGACATTTTTGGTAGTAGGCGGCCATATTGAAAAATGGCCGCCATTTTTACGTGTGTTATTTTACATTTTTTACTATAACTCAAAAAGTAGTAGAGCGATTTTGTTCATATTTTATATGTGAATACTATAAGCATGGCACACTGTCTAATGACACTTTGGGTAGTAGGCGGACATTTTTCAAAATGGCTGCCATTTTTACGTGTGTATTTAACATTTTTTACTGTAAGTCAAAAAGTAGTGGAGCGATTTTGTTCATATTTGGTATGTGAATACTTTAAGCATGGCCCAATGTCTAATGACATTTTGGGTAGTAGGCGGCCATATTGAAAAATGGCTGCCATTTTTACGTGTGTTATTTTACATTTTTTACTATAACTCAAAAAGTAGTAGAGTGATTTTGTTCATATTTTATATGTGAATACTATAAGCATGGCACACTGTCTAATGACACTTTGGGTAGTAGGCGGACATTTTGAAAAATGGCCACCATTTTTACGTTTTTTACAATAACTTGAAAAGTAGTGGAGTGATTTTGTTCATATTTGATATGTGAATACTTATGAGCCTTGCACACTGTCTCATGACACTTCGCGTAGTAGGTGGCCATTTTAAAAAATGGCTGTCATTTTTACATTTTTTACTATAACTCAAAAATACATTTTTTATTATAATTCAAAAAGTAATAGAGCGATTTTGTTCATATTTGATATGTGAATACTCTTAAGGATTGCATGCTGTCTTATGACATTTTGGGTAGTAGGCGGCCATTTTAAAAAATGGCCAGCATTGTATGCGTGGGCGATTTTTTGAAAATTTTATATGTGGCTACTTAAAAGCATATTACTTCTTCTGATGACAACTTGGCTAGTGAGCAGCCATTTTGAAAATGGTGGCCTTTCTTATTGGTGTTATTTTACGATATTTGCTATATATTTTGTTTGTAAAATGCCAGCCATTTCTGTTCGATGGGATTTGCTACGCTTTGGTGTTGCCGTTGTTCTGCTTTTAACTGCATTTCTTACTTATTATTATTATGCTATAATACACTGTTATAGTCATATTTTTGGTTATTAAAATAGTTTATTTGATATTTTCTCAGTTACATCTGTAAAATGTAAATCTAAGCTAGACTGTCAGTTCGATGTTGCTTTGTATTCTCTTTTCTTTTTTGCCATTTTTGCGCAATAGGAATAGCAAAGACATGAAGGAAAGTAACACATAACCAGGCGATTCCGCAAACTCTATATGGCCAATAGAATGTCCCTGTTATGTCACGTAACCAACCTGGAAATAATTGTAGTAACACTAATAGGCCTACATAGGACACATAGGCCTAGGGTTTACTTATAGTACTGGTGGTGTATGTTATCTATTTTGTTATCTGCTAAAAAATACCCTAAATTGTTGAAAAAATATGATTTTTAGAAGTGCTTATTTTTGATAAACAAAAGTACTCTAAAAGTATTCTACCACCTACTAAATGTACAATGGGATTGATTATAGAAAGAATTTAATATGAGATATGCCTGATTGAAGATAAACCCGACTGAGCGACATTATCATGTTACAATCGATTGACAAAATGACATTTTGCAGGACTTACCTAATAATGGAGCAGCCACCAACAATGGTATGGCTGAGTTCAATATTGTCATTCCAAGAGCATAAGAGTAAATATGTATCCCATAAAGGTCAATCATGACAACATTCCTTAGAGTTTGCCAGGGAGAGAAGCCAGCCCCTATTACAGCAACATATATTGCCATTGGGACAAAACCACGTATAAATGGGGCACACAAGAGGCATACACCTGAAAATACATGGCAATTTGGAAAAACAGAAGTAAAGGAGAAATTGGTAGCATGCAGTCATGAGTATAGATTAACCTTATAACTAAATATAATTGTATCAAAGTGCATTAAATATCATAGTGATCATGATATAAAGAATTACCTAATATGAAATATCCTGCAGCCACAAGGTAGATTCTCTCGATCTTGGGATGGTCAGCAATGAAACCAAACACAATCCTGCAAAAAAGATCAGCTCCACCCATGATTGACACAAGTACTGCAGTTTGAGTCCTTGGGATTCCAAGATCATCGGCAAATGCTGGTATGAATACCAACACACTCACTTGTCCAAAGTTGCCCAGAAAGTTGGACACTTCAAAAGTCAGGAATACCCTATTCCTCAATAAACTTAACTCGACTGGGAATCTTTCTTTGAACCATGCTATGAGTTTATGAAATGACCATGTTGAATTCATATATAGATATTTATTTGAACGTGCATTAGTTATTGGGTGCTCTTTGGTTTGATTTACATTTGCATCTTTTCCAAAGGAGTCCAGTGTCTTAGGTACCAGTTCGTTTTGATTTGTGATGTCAAGATTTTTACATTCCCCTGCTATTGATGTTTCAGGTTGTATGTTGGTTCTATCATTATTATCATCAATTAAACATAACTTTAAGTTAGGATGATTCTTCCTTGGAGATAGATTACAGTCGCCTTTTTTGTCCCTTGAGCTGCTATTTACAACAGCTTCATCACTTTCATCTTTAAGCATTTGCTCCATCTCTTGTTTGTTGTTTGAGCAAGGCCTGAATGAAGACAGAGGTCTAAAAAGGGCACCACTTAAACACATGTGGAATACAATTGCTCCTAATATAATAGTTGCGCCACGTGTTGTGTACTTGTCCAGTAAGAATCGTATGAATGGTGGCATAATTAAGGCTCCAACACTGGAACCAGACATTGCTATACCTGTAGCCAATGAACGTTTTAGATGGAAGTACTCCCCTAATATAACCAGGCCTGGACTCAGTCCTAATCCTAGTCCAAATCCTACAAATATAATAACACCAGGATCTTTCAAGGAACCATCATTGCCATTGTGAATATGTAGGCATGAGAAACATTAAGGGGAAAACAAAAGAATTTAGTGATTAGTGTTTGGGAAAGTAACATTGAAAAGTACAATGCCCCTACAAACAATCTAAGCACAAAGAAATACTGCCAAATGACAAAGATGTCAAAGAAAATGTCCAAACATCATTATGTACTCCTGATGAACATTTACCTCCTATTCCACCATAGCATATGATTACATGCTGTATATTTTGAGCTTGGGATGTGCTTATGATACCCAATCCAGCTATCAAACCTCCCATCATTACAACAGGCCTGGCACCAAAACGCCTCGCAAGGGAATTTGCAAATGGTGCTGAAAACAATTCAAGAGGACATATGCAATTTTATTTTTACTTTTCAACCATGGGCTCACTAGTCTCAGACAATGCAGCAAACACCTTTATTTGTTCATTTTACAGTGGGTTGAATTTTAAAATTAGAGTCAATATGAGGAAGGAACGATTATGGAAGTCATGAAACGGATTTCAGAAAGTGTTTTACTTAGAGTGTTTTTGTCGAAAGGTTTACTTTAAAGAGGAATCGGCATCAAAACTAGAAACATTCAGACTTATAGTCAAAGAGAAGTGTGGCTAGCTTAGGCATTAAATGTTCTGTTTAATTAAAAGTACTCAGATCACCTGTTATAGCAGATATACAGAAGATCATTGATGCAATCCAGGATGCAGTTGCTGCTCCCACACCAAACTCCTCCACGTATTCCACCACGATGATACCAACTGATCGAATCAGAGCTCCCAGACCAAATGTATTAAATATGAACAATCCTACAATCATAGGTTTCATTTATATTTGCATTTAAGGAATAGTATGGTGATATCAAAACACTTTTCTTTATTGGTATTGTTCAATGAAATTCTGATTTCACTTATTGTCACACAAGTCTATAATTTTGGTTTGAAAATGGTCTTAGAAATCTATTTGTCTTGGGGCTTCCATTTTATTTATGATTTCACTTTTGAACAAGTATCTAAAAATGAAAGAATTAGGTTTCATTTAGTCATTTAATTATGCAAGGATATACGTCATGCTATAGGGTAAAGATTTTTGGGGTTTTATTTTGTTGTATTAAGGCATTTATCATTGAAGATACTATAAGTTATTGAATGATTTGAAGCGCAATACAGGATACATTCTGCTCAAGAAATTCCGTATTGGAACGAGACGAAGTCGAGTGCCAATACAGAATATCAAGAGCAGAATATATCCTGTATTGCACTTCAAATCATTCTATAACGTTTTTATCGTGTGATCCTCTGTATTGCTACTGAGAATGTCCCCTCCGTACCAATATTTTCTGTATTGCGATGGAGATGATCAATGGGGACAATCTCAGTAGCAATACAGATTGGTACAGCACAAGAAGTGACCAATCAGAAGGCTTCATTTTACAGATCAAACGATAAATTGAAGTATTGGAGGTTATAAAACCATTTTTATTTTCCATCTATCACTTCAATTTTTTCATTGCACTGGGTACAAATTGCTTAAGCATCGATTTGGTTGGTAAGGTTGATTGTTTCATAGGCCTATACACCTTCTTGTTCAATGATCTACATTAACTTGTCTTTATAATGGTTGCTTCATAAACTTACCTAATACAATGAACCAAGCATAACCTCGATCTATAGGTATGTTTGATTGCTTTATTTTCTTCTGTTGGTTGACTATATTGTCATCAGCTTGTTTTGTTGCCATTGTCTACTTAATGCAGTATTGTTTTATTATACATTGAACTTCTCTAAATTATTCTTGAATTTATAGGCCTGGTGATTTCTAAATGATTCTTGATTTATGCATGATTTATCTCAACAAATACTGTGCTGATTTCCAGTGAAGTGAATGCAGGCAGTGAAGTGCCTCCATGTACATGCCATGTGAATACTGAATACTAATCCATTAGGTAAAATGGTAAATACAGTAAAACCTGTCTGATCCAAACGCCATTGGGATCGGCTTAAAGTGTTCAGATGAGGAGATGTTCACATTTCGAGGTTTTTGCATACGCGAGATTCCGGATCCTGGAGAAATGTGAACACATTCTCGGTACACATTTATAGTTCATTTGACCACATAGCTTTATGGTATTTCAGAAATTTGAAAATTCATAACAATATTTGAGCAATTTTGTATGAAACATGTGAAATTTTATGAAAAGTGTTCAGATTAGACAGGTTAGTTTTTCAAATATGACTGTTCATTTTAAGAGGTGTTCACATTTCAAGTTTTTTAACATGGTAGTCAATGGGAGGAAAAAATGAAACTGAAAAAAGTGTTCAGATTGGGAGGTGTTTGGATTATCCAGGTGTTCATGTATACAGGTTCTACTGTATAGTAAATCCTGTGTGGTGGATACCTGTTAAAGGTGTTCCAATTTTTAGAGGTACCAAAGGAGTTCCACTTAGCCAGGTTTTACTGTATTTAACATTTATTCACTTGTTGTGAACACATGATATAGTACAAGTATTTACTAATAGATAATATTATGAATAGATAAAAACAGATGAACTCAAACATGGTCAAACAAACTTCATTTACATGTGTAACAACCCTTGATAGCAAGTTGGTATACTGCCCAGCTGTAGTGGCTTAGGCCTTTATAGCTCAGTCGGTAGAGCATCAGACTTTGGGTCCAAGGGTCCTAGATTCGATTTCCATTCGGGGCATTGAATTTAGCACATTTTCTTTCAATTTCTTTATCTGGCTTGTTAATCTATGCTCATTAGCCATTCCCCTGGGATGCCCTCGGGTCATTATACACATGCTATTGCACAAATAATTAGCAAGCAGTCATATTTGATGAAAATACATTATTTTTAATAGTTTAATTGTTTTAAATTGAATATCTAAAAATACAAAAAACAGATAGTAATTTATAATTAGTTTCTTCAGGGTTTAATGATTGAAGGAAACATTGCTCAATTATAGTATCTTTGTACCATTGGTTTCATCATTATCTTTCATGAAAGAAAAAAGTGAATCTGCAAGAGTCCCATATTAGTGATCACAAATGTGGTTGTTATGGGGTTTGGCTTATCTAGATATAAGGTTTTTAAGGTTTTTGACTAGGACTGAAGAAAGTCCTAGGTTTTGGCGGGGGTTTTGGTGCTTCGGACTGGAAAATTCCACTTCTGCCTTTTCTCAAACAGTGGAGACGATTAGGTCGTTTAACGTTTATTCCGACAATTGACGTCATTGTGCGTTAATTGCCAGGTATTGCGTTAATTGACGTACTTCAAATTCAAATTGATTTAGGCGTTATTTTCGTTGCATTTCATTTCAGAAAAATACTTTTTTGGTGATATTTACATACAGATAAGCTTAATTTTCTATTTATTTAGCCTACAGAAGAACATGACTTTACTTCTTTCTGTTTCAACCAGGTTTTTAGACGCAGAAACACAATAGTATAATCATTTGAACAACTGACGACCAAATATCAGGATTGCTTATTTTGCGGTAAACATCCACGAGAGAGGCATCTTGGACATGTTTATTACAATTTGGGCAACATGTTTTTACTTTTATTCGAAGCATTTTATAAATATCTTCAACTTCCATGTGGGAATAGTGTTTTCTATGATGCAATATTTTTTTATAAAGCAATAATGAAGACGTTGTCGAAATATGGAGTCGCGTGTCCGTTAAAAAGTCGCAATGACTCTATTGCATAATGATCACAGTCTCATTGCTTCGCCAATGAATTTCAATTATGGACAAATTGTGTTGGTATATTTTATTGAACAAAATTAGATTTTCCATATTGATGAAATTAAATACAACATTTTGAATGTTTCATCCTAGAACGGGCCCGTATTTCCGATTTCTCCCATGAGTGCATCTGACTAAAATAAAGTCCACTTCAGAATTTAACGAAATATCACAATTAGAAGAAAAAGTACAAATATGAAGAAAAGATTCAGCTCCACCTTGCAGGCACCACTCAGAGAAGCAAAGCAACAAAATTAACATATTCCCTCTCATGCAGTGGATTATAACTTGGACTCAAAGGATGGATAAAAGAATAGAAAGTTTTCCTAATCATATAAAGATGTCACTAGTAGTTAATGTAATACATTACATTAGCAGCCATATTGGAATACAGATATTGATTTGTGGTGAATTTATTATGCATTTGGCCCGAGACAGAATTAGTCTGACAATCTAGGAGCGTATTACGATGTCTTTGGGGGAGATGGAGAATATCCCACTTGCTGGGTCTGGTGAAAGTGACTCTGGGGTACCAGATACACACGAATATGCTGAAAATAGACCAGATTGGATAGGTTTGTTGATTTTTTATTTTCTTATTTCTGAATGCAGTGATGATTCATTTATTGGTATATTTATATTGTCTCTTTGCAGTTCGTTACTCTAGTCTAGGTATATTTATTTTCTGTGTGTTTTTGAATTGACTGTTTTCAGGGTCTGAAGTTTGTTTCGTATTTATTTTTCACAGGAACATCCATTGATTCCATACATATTTGAGCAAAAGGTCGGATTTGTAATAACCCTATTGAATAAATTGTACTACAGGCAGTCTAGTAATCTTTTTGCGTAGCTGATATTTATGTTCAACAAGTACGAGGTTTATCAAGATTTGGTAGAAGATGTAAAGGATAAGGTACAATAGTACATGTTTATTATGATAAACCATGGGCTCTATAACAGTCTTATTATTTATTCTCATTTCAGGAAATGGTGGGAATTTACAAAATTTTGGTGATTTGAATTCTGACGAAGAGGATGAAAAACAGAGACTTATTCAGCAAGTTGTTGAGCTACAAAATACGCTAGACGATCTCTCTCAACGCGTTGATTCTGTCAAGGAAGAAAATTTGAAACTTAAATCAGAAAATCAAGTTTTGGGACAATATATAGAGAATCTGATGGCAGCTAGCAGTGTATTCCAATCCACATCTCCAAAAACAAAGAAGAAATAAATATGACGTGTTCAGTGGCTGAATACTAATACTTCTCCTCTGCAACGTTGTAGTTGATACTGACAGTAGATGAAATATGCTGTTATAGATTTTCAAAGTGTCTAATGTATTTCTGTTGAAATACAAGTAATCCGCAGTAATCCTCTATAACTGTCAGTCTGTAGAGATTCCACTTTTAGTTCAGCCCTGATATGGATCATACAACTGTACATACGAGATATGTCATGTGATTTAATGGCACTTGGCTTTTAAGAACACTAGGCTGTATGTATTGTACAGTAGATGAATATGACAACTGTGACGATGTCCAATAATACAACTGTTGTAGCAACATGTTATACTCGTACATGTATGGATTTTATATACATGTATGGATTTTCCAAACATTAAATAATCACCTGATATATCCATAAAGTCACTTTATTCTTTCGAAGCTTTGGAATTGTAGAGACTTTATGGACACCCTGTATATATGCTGTCAATACAGAGACTGTGCAATCAGTTGTTGAAATTGTGTAACCCAACCTATGTAAGTGTAAAACATGATAGGATATGTGGAGATTTGGAGGGGAATAAGCACTGAGGAAAACTGTAACATCCTAAAGACTTTATTTCATCTCAAAATCTTAACACTGATCCCATGTTCTATTCCAGTATTCCTAATCGTCAAATTGGACTGTATAATAGTATAGTTGAATATACATGTTGATGCTAGTCGAAACAATTTCACCATTTTTACTCTTTGCTAGGCCTTGAATTAGAGGCTTACACCCCATTCTCCTGACTGTATGGTTGGAAAGGCAAAGCTGTAGGGCTCTGAAGAGGTGTTGCAATAAAATTTAATAACTGGACTCTTTCTGGGGCATGTAGGGAATTAACTATTGACGTTTATGTAAGATTATGCATTAGATTATGAATATGTTATTTGAAATCATGAATGGAGAACAAACGGCTTAAATGATTCAACATATAGCAAATGACTAAGTTTGTGTTGAATCACATATCCGATGCATACCATTACTGTATCCCGTTGAGAAAATGGCATCTGGTGAAACGTCCAAAGTTTTATAGATATGTACAGTGAAAACCTTTCTAAAGTTAAGTTCTCAAAATGTAGAGTTCTACCATAACAATATTCAATGTCACATTGTCACTAGAAGACTATCTAGATGTAAACACCTTAAGGCTTAATGTGTGAACTAGCTAGGCTCACTATTGAGTAAGCAGTATTTTAGTGTTCACTTTAGACAGGTTTTTGCTGAAGGCCAGGGTCAACATTTTCACCCTTTCGGATTTTCAAATTTGGTAGAGGCTAATTAAATACTTCCAAATAGTTCATTTTTTCATTCCATTTTTCAGTAATTGTGACAAGCCTGTAAATAATAAATATAATATGATATGTACACATTTCTGAAGCTTAATAATATAATAACAAATTAGAACAAAATACTCAAATATTTAATAGTTTTTTGTTGTTTATTTCAAAGTATTACTGACTATTTGTGAATACACTATTCTCACATGTTGTATTTACCCTTTTTTGGAGGTATATCTTGTTTATTTTTTTTACAATTTATCATCTAATCCGATGCAACAGGATCATTACTCCATGTACCAGTGTACTTATGTACAAGAATAGAAATCCTTTATTATTATTTGGTAGCCTAGAATAAAAATAATTCCATCATCCATCTGATTATTTACTGGAATAGTTTACTGAATTACATGTACCATTATATTTACTGAGTTAGTGTTATATAACCCATTTAACAAATACGAATTATCAATTCATTTATTGGATCTCTATTCAATTTACTGCATTATTTTCTTGTAGCAATATACAATCTTAGTAACTTATTAGTGAGTAAAATTCAGGTTAGGAAAATATCATTCCTATGTTGTCAAGTGTCATGTCTATAAATTATATGTACAAATTTTATTTTACACTCCGTTAGAAGTAATTTGTTAAATTGGAGTTAGTAACAAGTTGAGCCCTAGGACCCCATAAATGACAATATATAATATAGAATTGTATCATTGATGAAGACCCCATATAATGACTCAAAATAAAAGCATTTTAATTTGAAAGCTGATATAGCATTATATACATTTGAAGACAGTACAATGAGACAAATTTTTTATAACACAAAATATGGCACTTTTTAGTGAGATTTGTGCAATCATTGAAAGTTAACCTATCCTCCTGTAATAACAATGTTCGATGCACATAATTACATAATGTCACAACACATTTGGCATAGCATTGTTTACATTTTACATATTTGAATCTATTTAAAAAATCCCCAAACTTTTAAGACTCATAATAGCCTCCAAATTGCACTATCAAGAAACTGATATGGGCCTAGTGCTTCTTTCCCAAAAATACCAGGGCTTGAGAAATTATTCGCCAAGTGAGCTGCATGACATATACTTGTAAAGGTGCATGCATCTCTCTAATTTCTAGAGGCAATTCATCATGTGAGTATTTTTCAAGATAATATTTATAGGAAAGAAGGCTGGAGACAAAGTCTATTGACATGACCTGAGAGTTTTCTCAACTTTGATATTCTTAGGATCAGAGAGAGGCAATGAGTCCCTTTATTAGCATACAACATAGGCTAGTTGAAATCCAAAAATTGAGCTCTCAAGTTATGTTTACCAGGAAATGTTGGCATCCACATTGGGTAGCAACTGATAATTTCAGACACGAGCCCTGCTTCCAAACCAACTTGCATTGATTCAATTCCAACTATGTTTCCTGAGTAAACCCAGCATACATTTGTTTCTTAGCCCCAACATGTGCTTGGGGGATATAAATAAACAAGGCATTAACATGCAAAATGCCACCACCTGTCATTTGTTACAGACACCAAACACCACGAAAAAGTTGAAGACTATAACAATATGACAAGTGGTGACATAAAAATAAAAAGTTTGTGGGGAATTGAATATATTTCTTTGTGCCGTGACAGTGACGGCTCTCTCATGACAATGGATCAAAACAGCCCAGAGGGCCTTACTAAAATTCAGTACCAACGAAGGAAGCAAAAACTGTGAACTTCAAGTGTCATTGAGCAATAGGCGTAAGCATCACATCATCAGTTTGCAACAAATACACACAATTCTTCAGTATTATATGGACAACTGAAAAAACATTCCGTTTCAGCCAAAGGACAAAATAGGATCTGTTGAGGTAACTTCATGAAAAATGTTACAGTTTCACATTTTTGATCAACATGCCAATGTTTTGACAAGACTTCATCCCAAATTTTGTAATCTGTATGCCTGGCTTCCACTTTCTTTTCGTTTCTTCAAAGTATTGAATTGATATATGATGATTTGAATACATATATGTAGCAGGTTGAGATTTCATTCAGTTTGATTAATAAACCTTCCATGTGTCGACTCAGTCACTTGAAGCTCTATACTACGGGCCAAAGAAAGTATCACAGCAATATTGTAAATACCCGTCATTACAATTGAGACCTCCTCTACACTCACCTTTAGTGGTGATCTTAATTAAACACCTGTAGAAAAGTGTTTATTTAGACACTAATTATATAAACAAGCTTGTTTTGGAGAATATGTTGGATTACATTGAAAGTTTACTCATTTCAATTCTCAATATGGACATAGCTTTCCATTAATAATTAGACTTATGCACATTTACACCTCTGCAATTTCATACAGAGCTCATGGAATTTGACAACAGGTAATCTGAATTTGGCATATGTCTAAATGCAATCTATCAAGCACTGTTGACTGGAGTACATGTAATTCCCTGCAATTCTTCACCACATTTATAACCTTGAACATAAATACAAGCTCAATAATACATGGCAGTCTGAGTCACATTTGCACAGAATTTTGCAATAGTACGGTCATAAACTCACAATGAATCATCTCAGAATGGTACACGGTCATATCTGACTCAATAACCTTATACTGTCAATCACAATGATACAAGGTCACAATTGCAGTGATTTGACAAGAGTACAGGATCATTAACTCACAACGATCAACATTAAAGTGTGTTTGTCATTCTAATGTTTTACTCAAAGACTTGAAACCATGATGTACTGGCATAAGGGTGTGATGTACGTAAGTGTCTGGTCTTTAGGACAATGTCTTGTTAATCCATGTATGGACACTTCAAATCACTTCAAAGGTTTGAACAGGAGGTATTAAATCCTAATGACACACTGACTGGTGATGCATTCACATATATCTTCAGACTATAGTTCCTGCTATTGGTAGTCTCCATAGTTGCACCATCTGACATGGTAATTGTATCCCTGAGCATAGAAAGTAGTTCAGACCCTATCACTTCACTTGAAAGTATGTGTGCTGTCGCCTCTTGTAGGGATTATTTCCTGGAGATGAGTGAGTAGGGGCTGCAATCATAATTAATAAACAATGAAATTTTGATTCCTATAAAACAAATATTGCAAATTGAATTAATTTGGCACTGTTTAATTTACATTATATTTTTAAGTTTTTTTTAGAGATGTATGATGATTTGATTTGGCAGAATTTGCCGTAATGCCAAACATTTTCTTTTATTGATACAGATCCTTTATCAAATCACCAAATGGATGGAGGTGCCAAATTATTCCAATTTACACCATAATATTTACACAACAAAATGAAAAGCACTTAAAAATTGTTAAAATAAAAATAAGCTGAATTAGATCATTTTTTTCAAACAAAACACAAATTACATGTATAAAAATTAAGAACAACATGTAGAAATTCAATCAACAAATACTTTACTCTTTAACAGTAATATTTCTCTGCAACTGATACAAACAAACAAAAATATCCTACTCAATCATGCAGTGTGTGATGTAAATAATAAGGTGAATATAAATGTAGAATGTCAGTAAACAGTGAGAGACAAATAAACTTTATAAAATGAAACTGGTGTCTGAAAAATGTTTCAATTTTCAAACAGTTGAGCTAACTTAAAAAACTAAATAAAAACAGCAACTCCCTGGAGTAGCAAATCCCACCGAAAAGAACATCATCTGTTCACCAATATTTGAGGTATCATCCAAACAGATGGAAGGACAGATGAACAAGTTTGGTGGGATAGTAATGAACAGGGGCTTAAAGATCAAGTCCATTATTTAATAAAAATATGAAATCAATTATACAGGTATATGTATACTACATGTGTTTAGTCTCTCAAATTAACACAATAACTTCTGTCTACCATTTTAAGCCCAACTAAACTATGATTCTAAAACTGATCTGAACACTACATATGGTACCTAGCTAATGGTACCCATATAGAATATTCTTCCCATTCCACTTTGACTAACCTACAGCACAGTAGAAAAGTGTATAAAAATACAGTAGTTTGATTTTTGGGTTTTAATTATTCTTTGTCATTCTGGTGTTTTTGTAAGTATCACTAATTTCAATAATTTCACCCAGCTCTCAGTCGAGCATGATAGTTTATAAGCGATAGTATGCCATATACCGTACATGTCCATTATGCTGTCTTATAAGTTTACATACATGTATATGAAATAATAATAGACATCACCTTTGACTCTACATCCAATAGGCCTATTGATTTTTGGAAGCTCAAATGTAAAATCATCAATTTCTCTAAATCCCTACACCTCTAGGTCAACCTCATTTCTTGATCAACTCAACCATATTCTATCCAACATCAATCATGCCTAGAATTCACATCTAGAAGCATCCCATTTCATATATTTTTAGATACAACACTTCAAAATCCAATTCCCATAAGCCATACCCCTACAAGGCATGCATATTGACAAACCCATGCAAACACCTAACCTAGCTCCTGCTGGTCATGTCATGTGCTCAATTTACGTGTAAATTTATCCCTGCGTCTCAAAGAACATGTAGATTGAGTAATCAATGGTATTTGGATCATTGGCACTTGTAATTTGGCAGTCTTCGATGACTTTTTGGCACCTGGGAGAATAAACAGAGGATTTTAATCATTGCTTGCGTGCTGTCAGTAATTGAAGATGCTTGTTAGGAAATTCCTCAGCAAAATAGGCCTGATTTGAGTTGTGTAAAAATGTTCATTCCAGTTTTGTTAAGTCAATCGGAAAAAGCATACAGCCATATTGTATTTTGAATACTTGTTAAAAGCAGGTTCATAACAAATATCGGGCATCACGGATACTTTCTCCTTTGGTTGTTAATCAAACCTTACTTCAGTGTCCATGCAGTGCTGCTACATACTGTTTTGGTGTATTAATTATAATTCTGTACATCGATAATTTTGCATAAGGCATGTTAATTTCAAATAGACATACATTCTCTTGCTTTTCTTACATAAATTTGTTTTGTACAATCTTTGCATTCCATCAGTGCTGTTAGTAAAACTCAAAACATTCAAATCTTTCTTATGCCAGGCATTAGGAGACAAAACTCTGATACACAGTTCAATCCCTATCCAAAACTTTTCACTCAGTAGAATATAATCCCAGACTTTTCACTCCATAGAATATAGTTCTGAATAATGGCAATTCAACAACATCAGACTGTGAACTGAACTCAGAATGCAGTTGTTATTCATTCAATTCAATTCAAGACATGTTAATGTGCAACATTTCACTTAAATACTGAATTACAGTACAACTTTTCACTTACGTCCATGCTAGCATGCAGCTAAAAATGGTGTTTTCCTATGGGTACAATATATCAGGGTCAAAGCAGTATATCATATTCCACACAAACATGCTATAACTGGGGGATCCTAAAGTATTGACATTTTTCAGTCTGTTTTGCTTTTCATTTTTCAGTTTGGTTTTGGGTGAATTAAGTATGTATTTAGTGATTACCTGTTTAAGTGGAAGACATTTAGTACCACTTGGGAAGTGTTCCACTTATAGAGGTTTATTTCATATCAAATGACATTTTTGAGGAAATTGTTATGCTTTTCTGAATGACTTGGTTCAATATGTGAAACCAAAAAACACAGAACTGATAGTTTTAGAACTAAACATACTAACTGAGGTCAACTACAAAACATGCGTATATACAGTATATTACATATAAGATAGTACACATACAAAGAATTCAGTTTTTTATACTTATTTATCGAGTTCTTAGATCTAATTTATTTAAATCATGTGTTTTACAAGAATGTAAGGGGGGGGGGCCATACAGTGACTAGAATGGCCTGGCTTGCTTACTTACCCCATTGATTCTGTAAGAAATGATCTGGCTGATAGTGTGCCTCTTCTTCACCCTCCTCCCCTGGATGGGTCACCCCAATAGAACTTCCAGTGATTCCTAGATGTTTACTGCTGAGGTTATAACTTGGACCTAGAAAATAAAAAGTAAGAACATTAAATTATATACAGTGTTAACTGTGTGTAAGAGTTGGAAGTAGATTTTGTGAAAAATACTGTGTATTGTATTTGTATGTTCATGCCTGCAGGATTTATACACATTAGAATCTAGGAAAGAATGTTAATGAAAACACAGAATGAAATTCCACGCTAAGGTCTGATGTGAAAAAGTCAGTCAATGACCCCTTGTTGTCAGTCCACCCCAGACGGCATCAAACCCACGACCCCTTGTTATTTTTATTTACCTTAAAAAAACTAAACAAGTTGACATTTATAATATTGAAATAAGTGATCCACGATTTTCAGTAAATTCCACGTCGTTCAGAATAAACAAAAATTATTTTCAAGAAGGAACAAATTCAAAACATTCAACAAGGAATTACAGTAATGTACTTACTAAATGACCCTCCTGCTAGACCTCCTCGTGCACTAAACCCAAGTGGAGTGGAGGAACGCCGGCTTATTCCAAATGGTGAGTCCAGTTTGTCACTCTGCAAAACAAAATATTAAGGCTTTTGTGAAATTCCTTTCAATTTTACAATTTGTATATTTACATTTGAACTCTACATCTCCCTTCCTTCCCCCTAAAATGAAAAGGGTATTACTCAATTTGTAGTCAGATGCCAAATCAATTGTAACTAATAAAAAAAAAATTGCAGTTCCTCCTATTGTTGCCAAAATGAACATTGTGGTTAGGAAATAGATTGTTGACAAGACATGATCCATAATTTTTCAGATGTTTTTTTAACAAGTATAAAATGTAAGACCACAAACAGGAAGTTTCACAAGAAATATTATTAATGAATATTTAACAGTGAACTAAAACAAATACAAGGCATGTCATCACCTGGTAGATAATTGCAAATAGCTACAAAAATGTTACAATTTGTTACAAAAGTGTAACAACTTGTTTCAAAAGTATAACAACTTGTTTCAAAAGTGTAACAACTTGTTTCAAAAGTGTAACAATTTGTATCAAAAGTGTAACAATTTGTTGCAAAAGTGTAGCAACTTGTTACAGATAGGATGACCTGACCATTAAACACCAATGCTGAACTCAGACTGCCAGTCATGAAAAAATGGTGGCTATAACAATAATTCAATATTTTTATTGGTGGTGACATAAAACACATTTAAAATAACTATCTTATGGCTAATACCTGCTCCATAACCATGTTGTTACTAGAGGCTTTCACTGGCTGAGATCAAAGAAATCAAAATCATAACTCATTTATAAGCCAAACATATACCATTCTGAATTCAGAGTTTCACCTCTTGTTACATTATTAAATCACATGGCATATTACATGTATCACACACACATTTTCATTATATGACATGTACACAATATTAATAATGGACATCTGACTTTTGATAATGATATCAATAAGTGAAGAAGTTGAATATTTATCAAAGTACTGCAAATATCGATTCAAATACCATTGAGTTACAGTCTTACATTAAGTTCAACTGGTTATACCTTGAGATTGGAACATTAGCCTTACCCTGAAAGTATGTGTTGTGCTAGGTCTTGCTATTTCCTGCGCACCTATTGCTTTTTCCCGTTCTTTATATATAGATCTAGAATCTTTGTCATGAACAGCACTACTCGCACGACTGCCTGAGAAAGTTGTCCTTTTCTGAAATATTTTGATTAACAAACCACTTTAGAATCAATGAAATAATAAGAGCGTGTTAAAAAACATCAATTGCTTATTCATCACCTCTTTAACTGAATGAAGATGAAATATGGCAAATGAAGAAGCTGTTAGGCCCATACTTACTGCACTTTTAGTAGCTGCCATTGGCACAGTGTTGGAAAGATTGGATACCTCACTGTCTAATGGTATAGGGGGTAATTGGCGATAATTTGGCGGGGAATGAAGACGGTCTGTGGCAGTGCCGAGACGAGTGACTAAAATAGAAGGCTGGTTGCGTTCCTCCTCCTATAAAAGAAAACAATAAATTAAAGTATCGTTGATGTTTGTAAACATTCTCTATTTCAGCACTTACGAAGAAACACTTGAATTAATGCAATACACAACAAAATGCACAGTCACAAAAAGTCAACTTTAGCTAAGCAATTTTTCAGTTTGTTTTGTACATCCATGGATGTTACCTTGTGATATACAGGGTGTTCCAAAAGTAACAGGACTGGTGCTGGCATTTTGTCAAATCTGTATGGAGTGTCTTCAAATTTACACAAATTGTACTTTGATGTATTACAACTAAAATTGTGAAGTTTCAGAAAAAAATATAAAATGTGGGTAGAGTTACGGTTACTATAGTAACATGACATCACAGTACCCGGGGCAACTTTTTCATGAAAATGTGATATCCAAAATTTTTGTATGACTGAAGAAAGTATCGAATTCACCTATTACAACACAACATTTCTTGTTTGTTTTATTAGTTGTTTTGTTGTAATGGTGTTGCTTTACAACTCCGCTACAAGTATGATTTCATAATAATAATAATATCTATTTACTAATTCACTTTCCTGGAATATCACTATGTATAACAGTTTGCACAATTAACGATTGAGTTTTTGAAAAAACGCAATTTGAAGCCAGTTATTCACCTTGATAACGTGCCTTCCCGCGAGTCAGCATTAAAGACCACTGCCACTATAGAAGAGCTAGGTGTTGATGTCTAAAACCATGCACCATACTCTTATGATCATGCAATATCTAATTTTTACTTATATGGAGAATGGAATCCTAATCAGCGCGGTATTAGACCTTTAAAGATGAGAATGACCTGCTCCTAGTTGTCCAATGGACCCTGCGTGACATGTCCTCAGATAGTTGGTTCACTTATGTGTTTGAATCATGGATCCAGAGTGCTATTCTTAAACTGATCAAAGAGGAGCCTACTTTGCAAAGTGAGGATACATAGGAATATCAACTGATGTAAAGCAAATCTAATTTTCACCAGCTGAATTGTTGCATTTCAACTTTTATATGGGTTGTTCAAAATGCTTAAAGTCTAAAATTTTCTGGGTGGAATGTTGCCCCGGGTATTGTGATGTCATGTTACCATAGCAACCATAACTCTACCCGAATTTCATAATATTTTTTGAAACTATGCAGTTTTAGTGACAACACATGAGAGTACATTATGTAAAATTTTCAAGACGATTGGTGCATATTTAACAAAATACCAGCACCAGTCCTGTTACTTTTGGAACACCCTGTATGTCACAATATAGGGTAAAGAGTGACACTTATGTACCTTATGTCTTTGCATTAGACTGATTAGCATTTCAAAGAGCCTTCAACAACGCACAATTTATATTAAATGATGTTGATTATTACATGAACCTTGCAGTAATGAATTAAAAGCATGTGTTTCAATGACAAACAAGACTGAACAAATAAGATCTGAATGTAAATACATGCAGATGTGAAGCCTCGTTGATAAGTAAAGGTGAATTATGAATGATGCAATCTTAGGAAGTGTTCATTGTTAATGCGTGATACATATATGAAAATAATGTGATTACTGGGACATAATTCAATTCTGATCTGTATGTATGTATGAAATTCTCAGGTTGCACCCTGGGGCCCATCCCATAATTTCTATCCTTTTGATATTCATAAATGTTGCTGGAACATGCTGTGTGTTGTTAATGCGAACATTTGGATTAAGCGTGTACATTTTTCATTAGTAGTGGTTTGGAATGTGTAGGAGTTCACGGAGGCATTATACTGTATATGGACAATGCATTTTACCAATTAGATTTTGAAAATGATTACTCTGATTATGAATTAACACCCATAACCCGGGACCCATAATTGTTTTGCTACCACACTGAACCATGGGCAGTAACACATACATACAGTGTACATGTACTTCAAGAGTTTTACTTTATGCTACAAATACATTGTCCACTATATACAATAATATCGCAATGAGAACACGAACATTTCATTTAGCAATGTAAGGAAACAGCGTGACTGAATAGTTTATTTCATGCGTGCATATATTTACTTGGTTACACGGTGTCCCATTAATTACCTAAAATACAAACAAATTGTGAAATCGAACAGATTACATGTACATGTTCAAATACAATTTAACTACAAGATATACTATTAGGACATTTAATAGATTTCTACAAGTATCTAAACTATCAAGATGTGTGAATCAACAATTTAAAGAGGCACCTCCTGTAACTTTACCAATTTTTACCACTTTTTGGAGGAAGGACATAATGATTACTAATGGGCATATAATTTCAACGAGTCTCCTTGACATACTCATTCAACAATAAAACATTGCTTTAAAGCTAGTGCCTTACGGTAATGCCGGGTTGTCGGCAGCGGCAGTAGATACTCTCAATTACCGGTAATAAAATCCATTGCCGATAATCGCCATGCTGCTGCAACATGATGATTGGCATTGCGAACCATTGTCAAATTTACGAAACAATGTTCGTTTAAGAATATTTTATCAATCATGTATATTTCAATCTCCACATTTGAAGAGCTAATCTGTCAATCAACTGCAAAGCATTCGATAAAGGCGGGATGATAAGCAAAACCCCACCCACTTCTGTCAATCATCTCCCATGCCGCGAGATTAACAAATCACGTGACGTGATATTTCGGTGAAGTAAAAACAAACACAAATAGTTTGATCAATTTTGATCGAATTCACTCTATATTATCATTCAAAGACTTCCTAACAATACATAATCACACACGAGATACACGATGATACAATATGTCCACTGTAGTTGATGTGAGCGGGAAATCAAGCTGAGAAATCGGCTTCGTTAATATTTTAGTTTCACTTTCAGGTTTTTCCCCGGGATTTTAGGAACATTATCAGTATCAACGATTATCGGTAACGGTAAGGTAATGGAGGTGAAATTTACCGGCAGTGAGATCCATTACCGTTGCAAGCACTATTTTAAGCACATATCGCGCAAAGTAAAGTACATATTTTCTCCTGATAAAATTGGCATTGAATCTGTAGTATATCCAAAAGTGCTTTTTTTTACTTCCACTCTTCATAAAATTAGAACCATAACATTTTTTTGACTTGAAAGTTTACTTTTGGTTTATCGGAATAAAGATATGTTGAACAAACTGATTACAATATAGCCCCCAAGGTGCTATTAAAAGTGCATAATTAAACAATTCATTGCATACTTGGAGAAAAGAATCATTGAAGAAGATGTAAGACCAAGCAATCCCTAAAAAGCCCCAAAAAGATTTCAATCATTTTTTTTATTACTATCAATCAGTGTTCCTTTAAAAATTTCTTTCATGGAGAAAATATACTAAGCACTCTCTTCAAAAGCATTTATAATGATTGTAATAGTTCATTGCCTATTTTAATATGCATCAATACTTACAATATTTGGAGTTTGTGTTTTTGCTCTATCAAGTGGTGCTAATCGTCCACCTCTATAAGGGGTCTTTCTGTATGTTGCAGAAGGGGTCCTCATATTGGGATCAGACATTTTTACACTAAAAGGACGTGATCGTGCAAAGCTTGAGACTGGCCTTGTGACGGGGAAGAGATCATTGGGGTCACTGGAAAGAAAATAATGGTACAGTTATTTCTTTATTTTTATATCAACTTTTATAGATTTTATTTAGATACTACTATTTTATTTAGACACTACTACTGTATCATAGAACTTGTTAATGTTGATGCCACAGAAATCAAATAAGGTTGCTTGGTAAAACATATGGGGTTTGTTATTTTTACTATCAAAGGATACTGCTATATTATTTTTCATTGACTAGAGGCGAGTAGAAATACATGTTATCTTATTTTCATTGTGATTTCGTACAAAATCTTTCTCTAAAAACCCGAAGTCTCAAATTTTTCCTCAATTTGTATGTATGTATTCCTGTTTTAGCAAAGTAGGTATTGATGCTAGACATAATAACAAACTAAGAGTGTTTTACCTATCAGGCCCCCTTGTTTGTAGGTGCTTTGTAGACACAGTGAGTATGCTATCTAAGCCTCCTGTCAGTCCACTGTGTTCCTTGACAGTAGAGTTGGCAGTTTGGATACGTTGAAGCTACAAGTAAAAATATTGAAAAACTAAATATGTATACCATACATAAAAAAATCATCATTTGTGTCTGTATCAGGCAGAAGGACAAATTAATGAACATACTGACAGACTGCTGGGTGGTTCAATAGACTGACAATGTTAGGCAATGAGAGAAGAAATACAAGCAGAAAGCACGAGGGAAAATAATTATATCTGATATATAAGCAACATTTAACAAGACAACAAAATGAAATGCAAACCAATGAGTGCACAGTAGAATATGCTAGTTTTGAAGGCTACAGGTACAAAAGGGAGAAAATTATCTGCAGTGCCCAAGGAAGTACACATAGTAGGTATAGGTTCCATCAGTTGATCAATACACAAGCAGTTTGTCTAGGTCTATGTATGTCTAAGTCTATGTATGTCCAAGTCAGTTTTTATATGCATATTGGCTTGATGAGAATGTATGACCTCAACTAAAATCTTAAATGAAAAGTGAAAATAAAAACATAATCTTGATGCTAATAACTATACAACTGTAACAGTAAAACATGTGTGTGTAAAACATCATAAGGGAATCATTCTAAGCTATGGTGATTACCGGAATAATCCTGGTGCTATTTGAGCAGACTAGTAGTTCATCTATGCCACAAAATGCAGATTCAGCATTGCTTAAACGTGGAAGCGCGAAGACCTAAGAAATATTTGTCAAGCTTACAACAGGACTCGTGAGTTGTGCCCCAGATTTACATGTTCCGATATAGATGTATGTATAGTGAAGATTGAATGAATGAAAATGTCCAACAATCAATGTAATGTTCAAGGTACTCTGTTAAAAATGACTGGCCAACATTGCCATTGGCTTCATATTAAGAAAGAGCATGAGATATGGGGCATAAACATGCGTCACTTCAATTAATCACTTTCAATTCGTCACTAATAATTTATAAGCTTACAAGGGGTCTTTCTGTTAACCAATCACAATGGTACCTGATTTTGACTTGTCAATTTATTTTCAAATGTGTCATGGAGTCAAAGGTGTCAATATTTTCATGGAACATGTTAATATTTAAGGGAAAAGCAAAGCAGGATAATTCCCAGAAACAGTTAATTAAGACATAACAGTTAAGAAAGAAGATATCAAAGTAATGATAGAGGTAGGATGAAGAAGTTGAGATGGACATTTGAAAGAGATATTTAAAAAGGCACAGTTGGTTAGAGGCAACAATTTTGCTATCCTCTAAACTTCAATATTTCTAAATAGATAAAAATTATTTTGCGATAGCAAATGGTTAATTCACTTTCTAAAATCATATAAATTTTATATGTTAGGAAAATGTTGAACTAAAAACAAATGGTTAATTCTTTTTCTAAAATTTTAGAATTTTTCTAAATGTCAGGAAAACATACCTTATCATCTGGTGACCTGATATAGGAAGAGTCTCTGTGAGGAGGTATGTGATCTAATCGCATGTCAGAAATCTGTCCTATTAAATCATGAACAAGTGAGTCTGGAATACCCCCATCTATGACATGCCTTTCTGGATCTAAGTAGAAATAACAAAATATTAGCACTATGGTTACATCATGAAAAAAATGATGTCATTTCCTAGTCCAAATGAGAATTTTTTGTAAAGGGCTCAAATACATTTTTCTCATTCCAAGCCATGCATGAATAACCAATTTATTTGAAATAAAATCTTGAATAATTTTCAAATTTAATTCTTTCCATTCACAAAACTAGAACTGTAAAAAGAAAATTGGGAAGCATTTTGAAGATTGCTTCAAACATTTTACATTCTCTATTATCTGCTGCCACTTTAGCAAATCTCATACATATACCTTGCACTAAAATTGAGCCGTAAACTTTCAACAAATTTCTCATCCATCCTATTAATTCTTCCCATGTATAGTCTATTGCTTCACACATAACATTGTCCTTCACACAAGCATTCGGTGTGATAGGAGGGTATGCATGACTTTTCTGCCTATGTGATTTGGCTTTTTTATCAGATCTGTCTTCCCTGGAGATAAAAATGCATGGCATATTTTTATAACATATTTTTATAACATGTTTCCAAATATTTATCAACAACTTAATTTTTTCTAAAAAAGTGGTGATGACGTAATTTTATTTATTTGCATAAAATATTGTGATATTGAACAGTCAATTTTAGCTCAATTTAAATTATTGTTTCTTGTGTTCAAACAAGTACAAAATTCCCCATATGGATGATTTTATAACTTACGAGTAATCAACTGCCATAATGTCCTCGTAGATCCCTTCTTCCTCAAAGATTTCTTCCTCTAAGTGAGGAAAGTCACCTTCTCTAGCTGTGCTTGGCACCCGTTTGGCACTCACCTGGTGACCCATCAGACGCAAACTGAAACAATAAGTGAGAATTGCTAAAATTGGTAAAATGAGACAAACACTGATAATTATCATGCTTGAAATTTGAAATGACTGCCATGTAAATTATCCAGAATGCCCAAATAATCTTGGTCATGTGATTAAACTTAAATATTTGCCAGATTCTCATAATCTATTGCCAGTGAGAACAGTCATTATTGTACCTAAAAACAACCATTATGGATTCATACCTAGAAGGATCATGGGATACTGCTGACATATCATGTTCAGTGACATCCATCAGCATGCTACCAGAGGAGCCTGACATCACTGGTGTGTCACCATTAGGTATCACCTCATAACCTTCCTCTTTCGGAGGAGCAACATTTTGACCGAGCAACCTGAAGATAAACATCAACAAATCAATAATGACCCTGTGGGGAATACAATCATGCAATGAGAACAATGGATAAGAGTGCTTGGAGGAAAGTATAAATGTCTTAATTCCACCATAAGCTTTTGGCGGGCAAGATTGTGAGGTGGCAACTTAAAGAACAATGTAAACATATGAAGCATTGCCTCAGTGGAGAATCTAAGGTAACAAAGGAAAAGTATGCTTAGAGAACTACCTAATGTGATCATGGTTTTTAATGCAAAGATCCAATATTCTATCATGCAAATATCGAACTAAGGATCAATGAACGTGATTTCATGCTGTGCATAATATTTGAAAAGAGTTCTCAGAGGCCATGTTTAATTCTATAAGCCAGTGGGAATGTTAATGTGTTCTCTAGATATAGCTTCATCAAGATAGATTTGCCTGTGAAATGTAATTTCAAATTTCATCTTAACTAAATCTCCAACCTTCCCTCCTGTGATGAAAGTAAAACTCAACTCTGATGAATATTTTCACCAATTCCCTTAAGAAAAAGAAAATATGTTTCATACCTTAAATGTGTAAACCTGTTGACCCAGTCTTGGCATTCTGAGGCAAGATGTTTTGGACCCTGCTTCCCTTCGAACAGATTGGCATCAATATTTTGGAATAGATGGCGCACTGTCTGGGAGGCCTTCTTGTCAAACTCCTACAAACAATATACCAAAATGTTAAAACAATTAAAACATCATAATTTACAAGACAGAGTTGTATCAAATCCTCAATAGGTTATGGCCCATATATTGCTAGTCACCATTCAATGACCTATAATAACTAATAACCTGGATTTGACAATACAAATGATGTATATAGCTCATGCTTTGATTCTCATTGAACTCATTGAGGAGTCACCTCATCAAACCAAAAAAGGATTCAAGAGTTCGACTAATCAAACCCAAAGGAGTGTAGCTATTGTATGATGTACACAGTATCGCAACAAGCAATAATAATAATAACAATAATTAATGATTCTGTATGAAGCTATATCGTTTATCCATTTATTTATATAATTGGTAATATCATAATGGATATCATGTGGTAATATATACGGCTGGATTGTTATAAATAATAACCTGAAACAAACAACTGATAAACAATAACAAAAAAAGGCACAAAAAGTTGTTCATTCTGAATACTCACTCTGTGGTCACTCTGGAAAACAATTATGCAATGTGCAGTAAACAATTTCAGAAATTTCAGAGTGTGACATATTTCTCTGTGAATCTTACTTCTGCATGTTTTTTGAAAAATGAAATATTTGTAATAATTCTGCATTAAAGTAGAATATGTGACTTTTTCAATTCATTTCTTTGTAAAGTGAAAGTTTAATCTTAAAGGGCGTTAAAAAGTTACTCATGCCTTCTCTGTGAACATACAAATGATAGGACTACAGTACTTACATCTTCTCCAAACGAATAAGATGAATATGTGCTGCTCCGCTCAGTTACATTGCCGCCTGTCCAGTCATTGGACAAGCCAAGCCAGCTCTGTGTTTCAGTGATAGTTTCCCCATCCTCACTGTCCAATTGACTCCCATTGCTGCAAGAAGTATATATGTCCATGTTATAGGGTGGGTAGTAAAATGTGACACACATTAGTATGCTGTTAAAAAAACAGATACATACCAACCGTCACAAAGACTTACACAATTAAAAATGAATAGCCAAATGGCGATTACGGAAGTTTTCAAAATTTTGAAGCAGTCATGTTCCAATGTGAGTCATGATTTTATAACAATATATAGTATTAGATTATAACATAACAATTTTTTACTAATAAATATGCCTATTGGGCATGCTACGGTGCTTTTGAATTCAAAGAACCTTTAAATTCACATAATACAATATTAAGCTTGAAGGTATTTTAGGTCTCAAACCTTATGCCAATACCCTCACTTTCGTCATTCAATGATACCAACATTTTACAAGTCATTTAAGGAGGATTAAAGCTGATCCACTCAATGAAATGTGATATAAATTTTTTATCAGACCTCCCAAAGTAAAGATTTAAATGCAAATGTAAATGTTCCTTTTATTCTGATCTGAGCTATACACTCTTGAAACAACAAATGTCAACATTCCCCCAATGTTTTTGATATGACCCTATGACAACTTTAGCCAACTTAAACTTATTTTATTGGTAAAGTGAACAAAAATCAACAATGCTAAAAGTATTCTTTAGACCGAATTCAATACGTATTTCCAATGATGATAAAAAAAGTTCCCACTCATTTTGAAAATTCTAAATGTTCCATTGGTTCAACTTTTACATCTGATTTATACTTTCTAATAGGTTTAGGTTAAATGGTCATCGTCGATTAAGAAAACATATGATTTTTTATACAAGTTTTAAGCAAATTTATATTAAAAATGTTGATTGATTTCGAATGTATCTGGTTGCTGTCTCTGTATGTGCGTTCCCAAAGCATTTTAGATCAGAGCAGAACTGTAGCCAGCTTTTGGCAAAGGGGTTCACTTTTAGGGAGTTTGCCAAGAAATTGACAGCTTAGGCCAAAAAAACAATTGAAAACTTCTCGGAATGATGAAACACTGCATGATTTTGAGAAAAGTTCTGGCCAGGGGAGTTCCTCGAACCCTGGCTATAGGCTAGCCTGCTGGGAGAAGGCAAAACAGGGGCTTGATGCAAAACTATGTCAGACATTAGAGGCAAATCCAAATTGTTAAGTCAGATCTACCACACCTATTACAGAAGAGGCCAGACTCTAACCACCTGGTTGATGGTCCATAAGACAAAGATCAGACTTTGTAAAATGTCAACAAGATGCTGACCATTGACAGCCAAACGCCGAACACTGTATATAATAAAAAGTTGGAGACTTGTGGTGGTGACATAAAAACCTTGATCCCAAAATATGTGCCATATGTAAGTATACCACTGAGTCATACCTGTTAGTAGTGATGGCCTCTTGTATACATGAGAGGAAATGTTGAGGTAAGTTATCTTCATCATCATCATAGTCATCTGGCTTTTCTGGAAGGGGGTGGTTCTCTGTCCCCTCTCGAGATATACCCCGCCTGAAAATACATATCGTCAATATAATGTACTTTTATCATATATTCATTAATTATTTCGGGGAATGAACAAAATAGGTCATATCAGGGTTAGCCTATTTTAAGAAATTTACAAGAATTGATGATATATGATCGTAAAGGTAAACAATATGATCATGTTTTCTAATCAATTCAAACAATACTCAATAAAGAATATAGCATTTATGTGCATCGATCAATATTTGTACTCATCCCTGTAAATGTCAGAAATGAGAGCACCGTTGGAATATTTATAAATAAATGAACGTGATAGGCCCCGTTACTATGTGTACCCCTGAGATAATTCCATATGCCACAGAGTTCATGTGTCATGTTATTTGCAGATATTGTTCAAACTCAACAACTTTTCTACAATTTGAGGTATTTTTGTTGTACAATTGATTATTTATTTCTATAAAGATTTCAAAGTTATGTATTGCATCCTGACATGCTAGATAAGATGTTATTGTAAATTATAAGTAATTTGGTTGCTCTGCAAGAGTCACTGATACGCCCGCTTATTCATTTGTAAGTGTGTCGAGTACAAATGTTTTGTAATGTTTCAATTTGATATATCAAGAAACTAATTAATCATTTTGCTCCATTAATTATTATGACAGTATTAGTAAAAATAATTATTTTGCAAGAAATTCCAGGTCAGAGAATGGTCAGTTCAGAATGCTGATACGGTAGAAAAAACTCTTTTATTGAATAAGAATTTATGACATATCGAATTAAAATGAATATGGTGTTGTTGTTGCTGTTAATATACCAGGTCGTTCAATATGTTCCCGGAAAAACGCTCTCGTTTTTGTTAGTTTGTAGTATTTTTTATTGAAATTTTCACAGTATGTGTACAATTTATTTAGAATTTATTTATAGAAATATTTTTATACAATATTTCATATTTATTAACTTATCCTTGATAATGTGACGTCATAAAAGGGTATGCGGGCACTATTTTGACGTTAAAATTTCACAATTTTCAATTTATTCATCATATGTTCACATTTTTTTGTATTTGTTTTATTTCAACTGAATAAATAGTCCTGTTGCCGTGGTAACTATGTGACATCATATTTCTGCTGTACAAGATGCAAAAATTCTTGGATTGAAGACATCATACATCTTTGCAAGACATCACACAACTAATGCATGACATCAGTCATTAGTCAGACACCAAAATGGCTACTGTCCTCTAGGGTATCCCATCAGGACATTGATCCAAGCCATAGGTCTAACTTGGTGCAGGACACCATTTCCATCAATCTCCAAATGGAACTGCAAGACCAGGCACCCTATTCACCTGATACGGCAGTATTAGATTTTGCTGTTTTCAACAGATTGAAGGAAGCTCTGAGAGGAATTCGCTTTGGCTCAGTTGATGATCTTAAAGCAGGTGTTCAGAATGCACTAAAGGAGAAGTTTCCAGCTGGGTTCCGTGACCAATACAAGCAATGGGTTCAGAGACAGAGACTATGTATTCAACACGATGGTTCATATTTTGAGCATTTAATGTAGATGACAGTGGAGGACTATGTGAATATATAATCTTACAAGCATACAAAGACATCAAAGGGTGTTAAATATATCGTAAAATGTGACTAAAACGTCTAGATTTAATGATCCGAACTGTAATACTAAACAGTGCCCCGCATACCCTTTTGTGACGTCACAAGATGTTGGATAACTTAAAAACTAGTCAGACATTTTCAAATTAATTTATGATTTATGATTTGAAAATGAATTGCACACATACTGTGAAAATTTCAATGAAAAATATTATAAACTAATAAAATGAGAGCGTTTTTCCGGGAACTTATTGAACGACCTGGTATAACATACATTATATCTATAGATTATATTCATGTCAATAAAAATAATAATATTAATATTGATTGGATATAAAGAAATAAAATAATTGTAAATCAGATGGTTCCTAAGAATAACACTGACAGGAACATGAAATGAACTCCAAATCTTGGATTTCAGGACATAATGATTTACAAATATTTCAATAATATCAAGTATTATTGAGTGCATTATTTATGAACTAACAATACCTGATTAAACATGTTTATTACCTAACCATATAATTAATTGTTATAATGCCAATAAACATCAAAGCAATTTACTGAACTTCTGCACAACATAACATACATTTATGATCAATGTAATTACTAAAGGTAAGTAGAAAACTTGAATTTTTCTCTATATAACTCAGTAAGGTCATGCTTCAGAGGCAAAATAGAGCAAAGGAAGAAATAAGGCAAAGGTACTAAGTATGAAAATAAAAGTATTTAATTCAGCACTTTATTTAGAAAAATATGTAGAACAAAGATTGTATTCAAGGAATGTTACAATGAACATAGAAATTAATGGTTGGTTTGTAGCAGAATCATCAAGTCGTCTCTAAGCATTATTAGACCATTGTTGATAGGTAACTATTTATTAATACAATACACTAAAGTATAATTTCGTTCAGGAGAATTTTTCCAATAAGTGTAATGATAAATAATAGAGTAATCAATCTTTATTAAGGTAAGGTGAAATGTTATAAAAGATTCTGGAATCTAGATGGAGGTTAAAAAAACTGAATGCAATCCCTCCTGTTTGCTTAATTCAAACTGCATGCTTAATTCAAACTGCATGCTTAATTCAAACGGCATGCTTAATTCAAACTGCATGCTCAATTCAAACGGTATGCTTAATTCAAACTGCATGCTTAATTCAAACAGTATGCTTAATTCAAACTACATGCTTAATTCAAACTGCATGCTTAATTCAAACTGCATGCTTAATTCAAACTGCATGCTTAATCCAAACAACATGCTTAATTTAAACTGCATGCTTATATCAAACTGCATGCTTAATTCAAACTGTATGCTTAACAATGTAACATGCTTAGTCAATGTTGCATGCTTCATTTAAACTATGTTGCATGTTTTTATCCAACCAAACAAGCAAACAAACAAACAAACCCATCCACCCAACCAACCAACTAAAATGGGATATTATGACCAGAAGCAATATCTCAATTCATAATGTTATACTTTAATACTTGTGGTACTTAAAAAAGAATAAAAATGAAATACAGCATTTCTCTCATGCAATAACAATGCTGAATATTAGCATTGTTATGTTGTTTTGTTAACTTTTTGTAAAGCTCTGTGTTCTTGTTTTGGCAACTATACAAGTCAATATTTACTACCACGTCACATTAATACCATGTCACATTAATACCTATTTATTACCAAATATTCTTTGACAAAACCAAAACACAAAAGCTTAAAAAAATCATTAGAATTCTAGTGTTCAGTCACTTTTTATTAAATATATTATATTGATCCACTCTTGAATTTTTTTCAGAATCAAACTTATTAGGGGAGACCAAATTACAAGCAACATGTCCAATTGACCTTCCGATGTGTTCTGTATCATCTCAAATATATTATCTCCAAGAAGATCTGTGTCATTTTATCAAATGGTGAAGTTATTGATGACCCAAAGTGCAAAAATGTATAAAATCTCCCAAAATAATGCACTTTTATGATGTCACTGTCATGTTCAACATTCTTATATAGGTCTGAATCATACATGCGATAAAAACATTTCTGTTGCAAATCAAAAGTAATGTTATGGAAGATTCAATGAATGATTGAATTTTGAATTGAATAAATTGAATTGAATTCAATCATATCATGGGCAATAGTAACAATTCAATTCCTTCATATTAATTGGCAATCTGATAAGAGAGATATATCCTAGAGTATAATAATTAGTCTATGGCGTGATACAGCAAATGTTATATATAAGTGCATCATTTTCATCTTGAGTAATATTTATTACTCTCTCTAGAATTTGTAAGATACAATATGGCTACATATGCAATATGTACACTTTTATGAAATCTTTAGCCTATTTCACTTTATATCAAGACACAGGGTTATATACCTCACTTGTAGAACAAATTGTAGAAAATTTAATTTTCTTTGAAAATGTGACTTCTAGGTCGGGGAGATTCCCCATAGACCCCATGTTGTAAAACCACAAAAAGTGAAATATCTTCTCTTATGTTGGGCAGATAATATTTTCTTTTACTGGACATATTTTAATTTGTTTAACTATCAGATACGTAAGGGTAATATGAAAAGTGAATCACTTAAACTTATGCATATTCAAGTTTAAGGGAATTTTGTAATACCCTGCCATGTTAATTCCCCCAAATCAGCCACCTGGTGGCGAAACTGGTAACTGCCTACTCGCATCTGAGTAATTGAATGCCCATGCTGAGAGATACCACTGTCACCTATGATGACCTATTTTATAAACTGGAGTCAGTTGTCATCAAAATTGCCTTCAATTTTCTCATAAACTTTAGAAAGCGTAACTGAAATGGTATTACTGTTGTTTAGAAATGATGATGTTCAACTAAAAAACAGAGATAACTAACAGTCATTTTCACAATTTCAAATTCTGCTTTGTACATGGGCGGCTCGGAGCAAACACGTGCCCATGTTTGTTCACGTTTTTTAATCATATCCTGTAAATTGATTAGATGACTGATGTGCATAATGCTCATGAATAATTAATCAGTTGCAAAGAATGGCATCTCCTTATGGGAGCTAATTACTTCTGCGCAAGCCCAAAACCTAATCAGATCTAGGTAATAGTCTCTTTTTGCATCTCTAAAAATTTCAAGAGAAAACGATGAAGTATTTTCCCCATCCCCTGCTTAAATGTCAACCAGCAAAATCAGACCATAAAGCATACTACAGTAAAACATGTCTAAGTGCAACACCTTCAGCACTTCTAATAAAAAGTATTCCACTTGGGAGGTGTTCCACTTATAGAGGTTCATTTGCCATTAAGTCAGTTGGTCTTGGGATTCTGGAATGTGTTCCACTTACAGAGGGGTTCTACATTACAGGTTAAAGGTCTGATCACTTCATATAACTCATGAACAAACAGAATGTTCATTTTCC